AAAAACCTGTAGGCTTGGGGCAAATTGTTTTGTAAGTTGAGAAGAAACTATTTGGGCACTTTTGCAAGTGGTGCTAGGAATAATTTTAAACCCCCATTTTCCATGTGGATATTGTTGATGGCATCCGTCTGTCTCAAGAGACAATGGAGTGCACCTTTAGGGGCGAAATCTAACTGTTGTGTTAGCAGCACCAAAGTGACCTTCCTAGCGTACAAGCCAGGGCTGTGTGTATGGAGGTCCTGGACTGCCCAGATGACAAGACCTCCCTCTTGGCCTTGCTGATGTGGTCCAAAGGAAAGCAGAGAAAAATGTTTGTCATCAGCTTGGCCACAGGAGTTGCTGAAAGGAGGTATACAAGGCACTATCAAACCATCTTAGGGACTCCACTCCAGATTTGTGTAGGGTTTACTCCTTAGCCTTTTCTTCTCCTGAAGATATCCCGCAAGGCAGCAGAGGTTTAGGACTAGAGTTTTCCTTTTCCGAAATGGAAAAGGTCATCAAGCCTCATGTTCGTATAGTAGAGTAAGTTACTGAAACAGCAGTGCAGCATGACAAAGTGCTATTCAAAAGTAATATATGAGAGGGCAGGTGCGATGGTGCTGTTAAAAGAAAAAAAGAGGTGTGCCTAACACAGCTCTTTAGATTCTAGTCCTACTGTTTTTAGTATCACTTGTGAAAACACCCTAAGACTTTAGTGGCAAGTCACAGAAAGCAATGAAGCATTTAAAAGGTAAAAAATGTATTGCCTGCAGTGCAAACCCCTTGTGGACTTAAGCCTTCTGTTTTGCAACTTGCCATTTATGGTAATTTACCAATCTTCTACAAGCAGCTGAGGACTTATTTTAGGCTCAAACCATAATGGCAAGAAATTGTGTCTATAGAAGCCTTTGAGCCACAAGACACTTGATTACTAATGCGGTGTTTTGTTAACTGCCAACTTCTTATTGTGATAGAAGTCAAAACAAATTTAGTCCTGATAGGGTGCACAATAGCATATCCCGTTAATGCAGCTCTAGTCTAAACAGCATATCTTCTGGTCTTTAAATAATACATTTGCTTCAAATTGTAGCATTTGGAGCTCCACTAACTTCAAAATATTACTTTTTCACTCTGTTTATCCAGCCAAGCCCTAGATAGTCTATTTAGAACTTGTTTGTAACTCTGTTGTTAAAGCAACATCTGCGTAGAAAACAGGACTATAGCAATATGAATTTTTTATGCTACACAGAGAAGTAGCTTATTTTCTGATGATAATGTGTTAAGGACAGTGTGACACTGCTTCAAACATAGATACTGTACTTTCTGGAAAGAGAAGTATTCCCTAATAGTACTTATGTTGTCACTGTGCATAGTCAATCATCATAGGTTGGATGACATGCTGAAATACAATGGAAGTGGTGGATTGGATTGTGCCTAAAATGACTACTGAGAGTTTGTCTTCCAACAGTGAACATCAAGAACTCCTAAAGCAGATACAAGAAACACAAAACCAGGAGGTTCGGGAAGACCTAGAACGTGAACTAGATTGTCTTGTGAAACAGATGGAATCTAAAGGAGAGCAGTTATCGAAACTGAGAAAGCACCAAGAAAATGTAAGCAAACCGCCCTGAAGTCAGGAAAAGGGATTGACAGTGTAGGCAGTGCAAAAAATAACTAGTATTTTCAGAAAGACAGTGCCTAGATTCTATGAGTCTTGCAGAAACAATGCGTAATAGGTGGTGAGGTTATATAAATAAATTTGCTAAGACTTATATGGGTGTATTAGATTTTGAATGAGACAAGCAAACTAGATGTTGTGTAGGAGACATATGAACTGTCTCCTAAAAGGCTTTGAAAGAGTGGGTGGATGTATTCTTGATTTTTACTGTTTTATCTTTTAAAAACCACTTTGAGGATTTTATTTTATTTTTTACAATCAAGCGGGGTATAAATTTTATGAAATGAATAAATCAATTTATGTGTGAGAGGATGGGTCTTTCTTTCTGAAAAATCAGTCTGTAAGCCTGCAATCAGGATTTGCCATTTGTCTGCTCAGAATCACAACACATACCCAAATGTTTTCTCACCGGTAGGCAAGGGATGTCCTCATATCTTATTTCATTCTCCGTGTCCAAATCCATTGGATGAGAAAGAAATAAGCAGCTCTGCTTTTTATCCCCATCCTCCACCATTCCTCTTCTCCATGGGGGCCTCCCATGATTGCTTTTCATTAAAAAGAGCTAACCATTAGGAAACTGTTTACACATCTCCTGTGCAGCACCTGGTTTTGTGTGTGTTAAATTGAGGATATTTTTTTTAAAAAAACTAGATGCTAATACATGAATATGTTGTCCCTTCTAGACTATAACTGGTCTTAGGGATTAAATAGATGTCTTCACCTTCTCTGTTACTGGGTTGTAACATGGCTCACTGATAACTGTATTTACATTATGAGCTTAAAATTATGCCACCACCATGATGTAATATTTTTGTGTATTCCATATTACCATATGCTTGTAAGGAAGTGTGAGGTATATCTATGCTTTCTAGTATTTTCATTCTTCCCTTTGTTCTAACCAGCCACTGCAAGCAAATTTCATAATTGCAGGAAAACAACTGACAATGTCCTTGCTTGGCCTTCCTGTATTATAACCAAATATATCTGGAAAAGTACTCAGTGTCTTGGTGGGGAAAGCTGTGTGGTATAGGCACCGACTTTACAGGGTCCTTTGTGCCCAAAAGTGCATGCTTCTTTGTACATTAGATGTATTATAGTATTGTTCTCTTCTTAGGTTTACAGACTGAGGCAAAAGGCTAGAAAACTGAAACAAAAAGCAGCCAATTCAGCATCAAGACCTAATCGATTAAAAGGAGCAAAAGAGACTGCAGCCTCTTCAAGAGCCAGTGTGAATAGTGCCTGTCCTATGAATAAAAGCACAAGTTCTCTCCAGCTATTAAAAAGTGCTCAGAAGTTTCAATCAGTATTGAAGAAAGATGATATTGTGTGGGAACCTTAGTTCTCAAAATTGGCTTATAGATAAATGCCCATTGGGAGCTGATTTTATTATCTTGGCTTGAACAAATCTGTTCATTAATGTGCCCTTAAATTCTGCAGCTTAGTTTTGGAATAAATATTTTTTCTTGTTTCTATCTTGACTTTTAATTTTACCTTTAAAAATATAATTGTAATTGTTCTAATGAAGTGTTCTTTTTTATTAAAAATAATAATAACAATCTACCAGCCTATATAGAATAAATACCACTGGTTTTTGTATAGTATTGAGGGGAGAAAGAACTGAATCATCTATGAGCAAAAATTAGCATTTGGCTTCTAAATGACTATCTATGCTTATTTATTTATTTATTTATTTATTTATTTATTAAAACGTTTACAGCCTGCCTTTCAATATTTCCCCCTGAGATTTAATCTATAGTTTTAAGCCACATCACTGTTTATCTGACCATTATTTTTAGAATCCATATGACTGAGACCTCTTTAACAGCAATCTAAAGGGACGCGGGTGGCGCTGTGGGTGAAACCTCAGCGCCTAGGACTTGCCGATCGCATGGTCGGCTGTTCGAATCCCCGTGGCGGGGTGCGCTCCCGCTGCTCGGTCCCAGCGCCTGCCAACCTAGCAGTTCGAAAGCACCCCCGGGTGCAAGTAGATAAATACGGACCGCTTACCAGCGGGAAGGTAAACGGCGTTCCGTGTGCTGCGCTGGCTCGCCAGATGCAGCTTGTCACACTGGCCACGTGACCCGGAAGTGTCTGCGGACAGCACTGGCTCCCGGCCTATAGAGTGAGATGAGCGCACAACCCTAGAGTCTGTCAAGACTGGCCCGTATGGGCAGGGGTACCTTTACCTTAAAGAGCTTTCAGTCATTTACTTTTCTGTTTTGAGAAAAAGGATAATTAATGTATAGCAAGAAAAAATAAAATTCAACAGAAATAGTTAGGTGTCAGCCCTGCATGACTTGAGAACTCAATGAGGTGCCTGGGATTTGTCCAGGGGTTGGTTCTTGTGAAAGGGGGGGAGGGAGTAATGAACTTAACCAGTTGGTGTTGGGCTTGTAATACTCTTTATTTGCCTGTGAGAGGTTTCATGTTCAAACTCAGTAGGTAGTTGACTGGTGCAGCAAATGCTGTACATGCAGATGTCCAGTCCTCAATCCATTGGGCTACATCCAGCACAAGTGGACTTTGGGGCATGTAGCATGATTTATTCTCTTCCCTGCACACACCCCAAATATGTTTCAGAGGCTCCCCCAACAATTAGGAGTACATCTTGGTTGAGTGCAGGGGGTAGAGCAATCTGTTCCACTAATGGTGCCTGTTCCAGTGGCAGATAGATTCTGGATTTCACCCGAAGAATCTCTGAGTTGCTTTTTTAAATTAAAGTCCCAAACCAAGTAATAGAGCGGTGGTCAACTGATAGATGTGTGGTATTCTAAACTTTTTACTGGGGTTTTTCCACCTACTTCTACGATTTCATGAATATGGATATTTTATTTGAAGTTATCGTTGTATACCCTGAGATCTTTAGCATATGGGTAAGATATGAATAATCTAACATAAATAAATAAGGGACAGAGGTATGAGGAATATCCACATTTCAGCCCTCTTCATGCCCCCTCCAAAAAGCCTCTCTTGAAAGTTGGTGCACCTTCTGATTTCGTATGTGGGGCAGGAGACTGTAGCAGAAAGAAGAATTGTGGGAAATCAGGTGAAGTCGGGTCATGTAAGGGGAATGTGATTATTGAATATAATTATTAATGTTTGATAGCAAAATGCTTTTTAACAGCTTTATATATATATATAAAATGTGGCTACACCATCATTGCAGTCAATATTCTAATAGGTTTTGCACTCCTCTTATTTGCACTCCTCTGGCTCGCCAGAGCAGCGATGTCATTCTGGCCACGTGACCCGGAAGTGTCTCCGGACAGCGCTGGCCCCCGGCCTCTTGAGTGAGATGGGCGCACAACCCTAGAGTCTGTCAAGACTGGCCCGTAAGGGGAGGGGTACCTTTACCTTTACTTTATTTAGCTTCGTAGCAGAACTGTCTGCATGCCTACTTTGTCTTTTGCCCTCCAGGGCTGAAAGAAGTATTTGTTCCTCTCCTTCTGTGGAAAGCTCCTGTATTCTGCATTGCAATGGAGCAGTGCACCACCCATTAGTTTTAGAAGCATGGTCAATTCTTTTTCAGTGGATTGTGTGTATGCATGCTGAGGTTGCTATGGTTACAGTTCGGCCTGCACAAGCACAGTGACGAATGCCTCTGTTGCTACTTCGGTGTTCGATTTCACTAGCTATAGAAACCTGTGGGAGACGTGGTTTGCTGCTACAGTTTCCAGTAACACAACAGGGCTTCTCTTTGCTCTGCTGGAGGCTGTTTACCTTCTGCACTTGGGAGGCTGCGACCTTGCTTTTCCTACCAGGTATCATATTGCTCTCAAGCTGTGAGATCTAAGATAAGGCAAAGCATTTTAAATAATTCCAAATAAATCAGTTTATCGTTTATCACATATACTGCGCTAGGTGCAGTCTGTTAAACTCTTTTCCTTGCTTATTAATTCATGCTGTAATTGCTGCATATAAAATTTTCAAAGAAAAGTTAGCTTTCTGTTAGCTGACACAGAAGCCAATATGTAGCTCTTCCCTTGGCAAACTAAATCAAAACTAAATTATTATTTTTTAAATTTAAAAAAATATATTTTTAAAAAAATAATCATGGAGATAAGGGGAGAATAATGATTTCTTCAATCTAATTAAAAGCTTTAAAACTGTATTTTTAGTTTCTGTGCAGGTGTGTTGGCTGATAGACTGGATAAGGACTTCCCAAATCAAAACAAATAACCTTTTTTTTTTGTCTACTACCCCACTTTCTCTTCCTTAATCTTTCTGCTGACCGCCCCCCAGCCATAACAACTGGCATTTCACTAGCTGTGTTTTTAAGCTGGTAGACAAGTTTGATGTCATTAATCATGTATCCTTTGAAATTTTATACACTTATTTCACAGTGCTGATCTTAATCTCATTACTAATTCAACTTGTTCAATCATGTCTTTGGCCTTTAAAGGAGGGAGTAAAACTGATCAGCTATAATTTCAGAAAATAATTGAGGTCCAGACCTTGGAGACAATGTACCATGGAATAGATACGGTGCTTCGAGTAAGAGCTTGCATGTTTAGGTTTTAAAAAAAGAAAACGTGTGGAAAATTGCTTTTTAAAAAAGCAGTAGCAGCTGCTCATTGTCTTTTGCTGCGTCCATAAGAAAATTACTTTGGTTTAACAAATGCACACACACACAAAAAAACACACGGCTCTCAGTCTTGTGCGTTACCTTGGACAGTGTCTTTTTATTATTATTAAAGATTTTCTTGGTTTACAAAGGTACATACCTTTTCTTTTTCCCCCCAAGTTGCAGACTTTTCTACAGATCAGTTACATTTGTTATGAGACATTAGTGTTGAGTACAGCTTAAGGTCAGGAAGACGGTGGGGCGAGAGGAGGGGTGGTGGTGGTGAGATTTATATTTTTTGCAATGTACGTGTGTGGTCTCGTATCAGCGTCAACTAGATAGGTTCTTTTTCTATTCGCTTGTTATGTTTCCTTGGTAGTGAGAAAGGTTGCGGGCCCAGGGTATGGTTGGTTGTCTGTGGTTGGCTGCAATGGGGTTTGTTTGCCTTTGTGAGGGGAGGAGGGCTTGTTGGGTCAAGTAAGCCAGAATGATTTGTATGCTGTTGGTGGGTAGCGTCATTCTTTTTGATATATCACATTATGTTTTCAATTTGTGTGGTAAACAGCCTCCGGGTGGTTTGGGCAATTTTCTACCTTCCTATGGAAATGCTTCACATTGCAATGTATTCCAGGGCATGTTAACTATCTCATAGATGAAAAGTGCCTGTACTATGTGGCTGCAGGTTCACACAAGTTACTTACCATGAGACAGAGATTTATGTGGCATGACTTCTTGGCAGCAACTAATGCAATCCAAGCAACTCAAAAATTGAGCCTTCGTATGAGCACTGCAGGAGTTAATGGGAAACTGGACTATGGAGTCATACACTTAAGAGAATAATTGGATATGATTATCAGCATAGACTGGTGGAAGTGGTGGCCTTATAACATTTTGGATTATTTAATCATGTTTTCCCATGCTACTAGGGCTAGCCACTGCTGTGAAGAAGTGGCAGGGTGGGGGGGACCTGTTCTGGTGCAGGGTTGGGCGAGATCAGCTTTTCAACATCGCGGTAGATCACCAGCCAAACATCATGATCTGGCGATATACCGCAACGTTGAAAAAACAAGCTGCATTGGCCTTAGCCTGCGAGGCGCCGGGGGAAATTGCTGCAGCTCTCAATGCGGTTTCTCCCCAGCGCTTAGATGTTTGTATGGCTTAGCTGGGGCACGGAAGGCCTCTTGATCCCCACCTGAACCATCCCTGGTGCTCCCCCTGCTTGTGCAGGGCTGGGGGATCCTTTTTTTTTTTAATAAAGTTTTTTATTGATGCAACAAGAAAAAAGAAAACAAACACAAATACCAAATTACACACAAGAATAACCATAGACACATAATTTTCTTAGCAAACAGAAAATTTGGGAAAATTGGGGGATCCTTTAACTGATTGGAGGGGAGCGGCAACTGCACACTCCTCAGCTGAGCAGTTAAAAAATATGCAGAGGGAGGAACAAGCTGTAGCGATACCTTGCTGATGCAGCTTTTTCCCTCTGCGCAGTATGAGGGCAGAGAGGGATGGCGGTTTCACTCAGCGATATATCACCGGTGAAACCGCCGCCACTCCCAAGTCCCTCTGCCAGCAACGCTTGCTGAAGGAAGTCACTAGCAGAGGGACTCAGTGTTGGCGGTTTCACCAGCGATATACCGCTGAGTGAAGCCGACATCACAGTCTGCTCCTCATACCAGTCCTGGGCGATTCTGGTGGTGTAGTAGTTAAGAGTGTTAGACAAGGATTAAGGAGACCTGACTTCAAATTTCCACTCGGTTCACTTTACTGGGTGGTTCTACAAATAAATTGCATGAGGAGCGGGGAGAACCATGTACACTACCTTGAGCTCCTTGAGGAAAATGTTATGTAGATATAAATAGTGTCATTTCACTAAGCCGAAACAGAGGGAAGGACTTTGACTTGCATTTGTCATTATTGGCAACAGATGTAGGCAGAGTATTGGGCCTATTTTAGTATTTCATGAAATCTGTACATTTTGACACACTAAACCAAATGCAGCTCACCAGCCATGTAATGTGACCTGATGACACACGACCCCACCCAATACAGGAAACATAAAGCAAGAGAGTTCATGACTCCCACTCCCCACCCCCTGACATGGGCTACTGTATATGACTGCAAAGCTTTGTAGGCCTGAGTTTGTATTTCTGTGACCGTTACAGGAATAGCAACCCATTCCTTTTCTTCCTGAGGTAACTTGGTTCACCATAAGGTCTGGATGCTGGTGCCATAGAAAAATAGTATCCAATTATTAGTGTGTAAAACAGCCTCTGGTTGTTATCAGGCAGCAGGAAACAGATTTTAGAAGTATAATAATAATAATAATAAATAATAATAATAATAATAATAATAATAATAATAATAATAATAATAAATAATAAATAAATAATAAATAATAATTAATACATCATCCTACCTTGGTTGAAATAAAGCACCATGCCTGACTGTTTGTGTCAACTGAATAACCATTTTGTTTTAGTTTGCTTGCCTCTGCAATGTATGTTTGTTCAGATTAGCATAAGAGCCTGTTGGATAAGGCAAATGGCCCACCTAGTCCAGCATCCTGTTCTCACAGTGGCCAACCAGATGCCTGTGGAAACCCCAAAACAGGATTCGAGCACAAGAGAACTCTCCCCTCTTGTGGTTTTCCAGCGACTGGTATTCAGAAGTGTTGCTGCCTCCAACTCTGGAGGCAGAGCATAGCCACCGATAGCTAGGCCTCTCCTGCATGCATTTGTCTAATCTTGTTTCAAAGCTGTCTAGGCTGGTGGCCATTATTGCTTTGTCTATGCTGAATGAGGACGCTATTTCCTTTTACCTGTCCTGAATCTTCCAATACTCAACTTCATTCAGTTCCAGTGTAATGGTGGGGGGGGGGACTTTACGTATGTACTTTCTCCAAGCTATGCATAATTTTATAAATTTCTATCGTTCCACATATTACTCAACTTTTCTGTAAACTAAAAGGTCCCAAATACTGCAACCTTTTACAACTCTGCAATATCTTTTTTGAGGTGAGGATACCAGAACTGTGCACAGTATTCCAAATGTGGTTCCCCCATATATTTGCCACAATGGCATTGTGATATCAGCAGCTTTTATTTTCTAATGATTCCTAGCATAGAATTTGCCTTTTTACAGCTGCCACACACTGGGTTGACATCTTTATTATTTACTACAAGCCCAAGGTCTTGTTCCTGGTCAGTCACTCCACATGGGTGGAATCTGAAGAGGCACATAGGTGAGAGCTGAACTTTTTCTACTTTACTTTCATTTCATTCACATTTTACCCAACCATGTGCGGTCACTTCCAGTACCTTCCAGGTTGAGGGGAAAGTGTCTGTAGCAATGAAGTGTGCACACACATATGGGAAAGTCTAAAAAACAGATACTTGGTTTTTTAAATCAGTTTTTAAAGTTCTCCTGTCAAAGGGTGTGTGTGTATTTGTCCTATATTGCAATTTATATTTATGTACACTTTAGGAAATCTGTGGCTCTGTAGCCATGCTGAGTTACTAACCAATATTCCCTTTTTGTGAATCAAGGCAAAATGGATGAAATTTACAAGATCTCTTCCACTGAGAGGGTCCAGCAGGTGGAAAAGGAACTAGCTGTACAGCTGGAAGAACTAAAGACAGAAATAGAGGGAAATGGGGATCTGCAGGGGACACGGTACTGGTAAAGAGAACTATTTTCCTCAGACAGAAACATGGTTCTAGTGTAAATGAACTGCTCTGTTTCAATGCAACTCCCATGCATTTAACTGTTTGTTAATTGCAAGAGTAGATGCCTATCTGTTACTATAATAACTATTATTTTATGTATTAAATTTATTGGTCGTTTGTTTGCTACCGCAACACAAAGCAACTCACGGTGTTTTAAGCAAACACATGCATACATTAAAACCAGCATAAAAAACTGAATTGTTATTTTAGCTTCATGATAAAGTCTCAATTAAAATAAATAAATAAAGATTCTATTTTTTAAAAAAAAAACTAGAAACAACCCACCCACACAAGAAGATAATAGATAATTAAAAGCCAAAGCCCTAACAAAAAGGAAATGTTTTTGCCCAGCACCTAAAAACCATGGCAGCAGGTAAGCCTCTCAGAGGAGAGCATTCCCCAAGCAAAGAACTACCACTGAAAAGGCTCATACACCAGTCGCCACTCTCAAGACCTTCCATGGAAGGGGGCACACAAAGAAGGACTTGAGATGATGATTGCAGCATCCTGGTCTGTTCATATGTAGCATTTATCATACATTAATTTTACTGTGTGGTGGCTTTCAGCTTTCTCAGGCCCAACCTGTAGCATGGTACTCATTTTCACTTTAGTTTAAAATCCATAAATATTGCTAACTTGGCTTGCTCTTTCTAGTTCTGTCCTGCTCTCCTTTCTCAAAGTGTGGGATGAACCACCCATTGAAATTAAATGGATTAGGGTGTTGAAAACTGTCACTTTGACTGAATCCTGCTAAACGTTAATGCTTTGTTCAAAATGCATGACTCCATTCAGCACAGAGAACCTCTTCCAAAGGAGATGGCCAGTCAATCTACCCGAATCTAGTTTCTGAGAGCACCTGCTGCATATCCATTCATCCAATATGTATTCTGGTGTGCTGCTTGTGATTTATGAATGTGTTAGACCATTTTGCTAAAAGCAGGGATCTGCCAATGGGCAAAAATGAAAGAGTCGTCATGGGCAGGGTGGCAGTGTATTCATAACTACTGCAGGCATAAACTATATGAATTTTACAAGTTTTTCAGATGATTGACTAATGTACTGAATACTAGAACCACATTGTTTTCAAGTATTTTGTTGCTAATTCTACATTTCTCTAAAGGAAATTTGGTAATCTTTCATAGCTCTGTTCCCCTCCCAAAGGATGTTGATTACTTCAGAAGAGAAAGGGAATTGGCGCTGAAGAAATGTTTACAAGTAAGTGATGAAAATGCCAGTGTGAAAATCAGCGGTGTAGCGTGGGTTGTCAGCACCCGGGGCAAGGCAAGTAATTTGCGGCCCCTAACCCGTGGATTTGCGCCCCCTAACCCGTGGATTTGCCCTAACCCCAGATGTTGTGCCCGGTGCGGCCGTCCCCCCTGCACCCCCCACGCTACGCCACTGGTGAAAATACCCCATTAGATAACGTAAAAGTCTCAGAGAAACCAACCTTAGGTAATCCTGCAGTCCTGTGCATCGTGCTTACCTGTCCTACTGAACTCAGTGATGCTTACCTCTGAGTAAGTATAGTTAGGATAAGCCTGAAGTTCAATCTTTTTAGTAAATAATCTGTATTTTATTATTTCAGCTTTTATAGTTTTTACAGGAAAATAAATTGAGGGATACGAGTGCAGTAATGAGCCCAGTGCAGCTTGTAAGAGCATGTAAGACCTTCTTAATCATGTCCCTGCTGTGAAGGGTCTGGATCCATCTGGCACTATTAAAGTGGTGTCTGATGCCCATTGAGACTAGTAGGGTGGAAGGCAGGAGGCCAACAGTAGGTGGAGCCAGAGCCCATGACAACTAATTCTAGATTTGCCCCTATTCATGTCCCTGCTGAGTTCTATAAGGTTAACAATGAGGGCTCATCTGCAATGTCATTTAATTCATCTTGTTCTTTTATTTATTTTAAAGTTAAATGTTTTGCAATAACCATATGACATTCCTACTGAGAGGATGACATCAATTTTTCTTTCATTAGTGTGAAAACCTGCCTTTTCACTAACCAGTAGTAACATGAAAAGGTTTTTAAAATCCTCTGTTAAAGTAGCACCAGTGGTTGTTTCCCCCACCGAATTTTCACTATTGCAGTTTGGTTGCAGCCCACCTTTCTGCTGCCTCCACCTTCTCTGCACGACTCCAGTTCTCATTGTTGCTTCTGGGAGTGACCCTGTTTAACTTCCGGCTGGCTGGTGACTGCAGGTGCTGTAGACAGAATGAGTTGTGTTTTATTAACCCATCGCTACAACTCACACACTTAATTAGCTCTTTTGGAAAAACCAAATGTGTGCAATATCAGTGGTACTCATAAGTACTACAGCCAGGCAAACAAACAATGAAGGGGGGGTGGAGACTTGGAAACGCCTTTCCTTCTTTCCTTTCCAGACAGTGTGTGAGAGAGACAGGTGCTTTCTTTACTTCCTTCTGTCCTTTCCTCTACTTGTGGGGGGCAGGGGAGAAGAAACAGCACATGTGTTTTGCTGGGTGTGCACGCACATGTGCTGTTGAATAAAGAAGGGACAGACTGAAGAGCAGATGGCTGGGAGGTGGGAAGAATAGCTAAAAGAGTACAACACGTGTAGTTCTTGAAGCCCTGCCTCCAGGTGGTTATACATGCACAAAGCAGTCAGACGTGCAGAGGCCGGCAAAGGACAAATCGAAAAAGAAAACATGGATTTTCAGGTGCAGTGCAGATGAGTCCCGAGATCAAGCTCAAAGAAGCTGACAGCCAGAGCCACTTTTATGCAAATAAGAAGGCAGGCAGGTGGGGTCTGGTTTGGTGGGGCAGTGCCCCATTTGGCCTAACAGTACGGCCTCCAGTGTTTACTTCAGTAACCTTTTGGATTTTTAAGTCTAGTGGTGTGATAATTAACTAGCAGTGTTTTTTCTTTAATTCAGTAATTAAGTTCTCCCTATCATAGGGACTCAGGATGAAGAATATTAACTGTAGTATGTCCCTTTCCCCATGGGATCACAAACACTCTATTGAACTGAGAAAGGAGAGGGGAAATTCTGGAAAAGGAAATATATTTATGATCTCAATCAACCTTTCTAGGGTCTTCATCTTAATCTAACACAGTGCTCTTAACCCCCTGTCGGTTATGGGCCCTTTGAAATTCTGATAAAAGCTTTGGACTCCCTTCTCAGAATAATATGTGCGCGCACACACACACACAAAATTTATTGCTTTGGGGAAAAATTGTGCTAGAACTTAATTTCAGAGCAAAATTATTTTTCTGTCCTTCATTTACAGGTAGCAGAGGCAAAGCCTCTTGTAATTCAGGCTGATCTCATGCAGAGGGAGCTAGAGATCTGTCTAAAAAGAGAATATACATTTGAAAGCTTACCTTTGTTACTGCACCAGGTAATATTTGTCATGTTTGTGATTTGAAGACTCATTTGGCATTTTTCAGTGTGAATTTGCTATCATGGGCAAACATGAAATGAAACTTTATACAGCTATGTCTGTGAATAAAAATAGGTGCCTTTACATAGATTTTTTTTTTTTAACAAACACTACAACCAATATTTAGTATGCTCACAAGTTGGTTTTCACTGTGGTAGCAGCAGCACAAGGAATATCCTGTACATCTGATGGCAAGGGCATAGTTTCATTCAGCTGATTGCTTATCAAATGCCAGGAATAATCAATTGATAATTCCCAGGTAGGAGTTAATGACTAAGGATGTTGCCCCTTAATTATCAGTCAATTTGCAGGGTGTGGTCTATGATCATTGCTCTGCAAGCTGTTCTGTGTGGCAGAAAAGAAGGCAGTACTCTGCATTGTGCAAAGAGCCACTGAAAGAGAGAGATTTGAGAGACTTTAGTTTGATTTAGCTTTAAAAAGGGCAGGTTCCAAACAGCTGCTTAGCCTTGTGACTTCTGTGCTTTGGGGATCTGATACAGGATTAGTATCTGCCTAAAGTAGGATTCTGTTGGCTTCTGTTGTGCTCTGCTTATATATATGTAAACAGATCATAAGCCTCCAGGGTGCTGCTTTCCCTGTCATCCAGAGGAAACCAGTGCAGCCCCAGGCTTCTTGCTTTACTGAGAAGCAAGGAGAGCATAACAGCAGCAGAGCAAGAGTGATTGCTACTTTACATGATACAAAATATGATTATATGTGTTCTTCCCCACAGAAGTTGTACAGGGGAGCAGGAGAATATGGGCCAAGTTCCACATAATTACTTTGACTGGGGGTGGGGAACCTCAGGCCCAGTGGCCCTCAGGCCCGTTGCAAATATTTGGGGTCCACCCCCAGGCCACATCCTCTCTCTGAAGGCCATGCCCTCCCTGACCCTGACTCTTGAACAGTGATAGTTTTCTAGAAAAAATGCCAGAACGTGCCACAAACACCTCCTTTGTTCTGTTGGAACCCACCTGAGAGGTGCTGGAACTGAGTTCCGGTGAGTTGCAGCTGAAAGAAGCCCTGTTCTTTAACTGTGAATGTGTCTGTTGCCTGTGGGATGGAGAGGAGAAACTTCTGAATTGTGTGTGTCCATAACATATCCTACTGTACAAAGGTAATAATAATATCCATTGCTCCACCCATTTTTTACCTCCGGCATGTGGCCTCTGGATGGTTGCAAATAGTGGCCCTTGGTCTAAAAAGATTCCTGACCCAGGTCTTACTTTGGACTCATTCTAGTGCACTGGAATGTTTTGCTTTGCCCCATTTGGACAGATGATTCCATACTGCATCCTGTTTTTCAAACGCCTCTCCATTCCTTTCCTTTTCAGTATTTTGCATGTGCTAATAAAAGAGGCTTATCAGTAGGTCACTACTCCCTGATACACACTTGGGTCTGGCCATTTCCTTGAAGGAAATTAATTTTGACAACTCAAAACCTTTCATAAATTCCAGCACCTATAAATCTATAACAATATATACAAATAAAAGTACCGTATTCTGGAAACAATGCCACTGTGTTTTGTGTGTGTGTTTTTTTAAAAAATCTGTTGCTTTTTGTATAGTTTTTTACAGAGAGAATCACGCAGCTGGTCCAAAGCAAATATTTACACATGCTTAGATGGAAGAGATTTTGTCAGCACAGCAGTGTTATTGAGCAATTCTATCCTTTGTACCAGGTATGCTAATCTCATAGTGCCACAGATGCTAAAAATAGAATCATAGATTTGTTGAGTTGGAATAGGAACATGGGTTTTCCTCCCAGGTGTGTAATAAAAGCTCAGCTGTGTGTTTGGCTTGATTTCCTTTGCATGTAGGGGACAGAACTGTAAATATGTACATATGGTTGAATCCAACTAAGTCCTGCTTGGAAATAGACCCCTTAAAATCAACAGATGCAACTGACTTAATCCCATTGGGTCTACTCTGAATATGTATGGATACAACCCATTGTTTTCTTTCTGTATAAATGAATTTCACCTTATAATGCTCAGTTAACGTTATGTGCAAGATCATGTGCCTTATACATAATTAATCATAATGGGCAGCATCCAGTTGTGACAGCCCTCTATGGCAACCTCATTCTCAGTGTGTAGCTCAAAACCCAGATCCAGTGGCTATCATGCACTTGCAAAAAGATGCTGCCTAGCCCCTGTTGCAATATTATCCTTACACTTGGTCATAAGAAAGCATGTGCACTGCTGCTTGCACAGCAATGGCAACTCTCAAACACTTTGAGCTAATGTGAATTTCAATTAATAATAATAATAATAATGGTACTGCTGCTTCATCAAGGAATAAAAGTTTCCCTGTTTGTAGAAAACAAGACTGTGAAAACCTTTTCCCCTGCTATGCTAATTTTCTATGTGCAGGAACTGTACATAGTAACTATTACAAATAGGAGATTTGGTGCCCTGATAATCTGAAGTGCCAAAGTCTATGGAAGTTATTCCATAAGTGCCTCTTCCATGTGTAAATCAGTTTTAATATTGAAAACCAGAGGCTCAGGGGACTGTTAAAAGGACATGGACCATATCAGCAATGCCAGTTATTAAGATGTCAGCAGCCTGTGGTGGTTTTGAAGATGTCTGTTAAAAGAGTCTTGTGTTCTCAATATTTCTTGGTGCATGGACCTCCATACAGTGAAAAAACATTGTTTTTCAGATTTTATCTAGAGGACTACATCCCCCCCCCACAAATGTCACATTCCTGTTCTTGATTTGAGACTCCTTCTGAGGAGGGAAAGGCTAAAGCAAGGATGTTCTAGATAATTAATTAATCTTTCTGAGAAAATAATGTCTCTTCTCTCTATCTCCCTAGAAACAAGTGGCTCATATTATGCAGGAGTACAATGATGCTGTTCAAAGGGCAACAAGATTGTCAAGTGCCCGGGAGAACTTCCTGGCAGGAAAGGAAAATCCTACAAATTTAGTGACCCAAGAAGACCTGGCTATTTACACACAGTGGCTAGTATGTCACCTGCACTCACTTAAGACCACCCATAACTACCTTCAGGTGAGATGACAATTATAGACTGTAAAAATGAATAACTTAATTATGGAACCTTTGGGTCCCACTTGTGCTTTCAATACAAACACTAAATGCAAAATATGTGTTCCTCTCTGTAGGTACTCCAGTACTTGCCTGTCTCTCATAGAATGGAGATTAACAGACATCCTGTCTGGGGTGATGGTGATAAATTCAAAGCTCTTGGCAAAACTGTATATTTGTCTCCCAGTATCCAGCTCTCTATTCACCCTGACACATCAGCAACAGATGGTAAGAAGGAATTACCCTCACTTGCCTTAGGGCCTCACTGTACAAGACAGCAATATGGCATTAGTTTGCAGTTGTTGCATGTGGTCTGTCTTCCCCAAGTTTCCCTTCTGTTGTTGGGATATTGCATTTTCCAAGCATGCAAACTGTTATATTGATGCTGAGGGAAATACAGAGTACTCCCCATTTGTTTTCTGTTCATTGCTAATTACGTGCAGTGTGTGGAATTGAGCTGTGCAAGCATCACAGTCTCCTATTAGAGACAAAGGAGACGGGCCATATCTCAGTAGTAGACCACCTGCTTTGGATGCCAATGGGTCTTGGGTTCTGCCCTTGGCAGGGGTGCCTGTCCCATTTCACCACCTGAGGTGAAATGAGAAGATATCCCACAGCTGCTGAAGCCTCACTTACTGGGGTTGTGCAGTGACAGCTTCTGTTAAAGTCTTATGAGATCTTGCAGAGTTCTCACAAGATCACACCACCACACAGAATTCCTGAGGCAGCTGCTTTAGTCTGCCTTATGGGCAGGTTGTCCCTGGCCCTCTGCATCTTCAGGTAAGACTGGGAAGGACAAACCCTGTCAGAAATCCTGAAGAACCACTGCTAGTCAGTGCAAACGATACTGAGCTAAGATGAATCAATGACCTGACTCAGTATAAGGCAGTATAAGTTTCCTGTAATCCTACTTCTACAATTTGAGCATTAACAAGGGCATACCATACAGTCCTTCCACTCTCTCAACCTTCCAATCTAAGCAAAGGCCATTTCAGGATAGCAACCAGGTGGGGATATGTAGATATACGCAGACAACATCTGGGCATTTATTCTGAAAGGAAATGAACTTTTATGGAGACAGAAAGTTAATCACGATGATTTGCTTCTTTGCTGTTTACTTTCAGCGACGCATTGTCCAGGAACATTTGTTTTATAGTGTTGTATTAAATAAGGTCTCCAACTCAGTCCGCTTTATAGATCTAAGCTTGATAGATTAAACAGAAAATTGATTAAGCAAAACATTAAAAGCTAAGATAGAGCCAAGTGTAGAATAGTGACACAGATGGCCCATTACTGCCAAGCAGTGAGATAACAAATTAGATTACATATAACTCTACAGATCCTCAGGAGCCTTATTGAACTTTAGCAAGTTGTTGCATGGTGATTAAAATTCTTGGTGTGTCAATGAGTTACTGTACAAAGGACACCTGTGTGGTATAGTAATATCTGGGATTCATAGTATGACTTGGAAGAAGTTTATCGTCAGAAACAAAAGGATACCTTGAAGGGCTGCTGCAAAAGTCTTGAAAGCACAAGACAGAAACTGGTTACTAGTTCTCAAGCTGTATTAGTACAGTTTGAAATTGAGCTCAACAAGAACACTTAATAAGGAACTGAGGCTTATCATGCAACCCAAAATAAGTGTTGACTCACCAAATATCTTCATAGCAGGGGGCTCTGCTGTTCAAAAGTAACCATTTTTTGTTATGACCCCAGAAGACAGTTACAAATATGGAATTTGGGGTGTGCATCTCACAACAACCTTTTGGGCCACCACAAAACACATCCACATGTTTAGAGGAGTGTCCTCTGTGAGGTTAAATAGAGTCATAGCAGTCCCAACACTTAGCACAAGACACTGACAGCTGTGTAGGTTCATGTTAATTGCCAATATATGTAGAAGTATAAGGAACGGGGTGTGCATCTCTCTGCAAGCGCTGGTCCATACCAAATCATAAACCCACATATCCAGACGGATGTAATGTATAGTAGATGACATAGAAGTGTCTGGCCCAATGCTTCATTTTGGTGCGATATACTGTCATACATGGTAACATTGTCATCTGGGGTTATCACATGCTAATGAATATTGTACAAAAATGTTGTGATGGTTCATAATTGTGGTGGTTCTTGATTGGGTGAGCCTTCCTGTTAGGGAAGATGGGCCAAAGCTTACTTTGGAATGCAGGGGCATATAAATCTCAGTTCTTTTAAGTCGTTCTATTGAACTGTGTTTCAAACTGTCAGGTGAATACAAAACTGGGAGCTCATGCTGCCAAGACTTTTGCAGCAGCCCAACTATATTTACATCCTTTTATTTGTGATTTTAGGCTTATAACCTGGCCATTCAAAAGGCTGGCCATATACTTTTCCACCACTCCAGTCTTCCTCAGTGGCCTACTGTAATTTTAATAGTTTGGGGGGGGGTGTAATATTGTATATATATAATGATGCACCACCAGAAGCATAAATTCACCTGAAGGCAACGTGGCAGCATTACAAAGTTTGTTTTATGCATCTTTTCAGTTTATTCTTGCCCTCTTATAGGATTCCAAGCCACACTTCCCCAACATACTGCAGAAATTGAGGAACTAAAGCCTCAACTCAGACTTTTACTTTCTAAATTTCGTATCAACTATGATGTGGAAGACCTGAAGCATTCTGCTGATGAGATGGAACTTTTTTCTATGGTAATTTAATGGTTGCTCTTATATTAATGTATATAATATGTATACTGATGTGGTCCCTCTCCTCCCACTGAAAGTCTACAGCTAAAAGAATAAACAATTCAACCAATTATTTACTTTGATATCAGCAGAGTTAAGTCTATAATGATCTCCCTCCTGAATTTTTTATGATCCTCCAAAGTGTAATAGTAAGGAATTTGGGGCAAGATCAGAGTAATATAAGTACAATTAAATCCCATTTTAAGTCAATAGAAATTAATTATGTTGTTCAATGAAGCGTAAGTGCATACTACTCCTCTCTTTGAACGATCTAACATAGTAACTATTTTGCAGTGCTCAGTGGAAACCTATGTTTACTAGTAGGGCATCTTTTTCCTGGGATGCTTAGGTCATGCATGAGTTTAGAAGCATTTTCAGTAAACAACAGACAATGAGAACATTTCCTGTTTATGATGCTGGAACTCCTGGATCGGAAACCTGGGGTATCAGAGACCCCAACATGGCTTTGAAAAAGAGAGCCAACTGGATTCCTTTCATAAAGGTAATAAGAACTGCATTTGGGTGATCAGATAAATTGTCTGCTCAGGCTAAATGAAGCTTCTCTAAAGCATCTAAATTCCCAGCTTCTCATTAGCAAACCATGCGTACTCATCTTGAGTCGAAGTGGGTTAAATGGTCTCAGTTCAAAGGCCCTTGTCCAGAAACTTGGCATGTGCAGAAATATGATTGGCTGCTACCTTTGACAGAGCTGATTGGATCTTTGGACAGAGTAGTGGGGTGGCTGGATTCATCCCTTCCACAAGTGGTTAGCACTAAGAGCAGCAAGCAAATGGTAAGATCTTTGCACACATTCATTTCTGTACAACATTGGCACACCTGGATCAAGCCCAAATCTGCTGAGTGCTAGTTTTTTCTTTCATGCAAAGCATTCTTTAGTTCCTGTATGTGCAAATTTGTGCACACAAAACAATTCAATATGTCCCAATCACCTGTGCTGCATTAAGACGAGGAATGTGTTTTCTTTATGTTCCTTACACATGGTTTTTTACTGACAAGCAGATTAAATCTAACCAAGATCCATGGCAGCAAAAAATGTTCAGGAAACTGGAGCATCGGAAGGTTGATGAACTGCTGCAGATTCAGTCAAAATTTTTAGAGGTAATAAAAACTGCTGAGTAACTGTTTCTCCACTCCCCACGTCCATTTTTTTGCATTTCAAAGTTCTTGGTATATTTGTAACTTGTATCCACTTCTATCAAACTGTCTCCAATTTGTGTGATATGTAGCAGGTTTACGTCAAATTATGTATTTTTACTTTAAGTGAATCAAAACCCTTTTGGATATTTCATGATGAAGTTTTTTAAAAATCTACACTCATTAACAGGAAAGAATTCCACAGTCAGTGATTCCAAAGACTGTTTTTACTCAGGACACCATGAACTTTCATTTTCACATTTTGTCTTTGCGATTTATAGTGGGGTAGTGTTGTTGTTTTTAAGTACTCTTACGTTATGTCTAAACTTATTTGCCATTCCTTGAAATTTCAAATCACTCAGTTGGATCCAGACAAAGTTAGCCTATATTATCTGAACTGTGGCTTCTGGTTTTGCTAAAAGTCAAAATATGTTGCTGTGACAAACTAGGTTTCCAATCCAGAACAGGTGATGGAGGTTCTTCAGGAGCAAGCATCTGCAGTGCTAGAGCCAAGATCAATGACATCAGCTTTTAGTACTTTTACACCTTCTTTTAATTCACAACAATATGATCAAATCTGGAACAAGATTTACCACAACTCCAGATTCCATCAGGTAAATATGCAGAAGATTTTATAAACTGAAATTTGTGTAGATAGGGATTGTGTACATTTTCTTTTGGAATGAATTTTGTTACTTTTGAAGAGGATCCTCCAATTCAGGGTAAGTTCTAATATTATGTGACAACTGAGCTCCCATTTGACTACCGTGTATTTACGAAACTGCTGTCCATGGTTTATTTTGTGATGACTTACATTTCGCTTCATAATAGTTGGACCTGATAAAATGCCACCACCAAATTCTTGTCCTTAGTAGGTAGCAAAGGTTGATCTCTATATTGCTGCTGTACTTGCCATTTTGATAGGTCACAAGTTGTACAAGCGACAAGAGAACCAGTGGGCTATGATGTAAGGATTCCTTTGTTCATAATTTTATAGTTACGAAAAGCTTGAAAATGAGAACTTTTGTGTGTATTTGTCTATAATAATTAGCCCTTAAATATGGACAGGAGCAAACCAGTGATGATGTTGATAATCCTACCATGGCAACTGGTGAGAAGGATATGGGACATTCCAACTTTAACAAGACCTCCACTTTTTCAAGAAAGAAAAAAGACACAAGGTGAAATGAATATTTCCGGTTCCTCTGTGTGATGCTTATGTTTAATGCTAAAAATGAATGGGCTGTACCAAAGCTGTCAAAACACAAATGGAAGGGCAGCTTCTCAAATTGCCCTGTCTCCTTTCCAGTGTCGGGCAAGTACTTACCCAGGCATTGGGAAGGAAGTAGGAGGGCTCTAGGACCCTGGCAGAGCCTCACACCTCTTTCCCAAAGCTTAGTCTAAGGCGGCACCACAAGGATTGGGGGGAGGGCGTCAAATGGCCTCACACTGGGCAGCATATTATCAAGGTCCACCCCTGCATATGTGTACTCACTGGTACCACCTTAAATGTGACTGCACTAACACACTCTCCTGGGCCTTCTAAATGTTGTTCTGTTCTGGAGGTTTCCAAGTGAGTGATTACAGTAGGAGCTTTACCTCCTAGAAAGCAAATATAAAGAGATTATGCAATTTAGATGTAACTGAGAATCTCTTTGAGGAGCAGTAATTTAATTAAATTTCTCCTTCTTGGGGGGAAAATGTAGTTACACAACGACCTTGCAGCTGCTGGGGTTAGATGAGGACATGGAGGCCGACAGCAAGGGGCTTCCCATGAGGAAAGGAGCCTACTTATCTCTCCTCCTTTTGCGTCACTTGCAAATCCGAGAGCTGCAGGTAAAAAGAAAAATCACATTCAAATGTTCATATTATGCAAGACTGTACATAATAAGACTTATTTTTATTTCATCGTAACCGTCTCATTTGTACCAGAGGATTTGTTTGGGCATCCTCAACTACTTCAGATCTGTTGAAAGAACCCTAACCATCAGCACCTCGGGTCTTGCCTTGAGTGCCGGCCATCTGGTCTCCACTGCTGAAGATTCCTGTTGGGTAAATGCAGCCAAAGGGGGCAGAGGTGCCTATGGTGGTCTTGGTTCACACCCCTATGTGCATTACACACCAGCTGACTATAAGGTGAGGCATTTGGGTACTTTGTAAAATAGCTTCATAGACACATTAATAAAAATAGGTGCGGCACCAAGGTCAACGGGTGCTCCAGCTGACCTTACATGCAGAAGGGCCCTGGTTCAATCCCTGCCACTTCCAGATCCCTGGAGAATTGCTGCCAATCGGAGTAGAGGATCTGAGATAGATGGACTAATGGTCTGACTTAGTGTAAGGCAGCTTCCTGGAGTAGGTCCTGCATGTTAGAGGATATAGCATATGGGCATTAGGGGAATCCCCAGTCTCCTTACAACCCCAGCTCTATTTACGACAAGCTGTATTTACCCAAGCTGATGAAGTGCAGGTCATAAAATCAAAGCCATATGCCTTCTGCAGAAACGCATTTGAGTGTTCCACATCTGACACAGAGTTATAGATTTCTTATCTCTGTTCAAGGGTCGAAGCAGACAAATTAACATTAGGCATATGCCTTCGTTGTATTGCTTTCAATGCCAGCTAAAGCCTTTTTTGCTTAGCCAGGCTACCCTGTTATGTAATTTTCTGGTGCACATTTGCTTTTCAAACTTTCTTTTTCAATTGAAAAATAATTTTATTCTATCTACTGTTTTTGTCTGTTTTTATTGCTATTGTTAAATGGCTATTTTATACCATTTTATGTAAACTACTTATGGAGGGTGTTTTTAAAATTAAGTTGTGTATAAATTTCACTAACTAAATAAATGCAGCAAACACATGCACAAAGTCTCCCTCCTGTACACTGCAGCCTCCCCCATTACTAGAATTACCACTCTAATCGTGTATTTTCAGAAGTGCCCCATGGATCTCATTGGGACTTGCTCACCAGCAAGCATGCTTAGTTTTGCAGCCTTAAAGCAATCTGTTCTATGGATGGGTCAGACTTTTAACATTCAAAATTTGCCTTCAGCTTGAAATTCACAAAAAAATCACTGCTTCCACTCCTAAATCTCATTGCCAATCAGAACTGAATCTTCCTCCACAAGTTTACAGCAGGTCAAACTCTTCCATACCTTTACAAAACTCTTGAAAGTTACACACACACATGTATGTACGTGTGCCCACATGCCCACATGTACATGCACTGTTTTATTTGGTACTTCTAATATAGGCTTCATCATGTATTTATTTTTAATCTGTCCCTGGCACAGGTTCACAGTGTGCAGTTTATGGAGTTTGCAGAGGTAGAAAACCATGATGATTTTTACACCACAGAGGACATGTATGTTCACACCCAGGATCAGCGAGGGGCTTTTGTGATGTACGATGTAGCCCTCCAGGACCTGAAAGAGCTAGAAAAGCAGCTTTTGCTTGTGGCAACCCAGTACATTGAGGCAGGGAAAGGTAAGACTCAGCACAGTTTGGTACACTTCTGCAAATGAGAAGGACAGAGAGGGGGGAAAGGAGCACAAACGGGAATGATCATTCACAAGGATGATCACCAGCCCAAAAGTTGGTATCCCAAAATCTCGGCCAGGGTGCTTGTCTTTGCTAAACATCAGTTTATAGCAAGCTGCTTATTGTCAGCTACTGAGCCAGCCTAGAGAAGTGGGACTCTGGACTGTTTTCATATGGTTGTGTGAAATGTTGAGGTCTATGTCAGTATTTCCCAAACTTGGATCTCCAGCTGTTTGTGGACTACAACTCCCACCATCCCTAACTAGCAAGACCAGTGGCCAAGGATGATGGAAATTGTAGTCTGAAAACAGCTGCAGACCCAAGTTTGGGAAACACTGGTCTGTGTCGATGGTGACACAGTAAGCACCTTTAGGCACCTCATATCACAATGTCTAGTCTACACTTGCTGGACTGGGGCAAGGGACCTTCTTCAAGTAGAGGATTACATTCCCCTGTGAGCAACCTTCCAAGGGCTGAATGTCAGTGGTGGGTGGGGCCAGAGGATGTCACTCTTTTGTGCAGCAAGCTTTTTTCCAGCCAGTGCCAGATTTACGTAGAAGCTAAACAAGCTATAGCTTAGGGCTCCACTCTCTTGGGGGCCCCAAAAAAATTTAAAGGAAAAAACCTGGATGTACATTTCCAAAATATGAGACAAAAAAACAAATAAAATAAAACCTACATTACAGCAACAGTGTTTGTGTTGTGTAGGCTCCTATGATGTAATTAGGTCCATAAATTACCATATAGCATATAGTCAACACAAGAAACAGCGACAATTTGTTGACAAAGGACAGCTGGACATATAAAGGGCCCCATTACCTTCAGTAGCTTAGGGCCTCACCAAACCTAAATCTAGCCCTGTTTCCAGCAATGTAAAACCCAGAGGTTTATCACACTCATTTCTCCAGCCTTCATCCAGGCAAGCAGGAGGTATCATTACAGTTCAAATATTCATCTCACCCAGGCAAAAGCACTTAAGAGGTTGTGGAACAAGGTTGGTGGGCTGTGTGTGGCTTGGGAAAGCCCTTGGAGCCAGATAGAGAGCCTTGGAGAGCCGCATTTTGTTAAGTAGGCATTGTTCTTCCTTAGCTTGCTGGTTTCTGTGGAAATGCCTGTTGTGCTGTTTTTCCTTTTCGAGGTCACAAAGCACACCGTGATTCCAGTAATAGCAACTACTCAGCCTGGGCTCATGCATCAGTGGATCGATCTGCAGTAATCCTTGACCTTTGGACTTGTGAAACAGCTTTCTTAGAAAATAAATGCCAGGTGTATATATATTCCCACATTACTTTTAAAAACCAACCAATCTGAGCTCCTGTTACATTCGATATATTTTTTTAATTAAAATTATTTCTCATCCTTCCAAAGTTGCCTAGAGCTGTCTTTGTGTGTTGGACTATTCAAACCAACTATACTTGCAAACAGCGATCATTAGCATTTTTGGAATACAGTATTTTATATTCCCCTTACCCCAGTCATCTTATGTAGCTCTAATAGCTATAATGTATCTGAAAAACTTAAATTAATTGGTTTGGATATTTTCCAGGGCTATCATAATTCAGAGACTAAAAGTGTGAGATGTGACAAAATCCAAGGCAAATATCAGACTAATGTTTCATTGATTTTCAGTGGGCTTACTTTAAGTATCAATTTAATCTGAATGTTCCATTGTTATTAAATGAATATGAAGCTGATTTTTAAAATTATACTCAATTTTTATCATCTGAAACACAGTACTACAAAAGAACTTGCATTACAAAACATTTTATCTTGAAGCATTTTAACTCTCCTGTTCCACAGCCCATCCAGCCCTTCCTTTATAGAAATTAAGGTCCCTCTTTCCCAAAGTCCCATCCCCAGAATGGCTAAGCCACATAAAACATAGCTGACTAAATTAGCAAATAAGAGAGAGAGGTGAAATAGGGAAAGTTAACTTTTTTTAAAAAATAGAGAGAAATTATCATTCTTTTTTTTTTAAAAAAACCACCTATATATTTTTGCTTTAAATCTATTTTCAGCTTTTGAATAGTTACTTTGAAGCATATCAACATGCATTAGATTCAGAAGAAAGATTTGCTTTGGCCCAAGTTGTAACAGACATCATGTACAGACGCCCTCGATTTGATTTCTATCTTGGGTATTTTGTGAACATCTATAAAGATGAATGTGCTTGCCTTGAGCTTCACCTACAGCTGGTGAGAGGTGTACTGAACAAACAGGTTAGTGGACTCTTTGAGTTTTTATTTATTATTTTTAATCTGTTTTCTTACATTTATATCCCACCATTTCTGCTACATGAGGCTTGTGTTTTTATTTATTTGGTTTTTAGATAGATAACCAACGTGAATATAACCACAGGATTTGGCGTGATGGTCCCAAAGGTGGCACCTGTGAATTTGGTTTCCCCCCATATATAATTGCGAAACAATTAATTGCTATTAATAACACCCCGTGAGTAATGTCTGTCTCTCTTTATCATATGATGCAAGTACTGTATTATAAGGGAGCCCATCTTTAACTTGCTCAGTCAGAATCTTCCACAAAAAGTCACTCTGTTATCCCTTTGAATTAAAGTGAGGTTGGTGCAGATAAGCTAATCAAACTGTAGATGAGTAACTTTGTTTTGTCAGCTTTCACACGGACCTACTTTGCACATAATGTTAAGCCAAATGAACAAATGTGGCTTTTCCAAATGAAGATTTTATTGACAACATTGCAAAGGGAGGTTTACAAAGGTTTTCAGCCCCCCACCCCACCGCACATTACTCCTTTAAACTATGGAGGTTTGAAGGAGAAGCAGGAAGGACAGCTGGGAGTGCACCTTCCTCACCAAACCTCCCATCCCACTCCCCATTGACCTTGCCAAACCTCCCCTTAGACCCCTCCACTGTTGAGGGAAGGTCAAGAACATGAGCAACATAGGGGAGAAATATTTTCTCACATTTGTCCCCTACTGACTAGCAATGATAGCAAATAGCAGCAGGACGGAAAGGAGATACTCTCTCCTTCACTGCCGCCTCTTCGGTGGCAGCAGCAGGACAAAGAAACAAAGGAGGAAAGGCCTTCCTACCCTTCATCCTGCTGTTGCTGTCACTGCCACTAACAGGGGGAAGGGGTGACAGGTGAGGTGGGCAGTGGCAGCAGAGTATGCTCCCGTCCTGTCCTGCCTGTTCCTTTGTTGCTCGCCCAAGCCAGCCACCACCCATGCTGCTAACTCACTTGGCTGGTCAGCCTGCTCTGCCTGCCTGGGCTGCTCACCTACAGTGCAGTTTGCATGGCTCCCCATGATGACATCCTTACATTGTCATTATATACTAGAATACAGAATGATTTATAAATGAAGAATATGTATTTATGCAATTTACATAAAACACTCAGTATGTAAAGGTTTGCATGGAATGTATCAGATTTCAGGTTAGCTTAAACAAAACTATCATTTGTCCTATTAGGCTCCTTGAAAACAAAAGTAATTTCTTGTAATGTAATGATTCTATCCTTTCATAATGCTTTTTAATTTTGTTTTTGTTTTTAAAGTTCGGCTTTGAAGAACATTTATTTGCTCGAGTTCCATCCTTCCCTTGGCCTAGTATCTTTAGTTCCTAAAGCTCTGGGTCATATACTCCAGGAGTTCCAGCAAAGCTGTAGGCCAAAGACAGCCAGGGAGGCAATTAATCTGGAAAAACATGCACTTCAACTTGCCCTGGACACATGGCTGACCATGGAGCAGCCAGAGTCTTTCTATGGCTCTCAAATTCAGAAAGATGTACGTATGTCTTCTACATTCTAAATCTGTGGTGATTTTGTATTGTTTTTAAATAATTCAGGCTATGATATACATTCTTACCTGAAAGTAAGTGCCCTTTTATTTAATAGGACTTACTTTCAAGGAGACAAGCATAGGACTCTGCTGTTAGTGATCTCTGTTGCAGACTCTACACATTCATGTCAGTTAAAATGGACTGATCTGTTGAATATGGTCTACAAATCTTCTTTCTCTTGTTGACACAGTCAACTAAAAGTTTCAATACAAACTTTTAAGGATTTTATGCTTGTGAGCTGGACAAATTTAATGGCACTCATGTGATCTAAGGTTAAACACTCACGTATTAGCTAGTAGAGAACAATAACAGTTATCAACCCATCTAGGAGCTCAGAGAACCCTTATTGTTCTTCTTTAGCTTCAATGGAATCTTCTAGCTAATCCCTTTCACCAATACACATAGGCTTTCTCCATTTCAGTGTCAATTAAGCCATTATATTTAACAGCCTTAACTTGTCATCTGAACCTGAGCTAGTGGTTTGATAAGACAATTAAGCAACAACATTATTTTTACTGACTGTTGAAAGGAAATGTATGTCCCCCATAGTTATTCACAGACGTTCTGGTTGAAGATCCTTGTCTTGTAAGAGAGATTGCTATGTCAGCACTGAAATCAGCAGAAGAGGGAAAGCAGAAACAGGGGAAAGAAAAGCAAGCTTTTATTCTGAACATCTTCTCAAGGCTCCTTGAACTTCTAACCCTCCGCCATCGATTGATAGAGGCAGCAGTAGAAAGTGCACAGCTGCAGAGGTGAAGTAATGGGCACATGGGATGGCAATGCAGGGAGCTATCTTGAAATCCCAATGAAGAAGGATTGAAAGTAACCATTAAGGACTTTTGTGCAGCAGGGGTCCCCCCCCCTACTCTTGGGGTATGTAGGTTAAAATGCATATCCAGTGTGCCATAATATTGGGACTCCTGTTGACGTTTAGGTCTCTCCTCTCGTCAGTCCCTCCAAACCACTATTTCAGGTATGCCGCCTTTATTCCACCAGGATGGGGAACCCCTTTCAGCCCAAGGGCTGCATTCTCTTCTGGGCAACTGTTTGGGACCCACCTGCCAGTGGTGGGCAGGGCCAGAGCAATGAATGTGAATTTTACCTTTGTAGAATAGGCTAGTTTCCACACCCACCCACCCACTCTTCCATCCAGGCAAGCAAGAGGCACGATCAGATTTCAAGGACACATTCCAGCCAAGCAAAAACAGTCAAGGAGTGTGTAAAGCATAGCAAGTGTGGGTCCCGAGGGCCAGACAGAGATGTTCCCCAGCCCTGAGATTCCCCATCCCTGTTTTATACCCACGGTCAGATTGCCCACTGTCTCCCACACCTATTGAGACACAGAATGATTCTTAAACTCCATAATCAATAGCGCACAGTTGCTGGCAAACAAAATTTCTGTTTCTAGCAAAGCAAGAGTTGCCAGCAAGGGTGACCCTGACAGTGGCTAAAGAAACATTGCAAAGTTAGATGTATGTGTTCTTTTCCTTTTAGACTCTACAAAGAATTTGCAGGAGAAATGGGCTTTGATGAGTTCCATTTATACTTAAGGCCCGTGTACTTTGAATTTGCAACTCACAAAGAGAAAGCAGACCAGCCCTCACCAATATTTGTTACTTCTCTTCTAGAGCATCACGACAGTAGTGTGGATAGGTAAACCAGAGCTCTATGGGTATTTTGGCACATTTTCCTCTTCTTTTGATCAGCCCCAAACGCAACATATCTAGGTCCAAATGATGTGGAAATAGAACAGCTATTTCTTAAAACTTTCCAAATTGATCTTCTTTCTAAGCATTGTCATAAAGTGTGACTGGAGCTTCTGTTGTTTTAATTCACCCTTTTCAATATTAGTATTTTAAAAATAAAAAGCTAGTATAATTTCACAAAAGAAAAGTGCATATAAGGAGTGAAACCAAATCCCCTTCCCCGCCACCACCAAATTCAATGCAGCTCATCTATTTCAGGGTTTCTGAGGCACCAGTGTTTATTAACACAAACTGCTGAAGGTTTATTCCATGAAAGAGACCATAGCTGCCATTCTTCTCCGGTAGTATTTCTTAGAGGCTGGGATGTGGATACTCCATAAACATACAGTTGTATTGGGGGCCAAGTATTCTCATTTATAGTTAAGGTCTGATTAGCTTTGCCCAGTTAATCATCCAGCCCTCAGTTGTATCATAACACTCTCTCTCAATCTACTCTGCATATTTGTACTGTATTCTCAATAGCCCCAGCCCTCCTAGATTTACAAAATTGCAATGACTCTATGTCCCCTGGCTTCTATACGGGGTGGTGGGGTGGGGGTGGTAGAAGAGTACTGTAATTAAACAAATGTCTTTTGCAGTTATTTGTAACCAGTCTCCCATATGAAATTAAAACCAATCACAAACTAGCAGAATGTATGATTTAGCACAAGTGCATTTCAGAAATTTGTTATGACTTTCAGAAACAGATTTCTTTTAAATCTATACAAAGAAATATGTCACACATCTCCAGTGTTTCCCTTGTGAGACAGTCAACCCCTCTATTTATTTTAAATATATACTGCTTTTAAGTTGGCCAGCATTTGGAAATGTGACAGATTTTATTTGTCTGTTTGTTTAATTTATATCCCCGCCTTACTTCCAAAGAAGTCCACCTTGTAGTGGTATCATTGGAGACAGGGGCTTAGATCCTAACTAAGCTTCTGCTGGCAGTAAGATCCCATGAGTGGAGTTCTGTTTACAGGACACTCCAACTTTCACTGACCCCTTCCCCTTTGCTCTTTGAAAATCTACTCTGTAGGTGCTGGAAGACTCTCTGAAGAAGCATGACAAGCAGAACCAGAAGCCCTTCGGTTCACAGAAGCATAGGCGCCGACTCCATGGGGCCTGAGGGGGCTCGAGCCCCCTCAAAAAAATTTTTTGGGGGGCTCAGCCCCCCAATAATCTCGGGAGCCCTTCCAGCAGAGCGCCGCCACCGCCCCCCGCCTCCTCCCCACCTGCTCCCTCGCCAGCCAGCCAGCCAGCCGCGCGCCCTAGTCGGAGAGCCCCGGCCGTCCCCCGCGAGATTAGGGAATCCCCGGGGGCGGGGGCTCCTGCCTCGCTGCTTCGCAGCACCACCGCCACTGCCAAGGCACTGCCGGGGGGAATTTCCTTCCTCCTGGCCCCCGCGAGAACAGGGGAATCCCGACTGGCCACACCTCCCAGCCAGCCGATTGGCTGGCTGGGGGGGGGCGTGGCTTGCCCTATTTAGGGCCGGAGCCACTTTATTTGCATATTCATGAGCTTATTTATTATTCATGAGCTTTCCCGGGCCCCCCCAATATTTTTTATAAGTCCGCGTCCCTGCACAGAAGGGTAGTTAGGATCCAAGTCATGTTCTGTAGATAAGATTAAAAATATTTGTAATAAAAAATGTGAATAAGAAGCAAGCACAGCACTTTCCCTTTTCATTTATTTACATTTCTGCATTCATGAATGCTTGCATATTAGTTTGTGTAATTTAGAAATATTTACCTCTTGCAGATATATTCCGTCCAGCTTAATGTTAAACATCCATGATATTGACAATCAAATTGGAAAATTTAGCTTTCATACAAGAGACAGCATTCTTCAGGTGACTGAATTATTTCCCCCCAGTAATTCTCAATACTGTATAACCACAATGAATACATTTTATTCCTTCCCTTCCTATAAATTTTCTTTTGTCTTGCACCAGAAGTTATTTGAGAACCAGCAGTGTTCTGGGTTGTCATTTTTAGTGTAACTGTACCCTGACTATCTCAGTCTCTGTAAATCAGATAAGGGGGATCTACACTGTGCGTAAATTACATTGTAGATGCACCATTTCTAAGTTGAAGTACCTAATTACAGCCATTCAACAAATTTTTAAAAAATTAAAGGAACACAATGAAAGATATTTCAACGTTCCTTTCTGTTTTCCTGGACTTTCCTTCTCATGATTCACCTGGGAATGCACCTGATCTGCAATAGTATGGGGGAGGAAATAAGTATAAAATATGTATTGAAACAGACATTTAAAAGGTGAAGCTACCTCTTCTTCAACATTTCCTCCAAATATTCTGATGAACATTGCTACTTTATTTCATATTCAACTCCATGTGGCATCCAATTTTACTATTTAGGGCTGTGAACGCACTATACATTTAAAGTCCATTTTCATTCCCGTTAAAGAATCCTGGCAACTGTGGTTTACCCTTCACAGAGCTATACAGCTCTCAGTATCCTTCGCTACCTTCAGCTCCCAGTATAAAAGTATACTGTATATGCAACCTTATATTGCACTTAATTATGGTTCTAGATCTATGCAGAATAAAATCCTGCATCTGAATGCAAGTGAAAAGATTTCAGTGAGTCTAAGGATAAGTACATCTATATCAAGAGAAAACTGTGTAACTTCATGTTACGGTTATTATATGAGTCCTTATAGTTTTTATCTTAATTCTTCAGCTGTTACTGAAGTCCCATGGACTAGAAAATCTTCAGATTGCTCTTGCCTGCCAAGTCACTCATAAAAACACACTGCTTGTGGCTGTTCAACAGGCTGCATTTTGCTGTGAGGGAGTGGGCTGAGAGACTTCAAGAGTGTGACTGCCAAGGTCACCAGCAGCTGCAGTGGAGGACGGACGCGAACCGTTCCCAGATTACGTGACTACGCTCTTAACCACTACACCACGACTGGAGCCCTCGGCGATGCTGGATGTGAGTTGCATTTTCTCCCTCTTCCAAACTAATACATTGGAATGCCATTGTGTTAACTTTTTTCTTACTTTTGAAATGAAATCACCACAGGGCTACGTTGGAAGGCTGAGTGAGGAAGGTATATGAAACTCTTCCCTAATAGGCTCTACGACACTCCTCAGAATCGCCGCCAGGTGTGAAGATCCAAGTTTGGGCAAGTATCTTGGGTTGAGGAATCAAGCAGAGATTTAAAATCACACAATATGCAGCAAAGCATGGAAGTATCGGCCACTTAGACCTTTAAAACATGTCTTTCCAAGTGGAGTTCCAAAATAGTACCCTATTCCGACCCAAGCATAGGAGGAAAATACCAACATATTTAGTAACGTTAACAATTGTTTACTTGTGGGCTCTCTAAGGTCAGGTTCATGTGCTTTCCATGCATCAGTCAGAAATATTGCACAGGCAGTAAAACTTAGTTTAGTTCTAAATGGTGAAAGGTCCTAAATTATTGGTATAAGAACTTAAGAGTGGCTTGTGAGAGCCATGCGGTCTGAGCTGGAGCAACTAGCTCAAACCTCTTTACACGTTGAGTTTCTCAGGTAGACAGAGGGAGGAACAAAGACTTGGTTACCTAGTTCCTCCCAAGGTGAGCTAATCATGGCAGGATAGCTTACTCTATGGTCTTAACCCCTTAATGCATTAATTAGACCAGCAATTTGGTTATATGAGGTGGTTTATCCTACAACAAGAACCATTAGGTAATGGGCAGTGGTGTAGATCTGTGTAAAAGGAAATGTGTGTCTTTAATGTTTCAGGAAGGAGGTCTAAGTCTGAGGAGTCAGAGCACTTCAGCAAGTAGAAGTTCTATGGTTGGAACTGAAACAGAAGACCAGTTTCTGGCCACAGCACCATTGGTTTTACATTCCATACGACATTTTGCAGCAGGACGCAGCATTTTAAAAAGGTAGGTTGATAGTGTAATGGGCTGCAGGGTGTTTTCCATGTATGTACGCACACATGTTTCAATGCACACAGCTCTTTCATTCTCACCCTGAGGCTACAGGTCTAAGCATTCTTACTAGGATGCAAGAACCACTGATATCTTCATGTTCCTGCCTCTTCCAGCACTTTCAAAGACCGCCATTCCCATAGCTTATGGCATGCACGTATATCCATTGACATGATCCCACAGTGTTGCAGTTTGGCTCAATCCATACAAGTATTCATTTACAATCTCATGGATATTTTTACCAGCTTTTTTTGCTCTCCCCTTTCTGGCTGGGCAAGGATTGGATGAGAAATTATTTTATGTCCTGCCATTCCTCAAAGGACCTCTATAATACTGTACTGGGGACACCCTACATGATAGGTCCTGCTCATACTGTTGGAATATGTATACACCTTCAGCTACAGAGGTGGTGTTGGATCACATTACGGGAAATAAGTGTTGTATTGTTAGAAAGGAGCCACAGCTGACCGATAGTATTTGCAAAGTCACTATATTTACAATAAGCATGGATTCCTCAGTTAAAATCAGTCTGTTTAATCATGGCATAAATACTAAATGTTTATAAAGTGTAGATATGAGGTAAATATTAGTTGTTCAACTATGCAGTTTGCCTATTAACAGGAAAACGTCAGTATTTCTACCTTCAGGATAACATTATTGCTCATTCTCCAGGCCTCGAGAAGCTTTTGTCTCAATTCAGTTGGAGAAACAGGGTCCACGGGACATGATGCTGAACACGTTCATTCAAAAGAAACAAACCCTGGGGACTAGAATGCAAAATCCTGTAAGTGTGCCAGGAAATCATCTTGGAATTTACTTACATTTTGTTGTATGTGTTTTCAGACTAACGCTTAGTGAACTTTTTGGCTTCAGAATCAGTGCACCCCCAAATGTTTGGGAGTTGTTTAAAAACACACACACAATTTAGAAGCTCAACTGGAGTGTATTGTGGAAACTCAGCCTAATATAAACCAGCATGCTTTGGCACAAAAAAGGTGGAAGCAGCTAGCAAGGGATGCGAAAAAAGAATTTGAGGACCACATTGCTAAATACATCAAGGCCAACAATAAGTTATTTAAATACATTACAGGGAGGTGGCTGGATGACAAGGAAGTCAAAGATGTGCTAAAGGAGGATTAGGAGATTGCGAAAAAGCTGACTGAATTATTTGCAACTTTCTTTGCAACAGAAAATATAGGGAACATTCTAGTGCAGGGGTCTGCAACCTTTAAGACAAAAAGAGCCACTTGGACCTGTTTCTGAAGAAAAAAAACACTGGGAGCCGCAAACATGCGCGCCGCTACCCTCCGATCTGACAGCGGGCAGGAAGGTGACGTCGGGATGGTGCGTGACTAACGCACGCACCGCCCCCATGCGACGTCACAGCCAGTACAGTGCCCGCCACAGTGGGGAGTGTTGGGGCGCACAATGCGCCTCCTCCCCTCGCTAGTATCTGCCCCGGAGCTGCGGCAAAGGTGTAAAAGAGCCGCATGCGGCTCCGGAGCCGCGGGTTGCTGACCCCTGTTCTAGTGCTTGAACTAATGTTTGAAAAGGGGAGTCTGAGAAACTGAGGCCGATAGTAGCGATGAGAGATGAATTTTTAGGCCTGAAAAAGGGCATTCACACACACCAATAGGAAGGAGCAACTTCCCTATGAAGAGAGGTTGCAGTATTTGACTTTTTGAATACACAACTTTCCATTGATGTGTGTCTTTGTAAGATAATATATATGCATAATTATGTAAAACTGGAAATCTTATGTAAAAAAGCAAATGGTATAATTTGTTACAGGAGGAAGTTGAAAAAGTCAAAAGAGAAGTTATTGTTGAATACTGCCATAAGTAAGTACACAAAATTTATACAGCATATCTCCACTAAAGGCTAGTGGAGCTTGTTTGTATGAATGTATGTAAAAAGTTTATTTTCCTATTCTCACTGCAGGCCGATGTTATATTATATTGGTACAATGTGGACATTTCAATAATGGGAAGACAAAGCCAAACAGCCTGTCCTTAGATCAGCTAGAAAATAGAAGACAGTAATGTCCAAGCCTATAAGTAAAAAACAAAAAGCCTGCCAAAATGTAACAAAGCAAAACACAAACAACATAAATAATACTAAAATAATTTCAACAGGGCAAGTTGGAAAGTAAAAGCAATCTAGTTATGCTTCAGGCAGTTTCTGCAAATAAACTGCCTATATAAGAACAATTGTAATAATCTGGGTCACAGCAGTTGTTAGACAGTCCATTATGTTCTGGGAAGGGGGAAGAGAGGAAGAGAGGGAAGAAGAGGGAAGGTGAGTCGCGGTTATCAAGATAGGCAATCCTGAATAAAGAGTAGTAGGCCCTGATTCCTCAGGAGCAAAGGTGTTTTCACCTGGGACATCAATTTTGGATCTTGTAATATCGCTAGAAACAAATTGTGACCCCTGATGCTACATGAATTTTATGTGACTCACCTGAGGGAACACAAGAAGCCTGTAGTTGGATTGGATACTGATTGCAACAGCCTAAACAGTAAATGCAACCTATTTCCAATTGTGTAAATGTAAGAATCACACAACTGATTTGTATGGAACAATGGAAAATATTTAAAGGTGTCTACATTCAAATGAGTGCTACCATTTATTCTTCACTAACGTTGAAAATACAACGTATTTTACACAACACATTTTGTCAATTCATGAGCAACAGAGCACTAAGAAATTACAAGGTTTATTCTGTGCTAATATTTATAATTTGGATATGTCCTTTACATTTCAGTGAAAGAAAACAATAAAGCAGGGAAACTGGTTCTTCAGATATGAGCACTATAATGTTTTGCTAATGCTAAACTTTGGTACCATTTTAGGATGAACCATCGTATATCACAATACTCTCTTCGAAGTCAGATTATTGCTTATTACAACAGTTTAAAATCTATGCTAGATGATTTCCCCAGTGTGAGAGACAAATACTTCATGATTGGGTTACCGCAAGAGAAGAAAGAAAAACAAGAATTAAAAGAAAAGCCTGAAGATGATCCCAGGTATGTAAATACTCTAAGCTGCTTGTTTATAGAGTTTCATATCGTGTTGTTTTGCTAATTGGGGACAGTGGGATTACTGCTGCTAGCCAATAGTTTCGTTCTTTCTGGCTATTAGATATAATCCCATCAGAGAAAAATGCAGAGTATAAATAAATCAACAACAACCCTGTGAGGTAGGTTAGGTGGAGAGACAGTGACAGGCCCAAGGTTACCAGTAAGCTTCATGGCAGAGTGGGAATTTTAAAATGGCCTCCCCAGTTCTAGTTCAGCATTCTAATCACTACACCTGTTTGGAAAGGTCAAAGGATATGATTGTAAGCTTATAAAGAGAGGGAGAATGATGCGAATAAAGCCCATAAGTGTTATCTTCAAAGTGGGATTAGAAGCCCACCTCCCTTCCCCTGTTAGACGGAGAGGTAGCTTAGGAGGCTGCTATTTGGTTTGCTTGTTTTATCATATTTTCCTTTGGAAAACTCGGAGCAGCTTGTGGGGGCCTTCCGCTGTTTCTCATCTAGTCACTTTATCAATTCCACACCACCTCAGTTTCCACACTGCTATTTTTGCCACTGTTGTGTTATCGGCTGCTTGGGAGAAATTTGTGTGAAAAGGCACCACTTAATATAGTAATTATAAAATTATGATTATATAGGTTATATTTCTTGTTTTTATATATGCATGTACCACATGCAGCAAACGAGAAACGACTGTATAGTTATTGCGCAAAAATACCTGTTGAGTGCCACAGAACATTGCAATGTGTTTATGCAAGAAATTCACTTTTCTCCTGTAACAACTCAGGTCATTCCAGACACGGCCTCGTGGTTTGCTGTCCACAGATGGACGGTCCTTCTTGAATCTGTGGTTCATCCCTCACCCTTCTGAAATCCTATCTGTGTTTAAAATGCTACCAGAGAAGGTTCGTACGCTATAGTCCTGAAGAAAACTCTTGTCAGTCAAACTGTATAGATCATGGTGGTCCAACATGCTGCCCTTGATTCCTTTTTTGGTGGCCCCCTAGCAACATTTGGTGCCCCTCCCAATCCTTGTACTGCCTTCCCAAGCTGGGTAAGCAAGGCACTTTTGATTTGGGAAGGAGGTGTGAGGGCTCTGACAGGGTCCTTTCCAAAGCCCTAGTTAGCACTTTTCGAGCATGGGGAAGAAGGTGGGAGGGCTCTAGGACCCTGCCAGAGACTTGTGCTTCTTTCCCAATGCCCTGTGCTGCACTTAGCCAACTTTGAGAAGACAGCAAATTTGGGCCTTGCTCCCTGCCTATTCGCACAACAAGGCAGTGTGCAGCTCGCGGCTTCTGTGTTGAAGTACTCCTGTGGCCCACTTGGTATGAAAGGTTGGGCTGCCCTGGTTTAGATTAACCTGGTACTGGTCTCTTTTGTCATGTTGCCATATTGTGCTGCTGTTGAAATATTATTAGAAGCTACCATGGATTCTGCTGAATAGGCTGGACTAGGGAATATGGGAAGATTTCTGAAAACTGGGAGGAGGACATTTCCATGAATGGGGCGTTCCATTCGCAGAAGTACCTCCCTCCCTTTTCTCCAGTCCCTTGCACCACAACCTTTACTCCCAAAGCAGCCGACAATTAAAATCCACACAAAGATAAGAGGCTGCATGAGTCGCAGAGTCACAGGGTTGCAATGGCAGAGGAGACTTGCCCAGAATCTAGCAGAAGCACCCTGTATGAACAGAGCTGCATGCAATTTGGGCCAATCGCCCCACCCTTACAGTGTCCTGTGTAGCCTTTGGATTCAACCCAATGTAATTAGGAGTGTGTGGTTAGGCAAAGATTGCTCTCTTCTGCCCATGGCAATTAGTAAAACACTTGGTAAAACTATTCAAGTTCTCTCCAGTGGGAGAGAGGATTCCAGGGGGGAATGGGTGATCACCAGCTGTCTAGCAGCCATGGTGGAGAGAGCCTTCTGAATTCCACCAGCTGCCTGAGGCATGGGTAACAGTTGTAAGAGGGAGGAACTTAAGACCTTAAAACTGAAAACCCCACTCAGTTCTTGAATATTAGATGTTCTATTGCTATATGATGAGATACAAGGGAGGGAGGCAGCTACAAAATTAACCCCTAAGCAAAAACTGATCTGGTCCTCTCCAATGGTAATCCCAAAATCTACCACCTCAAGTGGACTGCCTCTTTTGTCTAATGGCAGAACTAACATTGAATGAAATGAAATAAATACAGAAAGCCTATGGGATATTAGTAATATTTTCTGGAAGGGGTTTTGAACAGTTAGTAAAGGTAGCAGTCCAGTCTAGAGGTGTTTTCAGATGAGGCCTCAATATTGCCAATGGGTTGTTGGCAACCATTACTTTTAACTTATTGGATTTCCCCCAGAAATAGGGGGGGAAAATGATTAAATGGGGGTGGGGGCAAGCTGGTGTTTTGATGTTGATGATGTTGTGTGATGCTACAGTGCATGAGAAGCACTGATCCAGGCCCATGCAGAGCTTGTCTAAGGCCCAGAGTCTTGAGTTATAAACTCAAACAAAAAAAGCACCTGGTCCCTGGTGGGGCCCCTCAGCCAGCTTAGCCCTCTGAGGCCCAGGGCAAGTGTACCTGGCTGCCCCCCTCCCCTGTGTGGGCCTGCACTGATCCCACAATTAACACCCATTAGATTGCAAATAGCAGCTGCTGCTTTCAGTTTGTGATTGCTAAATGGCTAATTGATTATGACTTGTGTTTAATTTTTGAAAGATTTTTCTCCCTGTATTTCCTTCCCTTTTCCATAGACTGGCTTCAGAGCCCTGAGGCAGACACTGCAAATTGTTGCAGCTTTTCACGACATTATTTCCTACATTTTCAGCTTTGCACAGCTAGGAAATGCAACAGGCTGCCTTGATTATGTGTGTCCTCCTGACCATCTCACTGCAGAATGGGGAGGGACTGAATGGATCGGTTAGTAACAGATGTTCTTCTTTGAAACAGATAGTGAATGTAAGGGCAAGTTTGAAATGCGCTGTTCAAAGGAATACTTTGGGTATAGATGTCTTAAATCAGAAACTGCACATTTATGCTTAACATCTGTGATTCTCTCTCTCTCTCTCTGTGTGTGTGTGTGTGTACACACACACACACACACACACACACACACACACACACACTATTTTCAAATTAAGAGTTTCTGGTTTGGGAAATATTTCCTCAAACCATATTGACTGGTGATCCAGTCATGTATGGGTTTTCCTGGAGCGGGGGGGGGGGCGGTCTTTCCCTCACACATTTGACACTGTTCAAGTTAAACATTTCTGGTTTTTTGTGGTAAATATTCTTACTTGATTGCCTTTGATGCTCTATGAGACTGTAATCTGATATCAGTGAGATTTACTGCTGAGTGAAACATCTTCAGCTGAATTGTCAGATGTTCTAAAGAAGGACATCCAGTTCATTGAAACAAAAGATGGGCAGGGAGGCGTTTTCTGGGCCCATATTTAAACTACAAACACCTGTACAGCCCTAATTTAATGAAAAGCTACTATACATTTGCCATTATGTATTCTGTTGGATCTTGTTCACAAACCAAATTATTCAATCAAATGATGTTTTAACTGTCTGCTGAAATGGTCATATTGTATGGCTTGCTGGTAGCTGAGACTCATAAGCTGGGTTTTGTCACAGTTTTCTCTAGAATGGAACATGGTTGTATTTTACCAGTTCTTAGGTTATGCCTGACTGTATGTATGCGCATCCATGCCCATGAGTGGATATATGCATGCATGTTCAGACTCATGATCTTTGTGCATGTTTGCACTAGGGTGTGACATACACTCTGCAGATGTTGATTGTGTGTGGTGCTTTCAAGAAGTAAGGAGCAAAGTAATGTTTCTATAAGAAACTAGGCAACTTTCTCTGCAATGGTTAAAAATAGATGGTGTGTGCATTCTGATCCTATCCTTGGCTGTGATTACAAGGGCTGAGCCAGTTTGCCTCCTTGGATTTATTGCCATCCTTGGGACTGAGCTCCTGTTGTCCCAAAGCCACCATTGCCTCCCATAGGTTTCAGCTTGGACTGAAATTAAATGGGTAGAAGCATTGGGTGTAAGAATGAAATAAATAAGGCAAATGAATGCCAGGATATTTTATTTATGACTGCTGTTGGGATTCTAGGAATTGAGCTCCAAGACCTGCAGAAAAAAATAGACCATCTTCATAGTCCCTCAGATCCGAAGAAAGTGGCGCAGATGCTGAGCATGCAGAGAGAAGTCACACTTCTGCAATTTGAGGCAGCTGTTAGACATTCTGTGCGGTAAGAGATTAGCATAGTTCAAAAATAAGGATGTTGATTCAAGTTGGGGGAAATGTCCAAAGGAAGGATCTAGCAGGTGTTTTCTTTAAGGCTGAAACTACACATTATGAGAAGTTGTATATCACTTTCCCATGACTCTTTAAATTTCTTTTAACCAAAAGCTGTTATATGAAGCTGTAGATTTAAATAGAAGAGGGGAGATGCACAGAGGCTGCCTATTCCCACCCCACCCCACCCCCACCCCGGCCATTTGCCCCACTTGAAAGTAGCTCCTTGACGTTTTCCCATTTATTTGAGAAAACATACATGTACCACTATCTTTCCCCCTGCCAGCTAAAAAGCAGCTGGGGGCAGGGGCAAATTTGTTGAGGACAAAAATGGCAGTGAAAAAGAGTTGCAACCTATCTTTTTCCCCTTCCCCATCTTTCCTTCATTTAAATTTGCAGCTTCTTGAGTTTGCTTTTAGTTGTCTTTTATATATATATTAGCTGGGGAAAGTTGCACATGATTGTGTGTTTGTGTGTTTCAGCCTGTGATTCCAAAACTTATAATAGCAGCACCACCTGCATTCTTACACCTGTTGTTTTGCTTTTATTGGAAACCTTTCCGAAAAACGAATTCTAAAAATAGCAGGTTTCGGTATTGTGCACCAAAGCCACCTTTAAAATTTCTGATCATGGGAGGTGTACATCTAGCAATATTTTAAACACTGATTAATCTCAAGAAGATATATAATAAAGATATTTAAATGAAATTAATGTTTTCTTTGTTCATTTCCATGTGTTGCAAAAAGGTGTTGCATTTCTGTGTTTTTGTAGAACCCTATGCTGTAATACATAGATTTAAGACAGTTGGTCATTTAGATTATTTAATCTGCACATTAGCTAATAAGAAGTTTTAAAATAATATAGCAGCCTTCACCTACCAGGTCCCCTCTAGAAGTTTTGGACTACAGTTGCCATCCGTCCCAGCCAGCATGTCCATACCTGAAGGAAGAACTTGCACGTCTACCCTGTGGTGAAATGTGTGTGAGTTCCAAATGCACATAGGTTAGGAGCCGGAGTAAACTCTCAACAGTGAGAGAGTGCAGTGGGTTTGCTTTGCTTTCTCCATCTTGAATAATAGAGTTGGAAGGAACCCTGAGGATCATCTAGGGGTTGGGAGAATTCTTGAATTCTACCAGAAATGCTACATTGATTGCTATTGCTCAAGGGCATATTTATACAAAAAGCTTAAGATGGGCATTCCCTGTGTGTAGGAATAATGGGAGTCATAATTCTATGAGGAATAGGTCTCAAGCAGAGAATTCTCAGCATCCTTTCCTGATCTCAGATTTCCTGATTTCCAGGATTTGGGGGAAGAAAACCATAACCGTTAAACTGGCCTAAAACCTCTCTTCAAAAAGCAGGGCTTCTCGCTAAAGGGCAAATCTCATGTCACTTTCAAGCGAAGTACATCGTCATGCTAATGTTCTAAATTATGGATGTATGGAGCAGTTTGAAAATAAGTACATGTTAAAATCAGACCTTTTAAAAAACAACATTGATTAATAAATAGGAAATAATTTTATTTTATTTGCTTTTATAATGTATTTTTTCCCCGGTAACCCTCCAGAGAAGCATTTTTATCATCTGGAAATGTTTCTGCCTACCAGAGCATTACGGATCACATTTACCATGGGTTGCCTCCCATAAGTAACACCATTGTTGGAAGTGCCTTTGCTTCCCAGCTCCGGCTTCCGCAGCCTCTAGATCCACATGGCCACAGAGTGAGTAAAATAGTCTTCCAAAGATTCCTCTTCCTTAACTGTTTCCTTCTCATTTGTATCATTGTTAGCTGTGCAGTCAGCACAAGGCTATATGTATGTGTCTCTTTGTTGAAAAAGCCAAGATGTCTCCTTGGGGTATTTTCTCAAAATACAAAAGGTTTCATCACAACAGTCTCCAGGTTTTTTTAGCCATTTCTCTTTTCGCCAGTCCACTCTAGTCCACCAGCAGTGGCATAACTGATGTCAAAATTTGAGCCTTTTGAGTCTCTTGCATCCTAAATCTCATGATGGCTTAGGACCTAAAGCACTTGGTTCACCTCCTTATGGCAGCGAATTTTCTCTTCTCTTGGGTGGTTCCCTGCTTGTGGTAGGCAGGTAGCCCAACTCTTTTGCTGTGGGGCACAATCTGTGGTCTTAACTGCCATCACAAGACAGCACAGTGTGGATAGCATGCAAAGGTGCAGTTTTTGCACAGTCAAGCCTGGTGGCTCATTAACTGCAAATTAGCAGCTGCTGTGAGCACAGGACAGAATTGGCTGCCAAAAGCAGATCACTGCTGTGCACTGCCCCTGGATCAACTGGTATCTTGGGTCTAACCATATTAATGATATAATTAGCAATCATGTTGTGGGCTTTTAAAAATTAAATACCAAGTGCATGGAGGGTGGGAGGGCAGAGAATGTCATCATTGGCATCACAGCCTATAGGGCTTTAAGTCTATAGGCTTTAAGTCTTCCCTCCTCAACTGCAATTTCAGTAAAAATTCATTTTCCCCGCACATGGCAGCAAGCATTATTAGGAAAATACATCTTGTTTATGTCAATGCAAGTTTTATCCTAATACTATTTGCTGTATGGGGGGGGGTGGATTTGAGAAAGGCTTAAGTCTCCCCATGTATTGCTATGCATATACAGTGGTACCTCGGGTTAAGTACCGGTACTTAATTCGTTCCGGAGGTCCGTTCTTAAGCTGAAACCGTTCTTAACCTGAAGCACCACTTTAGCTAATGGGGCCTCCCGCTGCTGCCACGTCACCAGAGCACAATTTCTGTTCTCATCCTGAAGCAAAGTTCTTAACCCAAGGTACTATTTCTGGATTAGCGGAGTCTGTAACCTGTAACTGAAGTGTATGTAACCCGAGGTACCACTGTAACATTTTTTCCCCCTCCAGCTTTTCTCTGATCTGGTATTTAGAAGTTACTATGGTACCTCAGGTTACAGACACCTCAGGTTACAGACTCCGCTAACCCAGAAGTAGTACCTCGGGTTAAAAACTTTACCTCAGGATGAGAACAGAAATTGTGCGCCGGCAACGTGGCAGCAGCGGGAGGTCCCATTAGCTAAAGTGGTACCTCAGGTTAAGAACGGTTTCAGCTTAAGAACAGACCTCCAGAATGGAATTAAGTTCTTAACCAGAGGTACCACTGTATTTTGATTAGCACAAGAACTTCCACCTGTAAGCACTAAGCAGCTGTTGGGTAGTTACATCAAGTCCCACAGGGGTCTTCTTTTGTACCTGGCTTGATTTCAAGCTGAACTGTAATGGATAAAAGGAAATAATGGGGGCATGATTTGGTGAAGTTGGGTAGCCTTACTGCCACTTTCTGCCTAGCAGAGAAAGGTGCATACTGTTAGTGAAACTGCATTTTAGGATATTTGGTTTATATGTGCTCGTAGCTTAATATTGCATTTTAAAGTTGCAACTCTTTGTTTTTAGGCAGTGTTGTTGTTCCCATGGAGAACATTCCTAGCAAACACAGGTCCATTTCCTGTTATTATCAGCAACCTAAACCCCATAAATTATAATATGCAGGTATGGTACTCTTATTACCTCTAAGGTATATATTAAATTCAACTGGGGGCTGCCTTCCCTACTCACCAACCCAAATTAGAATTGTTTTTATGTGCAGTTGTTCTTAACCGATTTTATATATGTTTCCTTAATATATGTCATTATATTGTAAATTGCTTTGAGGTGCCTCATCACGGGAAGCGATTAATTAATTAATTAATTCATAAATAAATAAATAATTTTGGAAGTAAAAATTGACTGACTGACCTTTCTAGCTATGTCTGTGTGGACTGAATGATGAGGATCGAAAAGTAGTCCATGGGGAGCTGGTCGAGATGCAGCTTGCAATGGAGGATGTACTCTGGAGTAATTATGAGGGTCTGAATGGTCATGGAGAACAGAGAGCATCTTTTGGAAAGGTAAATTAGAGACAGCAACTCACTGACATCTGGCACCATCTTTGCATGAACAGTTCAGTTTAACTAATGTGGTTTTTATTCCTTTTTTTGTAAAAAGATCTAGTCAAGTTTCAAGTTAAACAAAATCACATGGTTGCAGCGCTTGCTGGAATGTAGCATGCTAGAAGATATTATATATTAGAATTGTGTACTACTGTATATATGAATACAAAACCTCTGCATGTAAACTGGCAAGCGTGTGTCTGGCAGAAGTGACTTACACAAGTGGCACAGTAGATGACTGAGCCAATCAGAATGCTAACAAATGTGGTGTACAGTTTTGTATCTCTTGAGGTTCTTCTCTTTATCAGTGTGAGTAGTATGAGGTGATGCAGCTTTTGTGTCTAAAACATCTGCTCTGCTACATTTTCTCAGCCTGCAACACTGGCTAACACTGTAATGCAGCCCTGCCTGTCACTGTACAGTTACTCGGTCTCTCTAATCCTCCCTCACATATACACAGAGAAGTCCAATCTCCCTTCAATTCACTCAGTGTGGAATGGGTTTTTGTGTAGGAGAAGCAGAAAGGATAGCTTCTGGCCCTTCTGCTAACTTCTGAGGGCATGGCTGATCAAAAGCCACCTGTCAATCAGACCACACCTGGGTCAAGAGATGACTGTAACCAACAGACTTTTGTTCTCCATCTAACTTTCAGTGCTGCTACGTCATGTGTGAGGAGACCAGAAGCAGCTACAGCAGGATAGATACAACTGAACTAAAATGGTTTTCTTAATTTTCTTAAAAGCACCATTCTGCCTCTTCGCTTTGTCATCCTAACTTTTATTCTTAATTAACTTATTAATATTGACTGTTTGTGTATGCATTTCTGCCAGGCTCAATTATTTCTTCCTCCTGTGCCTAGACCATTTGGCTTCATGCTTCACATGCATTTATAAGAGGGATTTGACAGAGAAAAACAAGCTACCTTGGGCTCTGGTGAGAGACCAGGAAGCTGGGTGCTTTCTCTCTGTTTCTCCTCATATAAATATTTACCTTAGACCCTCAGGTTTCATATTCCCCACCCCCAGATTGGATGGCATGTAAGGAAAGTGTGGTAGGCATCTACCTGAGAGTCCCTAGCATGGCTAGCCTATCCAGACTGGCAGTCATGGCAGAAAGAGAGAGTAAAAGTCTTCCCTGCCATTATAAATGTATTCTGGCTTTAAGCTTCTGTGTCTGACGCTTTCCCCACAATGATTTTAGCAGAATTTGGCAATGACAACTGAAGCAAGTGGAAAGACTTCAAAAGCACTGTTGGAGCTGCCTGATTCAGTGGCTTCAAGTTCCTTGCAGAAATCTTACCTGATACTGTGGAAGCAACTGGAAATTTTAAAAGCAGAATGGGGAAGGCTTAAATTAAAAGTTGATGATATCAACACAGTTCCTCTATACAAGCAATTTACTGAACAATACGGGTAAGTTCCATTTCCATGTAATAGATTTTGGAGTGAAGGTTAATCATCAACAGTGCAGACAACAAAGTAAAGAAAAAAACAGTACTCAGTGCTTTTTCATTTTCCTGGGTTTTTCTTGCTCTTTTATTATAAATTTGATTTCATTTTCAACAGTTAAAACTAGATTACTATGAAACACGGCATTTCAAAATCTTGTCTATAAAAAAGCGGGGTGGGATGGAAAGGAAAATAAAGTGGAAAAGGGCTTTCTTTTCCTTGGCTTTCTCCACTGCAACCAGAAACCAACCGCAGAGTGTTTAATAAGGCACAAAGATGCAGGAACCTGCCCCACCCAGCCAGCCCATGGTACATTATGATGATTAAGTTACTGTATAATGTGATTCATAAGGAAAGCATTTTACTTGTATTCCAGTCATCCTCAACAACCTTATGAGTGGCAAGAGAGTTACTTTCTTGCTTGCAATCAGCCAGTTAGAAATGTGATCTGTGATGCTTGTGGTCTCATACACAGTGTAGATGATCAGTTGTAGGTTTCCTGATGGTTGGTGAGGGACAAAGGACCATTTTATCAGTCCATTTAGATCCCATCTCACACTTGCCAGGTAAATCTTTTAACTCCTTTAGGGAAATTGCAAGGAGATGGCTGACACGGGATCAGGGAAGTGACTCTCTTGACAATGTATCACTAGGATTTCTTGATTTTCCTGACAAACAGGATTCAATTAGGTGCTTTTTGAGTGTTTAGGAAAAGGAACATGCCTTATTCTGGAGGCATAATGGAGTCAGAAGTTCAGATTTTGCCACATTCCCAACATGGAATTCACCTTCTTCACAGTTGCCACACATTATCATCAAAGCTGGCTGCCTCAATCACAATGAGTCTCAATCCTTTATGAACAAGTTTAAAGGCACATAGAAAATTGTAATATTGAGGGCATGCTAGAAACCAATGCAAAATAAATGGAACACATCAAACAAGAGAAATTAAGCATGTACAATGTCTGTATCTGCATTTTTCTAGTACTGAAGTTCTGTATCCTGCTATGAGAACCATGGCTATACATATGGGTATAGAAGATGAACTTGAAGGATTTGGATTGACATATCACTCTATTCTGCTCCCTAAAGACGCTTCAGAAACCGAGATAAAAAAACACCAGGTAAAACATAGCTAATGGGCAAGCAGGATACAAAAAGAGAATGATTTTATACTTTTAAAAATTGTAGTAAAATATAGTTTCTGTGGTACATTAGAATCCCATACATTAGAATCCTTCCCAGCAGCTTAAGATATAGTACAAATGCTGTGAGTTGTCTATCCATATTTTACTTGTTGCAAACAAATCCTTAACATGACTATGCTCCCTACATAATGGCTGACTAAGCCTCCACCACCCTCCACGCACACACATCCACCCTGATCTTACACACACAGGTAGCCTGAATAGTGTCTGCAGGCAGAAGAAGCTACCTTAATAGTTTTATGCAAGCAGAAGTTTTGTAGCTGGCTCTGAAGCTGTTTGGAAAGTTTGCAGAGCCATATACGATAGTGGCTTGTGCTCCTGGCAAATGGTTCAGATAACCTTAGACAACATGGCCCACCAAATCAAATGCCGCTCAACAGGTATTTGTTGGAAACATGCTTATACCAAATAAAACTATTGCTCCAGCCATTCCTTACACAGTATTGTTTGACTCTGCCTCTGAGCTGAAATGTTTGGTGACTTGCTTGGGGCTTGATAACTGTCCTGTTTTTCCTGTCCCCGCCAAGCAGCAAAAAAACAAAGTTTATAAAGCCCTTAATACATTCATCAAGTCAAAAGGCCTGAGTCAACCTTTTTGACAGGTCAGTCCTCAGCTCACAGTACCTCTGGCATTGCTCCTGATGCTCTCTGACAATAACTATCAAAATATCTTCCAGTAGCACCTTAAAGACCAACTAAGTTAGTTCTTGGTATGAGCTTTCGTGTGCATGCACACTTCTTCAGATACACACTATGTATCTATGGCACACTATGGCAGACCAACACGGCTACCTATCTGTATCAAAATATCGTTTGTATAAAAATGTACTTTTGCTAGGTTTATGATTTTTTAAAGCTGTCAGGCTGTCACTTGATTAAAGAAATCTTAGGCAATTAATCAAATTAATTTTCATAGTTTAATCAATTAAAGGTAAAGGTAAAGGTACCCCGGCCCGTATGGGCCAATCGTGTCCGACTCTAGGGTTGCGCGCTCATCTCGCTCTAGAGGCCATGAGCTGGCACCGTCCGAAGACACTTCCGGGTCACGTGGCCAGCGTGGCGAAGCTGCAGCTGGCAAGCCAGCACCAGCGCAGCACACGGAAACGCCGTTTACCTTCCCGCTATAAAGCGGTACCTATTTATCTACTTGCACTTTGACGTGCTTTCGAACTGCTAGGTGGGCAGGAGCTGGGACCGAACGACGGGAGCTCACCCCGCCGCAGGGATTCGAACTGCTGACCATACGATCGGCAAGTCCTAGGCACTGAGGTTTTACCCACAGCGCCACCCGCGCTGTGTATTCAATTAAATACACATAAATGTCATTGTTTTGAAGAAAAAGCATACTGTTTTAATATAGTGCATGCAAATGTTGTACCACTGTAGATGTGCGCTTTCCTATTACTTGAGAGCACAGGGAGACTGCCTCTTCCAAGACAGACTTGCAGTCTCATAAGTACTATCATTTTAAAAACAATACACTTTAAAATAGGTGTTGTCTATTTAATTCAGATCCCATTTTAGTCTATTTTAAAATACATTAAGGTGATTGATTTAAAATTTTAACCCCTTGATCAATTAACGATTGTAGGCCTTAAAAATGATTAAAGCTGCTGCTGCCTCATTTAGAGTTTGGCCTTTACTTTTTCATTTTAGGAAGTCTAAAGTGATTATATACTTTCTGAAGAAACATGGCTTCTGAATGGTTAAATGAAGATATAGTTAAAAGCAAGCTAGTTTTTTCTGCTTTTTTATCCTAGCTGCAAAAACTCTTGGAAAGTCTAGAAATACATATGATCCGTGATGTACAAAAGAAAGTTAACAAAGAAATAACGCTGGTTATATCTGAAAAAACAAGAGAAGAAAGAAACCTCTCTACAGGTAACAACTGAACCATCTTGCATCTAGCTTCTAATCCGAGTTCTGTTTTGACAGGGGGGGAAGTGAGAAACAACACCCAGTAGTTGCTTGTGTACATACCACAGTCACTATGTCAGCACCACCCTGAATTTCTCCATATATCATCTGTCTTTGGTGGTTAGCCATGACCCACATAATACTTTCTTCAAAGCGCTGCAACTGAGGAGTCATGGAGAAAGTTGCCACACTAAAAAGCACTAAAGCTGGTCACTTGGAGATGCTTTCTTCAAACAGCAAGTGTAAAGAGGCCTCTGCATATATTCAGCAGCCCACATTTGTGTTGTCTTAAGCCAGAGGTAACCAACACTGTGTCCTCCAGACATTGTTTCATGTCCTTCTTATTCCACTTTTATCAGCATGTGGGATACATCACTCTTGCTGCACCTGTAGGTTTTCTTTTTCCATACAGAACAGTGGGACTTGTGCTCTGTCAAAGAGCATGACGTACGTCTATAATAATGATAATGATTATGATAACATCATTAGTCACATTCAGGCACCCTTTGTCTGCCTGCAATTATGATCTTCTGTGCTCCTGCACATTTGGGTTTTTTTATATTTTTTTAAAAAAAGTAGCAGAGTAGGACTTGCGCTCCATCAAAAAGCCTGTCACATCGCAAGATACCCAGTGCTAGTCATATTCAAGGTAGACTGAGGCTTCCATGTTTTATTACTCTGAAGATTGAAGAAAAAGACCCCCCAACCACCCACAAACAAAAACTTGTTGTTTCAGAGCTCTGGAAACATCATGGCATGCAAGAAATCTTCTCTGTCACAAGGCCAGAAATTGTTGAATCATTTGTACAGAAGCTAATGGAAAATCACCAAGAAACTGATGCAGAGGTACATAAATTGTTTTTCTTTTCCAGTGATTGAAATCTCGTGGGGCAAAATAACTGCATAACTTAGGTTTTTCTTGCTGAAATATGTGCTGCGCTACAGGCAGTTTCTACTAGAGATAAGTACTGTCAGTCATATCTAAGTCATACTGAAAGGGGACCCATTGAAATCAGTGGACTTAAGTTAGTTGTCACTATGATTTAGTCAGATACCATCCAATGAGTCTGTTTAAGCATGTTCTCCAATTTTCATATTCCAAATTATTTTGCTGGACCCAGGGCACACACTTTCCTGGAAATGCTGTTTTTACATCCTCCATGGGCACAAGCTGTGTTCATCCCATGGTTAAGGAGAAAGTTATCTTGCATATTTTTAAATTTAAATATTTCACCATCTAGCCTAAGAAGATACATTTTAGAGCTGGGTCCTGCCTGGCAGAAATTATTAAACCTGGCTACTGAATCCAATAAATTATCCATCTAGCCTAGAAGTAGCCAAAATGGCGTCCTCCAGTTGCTGTTTGAATGCAGTTCCCATCAGACCCTGTCAGCATGGCCACTAGCCAATGGTTAGGCATGATGGGAGTTGTGGTCCAGCAACATCTGGGGGCATTGCATTGGCTACCCCTATTCTAGTTGATCCTGATTGGTGGAAGGTACTAAGGATCATTTTGGAGGTTTAGGCTGTCCTATGCATCATAGCAGAAATCTTCAAGCAGAAATTCTGGTGACAGGACCTTGGATGTATGTGCTCTGGCACCAGTGAATAATGGAGGAACCAGTGGAAGTGAATAGATTTATCTGTGTGACCATCAGAAAAACCTGACAGTTTCATTTTTTGTTTCCCCCTCAGATAACCTTTCCAAAAGATCACTTACAGAAATGCTTCACTGCTTTGGGTTGTGATGTCATGGCCAGAGAACGCAGCAACTTTGAGACCTACTCCATGTTTTATGAAAATTTACTCCGTCAGCAACATCAGCTCCTCTATCAAAAAGAACAAGTATTCTCATACTGTTGATTGTGGTGGAAGAGGGGTCATGTGCTGCATTGATTGCTCGGCCAAACAAGTAAAAAAAATAGTTGACGGAGGCTTTTGATGGAGAAACCAAATGAAAAATGCTTTTTCATTCTCTTTCAGGAAATGCATGTTGTAGAAGACAAGCGAGGAAATGCTGAGCTGGGTCTTAGTCAGGTTAGTAGCAGTAGTTTTATTGTTTATTGTAACCTCAGGAATATCTCTCAGGGCCTGGCATCTTAATCCCCCCGTTACTCATTTTTGAGAAAACGAGTTATAGCATAGCATTTTTCTCACCTTTTGCTAGGTAGCGGAGCTGAGTCATGAGATGATTATGGAAATGATGGCTCTGAGAGCTAGAATTGCTGATCTCCAAGGAGAAGCCCATGGCCTCAGAGATAAGATCAGAAAAGAAGTGCAAGAAGATTATGAAGCATTGGTGCAAAACATATTTATGATCTGTCTGCAACTAAAAGTAGGTACAGAAGTAAGACTTAATTGGATACAGCCCATGACTTGGATTATATTGGAAATCACAAAGGCCATTTCCTTTGGATTCCTGTCCATAGATTTATATTCTAAGAAAGTTGTGTTTGTTATAGTGGCATGGTTTCTTGTTTTGGTTTGTAAGTCTATGGATATACAAAGCCAGGACTCCAGGCTATAGCCAGCCTCCTCTGCAACATCTGCCTGCTGGTTGTGTGAATGTGATACCTAGAAGCAGTACCCTCATGACCTTTTCAGCATTTCTTTGGTGCAGGTTTCTTTTGTGCAGTAACCTGTTAGTTATTGCAACATATCTGGATTTTTTTTTTTGAATGGAGCACTTCCATTGCAGAAGAATCACCTTATTTCAGAAATAAATCATTTTGTTGCTGGAAAAATAATAATAATTATATTTTAAGGAAATCTGATGGAATTGCTTGCCTTCCTTTAAATTCATGTACATTACGTGGCATGTGCAGTTGATGGCTTCTTCTTGTGGTTGCAGGGAAGGGTGGATGAATATCGTCTAAGCATGAGCCAACGCATGTTTGAGATCATCAGTGAGGTGAGAAGAGAAGGAGTGGACAAAATGATTGACTTGAAAAAAAAGTACGGCTCCACAAAAGATAACAAGACACTCAAAGAACATTTGGCTCAGGTAAGTTGATGTGTGAGAAATGTGGTTTTAAAGAATGTTTTCTAGAAAAGGAATTCATAGGCCCAATTAAAATGTCCAATGCCAAAAGAACTTGGAAGAGCATGTTCTTGCTGTTGTGGAGACCCTCCTCCCATAGGAACCATTTGGGGCACAAAGGCCCCAGGGTCTGGGCCTCATCAGGTGATCTTTCTGAGCTGAGACAAGGGCTGGCATCTGCAAGGAACAGAGTGAACACAGTAGAAGGATGTACCTCACTGGTGGAATGTTGTTCACCTATAGATATGCCCTACAGGCAAGCTGCCCGCTTTAATTGAACTGGTGGTCTTTTTTTTCTTTCCATGGGCCTTTAAACATAGGGCTCATTATAAGAGACGGCTTTAATGGATTTTCTTGTGTTATGGTTTATTTGTTTATTACATTTGTAACCTGCCCTTCCTCCCAGAGGAACTGAGGGTAGTTAGCTGCTGTAGTGTAGCAGCGAAAGGAGTGAGCTATCAGACAGGAAGTTCCTAGTTTGCATCTCGCCTCTGTCATGAACTTCAGGCCAGCTACTCTCTCTCTCTCTCACCCTCACTTCCTCTCCACCTGCAGTACTGGGAACAGTAACACTGACTCATTTAACATTTGCATAATGAGTTCAAGTGTTCATAGCACTTCACATGTATTATATGCCTATTATCCTTATAGCGACTCTGTTAAGTATTACTATAATGTTTATTATAATTAGCCTCGCTCGGCAAATCCAAAGTTGAGTTGAATGTAGTTAAGCAGAGAAATAAATATGGTTTGGCTTAAAACAAAAGTTGTTTCTTTCCTAGAAAGTTCTGAAGCTGAAATGCACCTGTGCTTAAAATGGGCATTCTTATGTTTTTGAAGTGTTCTGTTTTATGATTTTAAAATCATAAAACAGAATCATAAAATCATAGGGTAGGTTGTAAATTTATATGTTGGTTCTTGCTCATCAAATCATTCATATGGACTCTTAGAGTTTTGCTTGTATGAGACCACACAGAGTAGCCAAGATGCTAACTGTTCAGATTATTGACTTTCTAAAAAAGCAGATGTTCTGGAAGATAAATATAGTACAAATGGAGGAGAAAGCTCATATGTCAGATTTAACCCAGAACTGGAGAAATAAAACCCATTATACTTTGTGTGCGTCATTGTGGGCACATCTGTAATACAAAAATAAAAATTTCAGAGCTTAGCTCCATGTGATAATAAGCCAAAGCCACTGGTTTGCATAACAGCCACAGAGTGAATACTTTGATTTCAGATATGGGTGTGTTATCATGGATGCACACTTTAGTGACTTGAGTTTCTGCTGAGTGTTCACTTTTCTTTTTTCACAAGTACAGACTCTGATGCTTATTCTTAAAAGTGCATAGTCAAGCAGCTGCTGGAGCTTACCTTGACTAGAATTATCTGCCTTCTTAGCAGGGGCACCTGCAAGCACTACAGGATGAAAACAACCAGTTGAGAGTTCTGCTATGCAAACTGAAGGCGATGAGCTGCTGGAAAGAAACAGTGCAAAAAGCACACTCATCTGCCACATTGAGAGAAATGGAGAAGGTGAGAGTCCCTACCTCCCCCCCAAAAAAGCCTGTTGAAATCAAGTCATTCTACCTAATTGAAATAAAGAGAATAATTTGTTCTTTAGTGAAAAGGGCCATTGGCTTCAGCCATATATACTTGGTAATACCAGTGAGTGACTGCATGAAGAGCGAGATGCATCCTTTTCCTTAGAACAGTCTATTTAATTCTTAACCAATGAAAAAACTGAACTGCATATTAGGGCCAGTTCAAGCAGACACTAATCAGTGAGCCATCGGGACTGCATGCACACCTTACAACACTGGGTATGATATCTAGGGGCAGATGAACCTGCCAATTTTTGTTTCTCTCCATTTCTTGTCACACACACACACACAATCTTTTTAAGTTCAGTTCTCCACATTTCAGATCAGTTTGCAACTTTCTTTTTTAAAAATATATTCATGAAAATTCACATTCTTGTGTGAATTTATCCTAACATACACACTTTTGCAGCCCATTATTAATAATGGAACACATTTTTGTACTTTATTTTCACGAATGCATTTCATGTACACCTAATATATCCATTTTTGAACACATTTGGTTGGAGAATTCAGAGAAATGCAAATTTGAAACAATGGCTATGTTTGGGTTCCACATATGTTTGTCAGTTATGTATGGAGGTATGATGAATGTGTGAACAAGAACTCAGAAAGTCCGCCTGCTTTTCTCTGCCAGTTTAACTGTAATAGAATAGTTACAAGATTACTAGCTCTGGCTTTCATTCTTCTCCTTTGATGCGTGATGTGCTCACATGATTGTCTCACTTCACAGATCTTGATTTATCATACCACTGCAAAGGTTTCCAAAAATAACCATGCCATCTGGTGTTGAGCCTGATTGTAGCCACATAATGCAAAATCAGAAGCTTGACAAGTGCTGTAGTTGTAAGATGCCACTTCAGTGCATGTCTGTGAAATACCTCTTGCCACCTACAAATGACTGTATGCATCAACCCATTCCCACAAAGAATGTGGTGGGGATTACTTATGCTAACCTGGCACTGTATATGGTTATTTTACAATACCCATCAGAAAGATTGCGACTGCTCAAACCAATTTTATTGTATTGCAAAAACACCCTGAAATTAAAAGAAGTAGGGTTTCTTTTTCTACATGTTAAAGGGCACAAGCTCAAATACTTAAATATTTTGCATAACACTTCTTCCTAAGTCACCCAGTGTAGGGTGTTTGTTTGTTTGTTTGTTTGTTTGTTTGTTTTGGGGGGAGGGTTTTGTGGCTTGATTCTCTGCTTCACATCCTACTGAACCCTTTGCATTCACAGGAGGCCATTCAAAACAAAAAAGAGTATCTGAAATCCAAGCTGATGGCAGAACAAGAAGCGATTATATTTCAGCAGCAGCTGCGGGCTGCAAGGAAAGCTTTGGCAGAGTCTCAGACTGAGAATAAAAGGCTGAAGCAACAGCTAGACAAACAGGTATGTAACCAAACTCTGCTGTAATACTGTCTATACAGCAAATCAAATTACTTTCTCTCACTTGCATTGACTTCAGTGCTGAAGCTATGAGAGGAGCAATGAGAGATACTCTTGGGGTGTAATGTTCTGCACTCCCTCCATGGAAGACTTTAGGTGTATATAGGTGTAAAAGAAACCATATATCTTAAAATGCTACTGCCTTCACTGTGTCTGACCCCCAATGGAATCATGATCCTGGGTGAGCGCCTGGAACTCCTGGAATCTTGCTACTGCTTGGCAGAGAGTGGGAGAGGCACTGAACCTTTGTAATATTACTTATGCAGGAGGTGAATTGTGCACTATGTGATGTGTCTGCCCACACCAATTTAAGATTCCAGAGATGGATGTAATTTAGAAATTAAAACCCTATAAGTGAATAGCAGTGGCTTAGAGAGGATTTGCATAGCAGCTCCTTGTAGCTCCTTGTGAAATTGGGGAACCATCTTACATACTGAGAATCAGAATACTTGCCAAATGTGTAGTTTCTTGAATCATTACTGTTGACAGCAAAGACAGAATGAATATATTACATTTTGCCTCTTCTCAGCAAAACTGTTCAAGATCATTATTCAACTGAAAATGAAAATACAAGGATCTGAAATGTGAAGATGCAAAATGTCTCTGCATACTTCCACCCCTCAATACAGTTAACACAAGTTTTATAGAAACTAATATCTAACAGTCAAGGAGAGAGGGTTTTTTGATGGTGAAACCCTCACTTTGACCCTTCCAAAAGAAGTCAGATTGGTGCAAGTGTTAATGTGTCTGTATTTGCCCAGGCATTTAAATTTTGTTGTATTGACTTAGCTTATTACAACATCCAAACTGCTCAATAGTGAATCTTCCAAAGCAATTTACAACACAGATTAAATAATGTCATCATAACACACATAGTAGTTCTTATTCTGCAGAATTTCTGGTTTAAATCTTTCCTACATTGGACACTGTTTTAAACCAGAAATTCTGCAGAATAAGAACAACTTCACTGCCAATAAATATTATTTGAAATAAAATGGTCTTCATCTGCCTTCTAAATGCCAAGAATGATATCCAAGTAAGTCATACTTGAAACAGACCTACTGAAATCAATGGGTCTACTCTGAGTATGATAGCATTGGATATCACCCATGTTCTCTTCTCCTGTGTTTTGCAAATCTCATTGGTATTTTATGCAAAGGGACACTTGCTACAGGAAGTAGAACACAGGATGAACCAAGAAGTTCACAGAAAGCAGCAACTAGATCTAATTAAGACAGCAAACTTGGAAAAAATGCTGGAAAGCCTTGGAGAGAGAGAACTGAGATTGCAGTGTCTAACAGAAGAAACTGAAAGATCATCCAAGATAAGGCAGCTTCAGGGGGAAAAGGTTAAAAAAGAAATCCAACAGGTAAGTTTATAAATACATACTTTCAGTAGCTCATGTGCCTGTGGTTATATGTTCCAAGATGGGGGCTTAATATTGCAAACAGGTCATTGACAGTGGGCGATTTTTATACTTATCCACACCAAACCATCCCGCCCCCATCCCAAAAGGGTAAATCAAGGTTTAATGGTGGAAAAATGCAGACAGGCAACTAGACACCAATGATGTTGTGCAGACTGGGTGAAAAACCTGTATGCATGATCAGCGCTCATCCCACAATTAATACCCAAAGTTTCATAAATATTGCTTAACCAAGCAGCATCTGATATAATCATGCAGGTTCATTCAAAGTTTGCAACTTCCAATTCCTTCCTTCTCTTATGTATTTCATTTTCATAAATGGACAACAAAGATAGATTTGGAACTGTAATGTTCGCTTAGAAAAATTTAGTATCTTTTTAGGTAAGAAGTCAGCTGTCCCAGGAACGCAGTTTAAAACTGGATGCTTTCCAGAGGATAAAAGAGCTGCAGCATCAGCTGTATGACTCAGAAGTTGCAACATCCCAGAGAAATTCTTCTGCAGGTATGAATGAATGTAGGTTGAATGATAGCTGGTTGCAAGAATATTGGTGTTCCATAGATTGTTTATTTCATGCCCTGCTGTATTTTGAAAATGTATTATACTTTACTTTGGTTGTTAAACAGTTAACAGTAAATGTGCTGGTTAATAGGTTATTAAATGTGAACCAAAGATGCAGACCTTGGACTTAGTTAGGTCACCATGCCCTCTCTCATATACCAGGAATAGATCAACACAGACAGAGACTTCTGAGTACAGACCCTGTTATCATCCCAGGCTGTGGCGGGGGAAGCAGGTGCCTACACTAAGCTGCTGCCAGATTTGCATGAGAAGAAATACATGTGCCCATTGTGGCCTTGTAACTCCTATAAAGCCTCTCCTGGGGGCAGGAAAGGCCTGGGAAGTGCAGAGGGAGTTGGAAACAGCCCAAATTCAGGCTGAGGCAGCTTGTGCAGGGAGATTTCTCAGGGTGCATGCACACCTGGGTGACCCATGAAGCTCCGTAAAGCCCAGTATTGTCTACATTGTCTTACAGAAGCTCTCCACAATCTTAGGCAGAGGGCCCTTCATATTACCTGGCTGCTTCTTTTAAAGGAAGACCTAACGAGGGGATCTTCTGCATGCAGAGCTCATGCCCCCTCCCCTCAGTAAGTTAGGGAGTGCACTTTCACTTGCGCAAGTCTGGATACAACCCAATGAGGGCAGAGGTCCTAGATCCTGTCTCACACTTCAGCTAACAGCCGCTTTGAACTAGGAGTTTCTCATTACGCTAAGCGGCTTAGTGTTAGTGTCAAGCCTGTATGGGAGGCAGCAGTACCAAGTTATTTGGCAGGCTGTAGCAATGAAGCAGCTACTTGTTGTCCTGTCAGTATATTATTGCAAGATTGCAATAAATGTGGATGGTGGTATGAGCATATAAGGATGGGATAAATTAATTTCTCAGTCAGTTTGACTATTCACTTAACCACCCCAGCTGTCATATTACATTGTGTTTGATAACTGAGCCAAAGCTCCAAGTAGATCCAATTTGTTAATCTATTTAAAAGATGCTAAACTGAATTTGAAAGCTGATCAGATTACTGCTCCCCACCTCCAAACCTTAAGCAATAGCATTAAATGAATACTTTTTGAACAGACATGCAACTGAGACAAAGTGTATTGCTAATGTGATACAATAGTAGTGACTGACCATTGTTTCATGTGAACGTCTTGTTGCATTGTAGAGAGTAGCAGTTTAAGGTGCTATCTTTCCAAAGAAAAGTCCATTTTACTAAATCAATCCAGGAAGCAAACTGTTTACATGGCTGTATATTGCACAGTATTGATTTCTGGAACAAATGTATGCCTACAACTCACGGCATTGCCATCTTAATTTGCAAAGATTGTAGAAATGAACTCATAGTGGTGTTGGTGCTTGTCTTGAGATGCCATACTATATACATAAAAACATAGGTAGCCCAAACCAACTGTTTAATGGAGGGAAGTGCTTCAGAAAACTGCTCTCTGAAGTGTCTCCCCACCCCGTTCAATGGTGATAGGGCTTGGATCAAGCTGTGAGAGGACAAGCAAGGTGTAAAGGGAAGAGGGTTGCCAAGTGGAGCTAGCAAGGGCAGTTTAAATGAACTTGTACATGTTTCATTTTGGGCAAAGGAAAGCAACAGACATTATAAAAATACTCTAACAGACGTCGTTAACTTTTAAAACTTTGTGCTTTGTATGGATTCTTCTCACAGATTATCTAACTCATGTCCTTGGCTTTCACAGCTGTAAGAAGAAAGTCTGCTAATACTTCACACAGTGCCAGCAGTATAAATCGCTCACTTTCAGGTAAAAAGGAATCGTACTACTAGCATCAGCTGTTTTACGATGCTTTCTTCTACTTCTTTCTGTAAATTTCATCCAAAGTTCCCAGGGCAGTTCACAATATAATAATGCAAACAAAAATACCTCCCCCCCAACATTATTTCTTAGAAAGCCTCTCTCTCAACTCACCTTAAGTCCACATTTCCTTAAGCTAGTCCTTTTCAGTGTCAACCTAGACATAAAGTTAAAGATGTAAGATGTGTACTTTTCTGGTTTCGAAATAGCAGCCATGAGTCTCTGGGCCCATGCAGGGTGGTGAGGGAGAGTTTGACGCCCTCTTCCACTGTGGAAGTCCTGCAACATGAATTGTTTCTCAAAAGTCTTTGCATTTAAAAGGAGACACCCATTCGGGACAAATGGAAGAAATCCTTGAAATGGAAATAGCAGCTTCAGAGTCTTTGGGGTGGTGTGCACAGTGGCGGAGAGAAAACGTTCCATTTCCCATTGCTCTGATCCTGAGGCTCATCAAGCTTCCATGTAGCAGCTTTTCACAAAAGAAATGAGCTCCCATTGCCCTAAGATAGTATACCATGTCCTAATTTGAAAACAGTTTCTTTAAAAATTGATACACAGAAGCCTGTTGCTAATATACACTACTACTAGATAAACCGCGATTGTTATCAGACCATTTATTGGGATCGCATCAAAGATCATTCACATTTTAACTGTTAACCATTGACTGTGAGAATATTGTAGAAAAATGGAAATCTCTCCTTTACAAAACAATAGTGTCAACAGCATGTATTACCAAGGAATACAGTGTCAGCAGTGTTTGCACACAAAAGCATGTTCTAGAACAAAGTTCCACAAAGGCAGCACTTAAATGACATTATTTAACATTATGTTCCAGGCTCTGCTTCATGGAGCCAGAATACAGGCATTTCAACATTCACGTTAACCAAGGACTTCAGGCATCAGCTTTTGGTTGCTGACTCTGTGGGTAGCAGCAATATAAAACCAGAAAAGATTCAGAGGCCCAAAACGGTGAGTAGTGAAGTATTTGGGGAGCAATGTTAGTATGAACCTCTAATGCAAGGCAGTGACAATTGGGTTGTAGACATGTTAAGCAAGCTATACTGAGGACTTGCTTTATAAAATAGTGATATTAGATTAACTCTTCATTCATGCTTCTCAGGGAATTCCTCCTGTACAATAAACTTTTGGCCCACAGCAGTTAAGAGAAGCCATCTACCCCCAAAAAATGAATGAAATTTTGACCATTCAAGGTGAAACAGATGAGAATTACAACAGTTTTTATTTATATTTAAAGGTACCTTGTGGCTGGAGAAATAGCGTGATAGATGTTCTCTTGCCAGCTCTTACAGAAAACTCTATGTCACCTGTGCAGTTTTGTGGACAGAAGACATCTGAAAAATAAGCTTCTACTGCTTCTTTGAAGAGTTACTTGCTGGTTTGATTCCATGATAAAGTACAAAGCAGTCTTGCTTGAAAACTCTGGTCATGCTCAAAAATGGGATGTTTGCTTATAGTTATCCATAACTTTTAATAAGCCACTTTCCCACCAGATTCTCTAGTGCCAAAAATCTGACGACGTGAGGTTATTAACTGGATGAAGCTAGCAGCAGATTCAGCACAGGCAACTGAAAGCCTTTATTCAAACAAATATATAAGGAATGCACTGTCACAATATTATGTGTTTATGGCAACAAGCTTATTTGGTTGGCCATGGTGCATTTGCATGACTTTGACCAAATTCTGCAAAGCAATTATGTAGCTGATTTGTGTTTTGTCATACTATGAAATAATTTTATAAAGCTACATCTGTATACTTCCCATTTTATTTTTGTCTTTGACAAAGAGCTTTAAATGAGAGATCTGCTGGATCACCCAACAATCCTCACCACTTGAAATTTACTTTGGCAAATGGAGAGGCCATGTACAACACACATTGCTTTTTATGGCCCAGAACAAGCTGGATTTTTTTGGGAGGAGAAAAAGATGGACAGACGAACAGAAACAGTTTAATAAATGATTTATTTTGGTTTTGTGATTAAGTAGTTTGCATTTTCTTCCAATGAAGACAACACACATATGCAGTACAGTAATGTCTATAACATTCCATTCTAGATGCAACATACTTGCAGGTGTTAAATTTTAGGGAAAATCTGTATTAAGAGCTTGGAAGTCACAATTCACTGCCTTAAAAATCTATTTCACAGACAGGGGTGGTTAAAAAAACCCAAAACCCTATGTATATACTCCAAAAAGCAGACAGAAGCTGTGAAAATCTATTAGTTTACCTAATTTGTATGTAGTCAGGTTAATGTCACTACCAGAACAACAACAACTGTCACTGATCTAGCTATAGAAGGTAAGAGGGCTCACCCTCACAGTCTTAGCCAAGGTTTGGTAAGTTAGTGATAAAGCTTGGGTCTAGAAAATCAAATATGCCACTGCATGAAGATATTAGAAATGTCTTAAAGACCTGGTACACATCTATACCCCAACCAAGTAGAAAATGCAGACTTCCTGAAGAGTAGCAGTGAGACCTGAATTTCCTAAAGTCATTGGAAAAGAACAATTGCTGGCAATGGGGCAAGACTAGTGACTAAAATTCCTCTCCCCACATTCCTTCAACAGACATGTAGCTGACAGTAATAAAATTTAAGGCACTTGAAAGATTCATAATGTTAACATCAGCACAGAATACATGGCTGTTTAGTGGTGTTTTAAACAGCACTTACTCTTGGCTCAGTAATAAAATTGGCTCAAATTTCAATTCTGGAACTGCAAGTTGCACTGTTAGTCTTGAAATCTTCTGCTACAAGTTTACAAGACGTAGCCATTCAAGAGCCAGTAAGGAAGCAACACTAACTAGAAATAATTTCTAAGTCTCACCACTAAGCATAAGCTTATTACAGCTTTAGAGTGCAAAGAGGCTTTTTTTAAATTGTCACCGTTTAGAAGTGCATTTATTTATGCTTAAGGTTTAGAATATATTCAGAGATTTTATCTAAATTTATGAAGCTAAAAGAGATGGGGAATTATGTTACACAATGGACTATATAGCTTAAGGCCATTAAATACCACCTACTACAGATGTGTTGCTTGCTGAAAATTGGCTCATCAATTTACCATTTCATACACCTGAGCTGATTGTCTTTTAGGAGTACAGTTGCCTGAAAGTTACAGTACTGTTTGCTAAGTATTATTATGAATAAACTTTCTATGCAACATTATTGAAGTGAATACTATTAGCTACAAGGGCTAGAGTTGAGCAATTAAAATGCAGTAAAATTTTGCAATAAGCCACAAACCCAGACTTATCATCAGCAGCTTAAAATCAAGCAAGCAATAGAGCTAATCCAAAAGCATCACTTAACGTTGCATTTCTAGCATTTAAACTATGCTTGCCATATAACCTGCAAAACAAGGATTAGCAGTCTATTTTGACAATTATCAAAAACTTACATAGCTCCAAGTGCTTGGGCTGCCCACTTCCACCATGACTATCTGTGTTTTATGAAACTCAAGGAAGGAAACTGCATTGATATAAGAGCAAATATTCTCTCAAATGCATACAGAATTATGGTAGGTTTGTAATATCCACGAATTGCAATCACAAAATGTGTCTACTGAAACTACGGCTCTGAAATGTAAAGCATGTCAATAGAACTTTCCAAGGCAAGTGTTTTGAAGGCTAGAGACACATGGCTTTAGGAACAGTATATGAAGATTGCTTACACTGTTTTCTTTCCACATCTGTCTTCACAAAAACTTATATAAAGACAAATATATATAAATAATGCCCAAGTTCATGTGTCTACTAGAATGAAATTGCTGCAAGTGGAATGACATTCACTGTACCTCAAACAAATAAAATGGGACAAACATTTCAGTTTGCAGCCTACTCATTAAGGCACTGGTCTTTCTTCCTTACGCACCAAGGAACTAGCATTCTTTGACTATCATTCTTCCTATGGCTGCTTACGCTTACATTAGAAAACAATTATCCTTCTGACACCAAGTATAGAAAAATATGGGCTTCCATAATCCTTAAGGAAAAAAACATAGTTCTAGAAATTTGCCCCAATCTCCTAGCAGTACACTATAAAAAGCCAGTTTTCACACACATAGTGTTTTATGCCAAGTCACCAGAAATTCACATTTTAATAGTAATAATAATAATTATAATAATAATAATAATAATGTAGGGGGCACTGCATTTAAGGCTAACTTATCAATTGCAATCATAAGGTTATCTATCAAGAACACTGCTGCCAATGAATACAGTAACTATTAAAGTCTACATTTGGCATGTCAGATAAAAGAAACGGTTTCACAGCAGCAGCCACTAAAGAAATTTCAGACAGCCAATGAGGATTCATGCACAATATTGCAAGTATTCTTGCAGAGCAAAACATGATTCATACAACCTTCTTCCAAGCATGTTGCAGAAACATTTTCTTTTTTAAAAAAAGTCTTGAAGAATAAGAATATTTTGAATTGCTGTCTTCTATAAGGAATAAAGATATTTTGGTGCAGCTAACCACAAATGTTGACCTTGTAAAGTCCACTTAAAAGCAACGTATTCTAGAGGGTATGATAGTTTTGTTCTTTGGACTTGCAAAATTTGTAGAGAAAGAATATTACTGCTTGCAGTCCCAGCACTAGGACGATCCCACCAATGAAACTGGCAGCATCAAAGGTGGATTTGTGTGGAGATGGTTTGGAAGTTGGTTGGGGAGAAGCTGAGCCTGTCAAATGAAAGAAGTAGAGTTACTAGTGATAGGCTGTGCAGATTTAGAAAGCTACTCTTTAATGCATGGATCACCACCGAGCACCAGGTTGGTGGCCCTAATGTCTTGGATTCCTACCACTTGGATCCCCCCCACCAAAAATAATAATATTTTTGATTATTTTTAAACAAGAGGCACTTCCTTCACCAACGGAGGGGTTTTTCTGAATATGTCTGCATTCATGCACAAGTATGCTTTGAGTGCACATGACTGAGAACTATATGTATGTGCATGCGAGAGAGATGCTAATGTCTCTGTGACAGGACTGATTTTAATCTTGCTATAAATCAAATATTACCTGGTGTAGAAGTTGTGTTGCTAGCAGCAGGTGTAACTATTGTACTATTAGAAGCAGTAGGTCTGGCAGAAGTAGGTTTGGCTGGTGCAGTTGCGTTATGTGTAGGACCTGTTTCAAAGAAAATACCACATCTTGGAACCAGCTTTAAATAACTATTTTAATCTTACAAATTGAGCAAATGATTGCAGAACAAAGGCACTGCTAGATGCATTTCACAGTAATAATTATAAATGAAAAATATTTATGCATGGATAGAAAAATTGGTAGTAGTTTTAAAAAGTCATTTCCTCCATTTTGAAGGCAATGTTTGTTTTTCAAATTATGAGATTATCCGAAATCTTTACAATATAATTCAAGAATCAAAAATTAAACACATTAGGGAAAACATTACTGAGGTTATGTAAGAAACTAAGTCCCCAACAAAGTGGACAATTAACAAAACCAGACAAGTAGAAATCATTTAAGCACAGATCCCAGGAACCGCTTGCCATATATACAATAATGTTGATTCCTGACATTCCAGAAGAGAATGAAAGAAACATGGAAGTATGCATGTAGAGGAAGTGTACATGTAGTCACTCCCCTGTGCATTCAAATTTTTTCTTGGCTAATTCTACTACATGCTCTTCACTAACATGAATTCTCAAGACAGGTTTTTCTCCCATCAATAAATTGTATCATCTACCTTAGTGATCAAAGACAATTCAGTAAAGGACAGGAAATTATCAGTATTCTGGCCTGCAACTCATAGTACTGGTATCTGAAGGAGCATCTCCACCCCCATCGTTCTACCCAGACACTGAGGTCCAGCGCCGAGGGCCTTCAGGCGGTTCCCTCACTGTGAGAAGCCAAGTTACAGGGAACCAGGCAGAGGGTCTTCTCGGTGGTGGCACCCGCCCTCCCACCAGATGTCAAAGAGAACAACAACTACCAGACTTTTAGACGACATCTAAAGGCAGCCCTGTTTAAGGACGTTTTTAATGTTTGATGCATTACTGTATTTTAATATTGTGTTGGAAGATGCCCAGAGTGGCTGGGGAAAGAGATGGGCAGAGTATAAATAATATACTACTACTACTACTACTACTACTACTACTACTACTACTTGCCTGTCCTTTATAGTGATTAAGCCATTTCAAGAAACTGGATAAAAACATGAGCTCTCATTTCTGATTTTCACAGAGTAATCCTGGAAACCTTATTACAGGTGAAGCCTTTATACTTGTTTACTTATTAATGCACAAAAGTTTGTTACCTGGGGTAGAAGTGTTGGCTGTGGTAGGTGCAACTGTGGTAGGCTTAGGAGGAGCTAAAAAAAAACACAAAAGTATGAAGCAGAAAACAGAATATTTAAACACTGAGGCTACAATCTTAACCCCATTTACATGTGAATAAGCTCCATTGAATTCAATAGCTCTTAATTCCAAGGAGATGTGGATTATGCTATAAGAGGTACTATATTATCAATAGCCACCTCTGCTCCCAAGATACATCTGAGGCTGTGATGGAGAACAGATCATACAATTACAATTGTAACTGGCTCCAAACGTTGACTTTCGCCCTTCAGCTTACATCTTTACTGTGGTGAATTCTTCTGAGATTAGGTACCCACCCATAAATTATTTTCTGCACATACTACTGCACAATCACATGCAGGTGGATTCAGGTAGGTAGCCGTGTTGGTCTGACACAGTCTGTCTGTCTGTCTACCTTTCTATATTGTCCAGGAGCACCTTAGAAAGCTTAAACCAAGAACAAACTTAGTTGGTCTCTAAGGTGCTACTGGACAATTTTTTTTATATATGCAGGTGGATGTTAAACAATTACCTTCCCATGTTGCAAATGCAAAATGTGAAAAAACTGCAAAGGGGTTTTAAGGCGTATCTTCTGATAGCCAGGCACTCATTAAGAATTCACACTAACAGTACAATAATATACATGTCTACTTCACAATTAAGTCTCTTTGTGTATAATGGGCCTTACTACAACCTAGGCTTTGGTTTATGAATGGCATCGAGGGGGGAAAGGGTTTTGTGTCTTGAACTGCTGTACCTCCACGATCAGAACCAGAAGAACATCACTGACTTCCCCTGGTAAACATGAAGCGGGACGCTGGGAAGAAACAACGACTGTGCCTTGTCAACCACAGCATTCTCTCAATATTTAAAGTGTGCCCACTGGTCTTAAAAACAGCTGCTCTACCTACACGTGGCATCTTACTATGGTGGGGCAAATATTAAAAAAATAGATGTTTCACTAGCAAATTAACATCCCTCAAATACAGCCCATCCTAAAAAACAAACAAAGCACCAAGCCTATACCTAAAGTGATGCAATTATGCACTTTCTTCTTATTTCAAGAAGCATTTTCATCGTGGCTCAGTTAAAAGGTCCTCAACTGTGGTACAGTAAGAGCACATGCTTTGCATGCAAAAGGTCCCTTTTGAATCCCTAGCACCTTCAGTTAAAGCTGTAAAAGAATCCTTTCTGAAACCCTAAGAGTCACAGCCAGTCAGTGAACAATCCTGAGCTAGATAGATCAATGGTATGACTCAATAAAAGGCAGGATCCTATGTTTCCAAACTCCTCCTATTTGGATAGACACACGACATCAATTTGCTATTGCACACTCACCACTACCTGAAGCAGTGGATAGCCATGTTATCCATGAGAATCTACTTGTAGTGGAATGAAAGAGAAAGGGTGAACTACTACAGCACTTACTGTTTGACAGCTGTCCAGTTCTTGCAATAGACAAGAGCTGATCAATATTGTTGGTGGCATGCAATAGTTACTCCTGTCTGAAGATATTCCCATACAACCTAAGTGAAATTACACTTCCCCAACTGTTTTACCATAGGGACAGAAAATAGCTTCTGCTATCCGTTCAAGTGCTAATTATTCAATACTGGTGGGGGAATAATTAAATAAAAGGTAATTTGCCAGATTACATCCAAGAAACCCATGTTTAGAAACCTCTACACCTTCTACCCTGCTCTTCCACTGGGCCTTTTACCTAACTTCTTCCATTGTCCCAGGTGTGGCAGATCTGTGCAGCAGCAATAATAACCTCTCCTGTAGCCTTGGGTCAGGGATCATCAACATTTATGGAGCAGTGGGCACACTGAGAAACCCGTGAGTCCCACACACGTATGTTCCACCAGCAATACAGCTTGAAAAAAGTGTTTTAGCTTCCATCCCCGCCCCACCTAATTTAGGAGTGAGGAAACAGATCTTCCTGGAATGTGCAGCTAGAGAGGGAAGGCTTTAATTTCCCTCCCCAGCAACATTCTCCAGGATGATCATCCACATATACTCCCACAATAATGAAGCTTGAGAAAAGCTTTCTATTAAGACCAAATTTTGAAATCTAATTATGGTGGGGGAGGGGTAATATACCCAATAGAAGAGGAAATGGGGATGCTGTGGAAGTCAATGAAGGTTTCATTGGATGTATGTGCGCCTGCAAGTGCTGCACTGGCAACCCCAGCTTTGGAGACTTTAACATTCCCAACTGCATGGATCCTAAACAACAAATTGGTTTTACATCACAAGTGTAGTAGTAAATATTTACCTGAACAAGTTTCATTTCTAAAAGTAGACGTACAGTTATCACTTTCCGTTGCATTTGTACAGTAGGACAAAGAACCTTACAGAAAAAGAAGATTGAGGAAGAATTCTCAGTTTAGTTTTCCAAGAGTGAAACATTCAATGCAATATTTTGGCTACAAGTTTCCATTAGAAACATTTATCTTCATTGTCCTAGAAAAGCTATACAGCTGCTAAATTAGCTTCACTTGTGGTGCTTGTTACATTGCCATTTAGGTATTATCTACTCCTAGGTATTATCTACTCCTTGGTTTAGCAGAGGTGTTATTTTAGCACAGAGCAGTTAACCAACCAATATACTGAGAGTTCCAGAACTCTGGAAAATTAAGAAGTGTCACAAAGATTCTTCTTTATGTTTGTTCCTTAACCTCTGAAAAACTCCACAAGTCTGCGCCTGGTCAAAAATTCTATACATAAGGGCATTGGTTTCACTAAAAATACACATGTAGGTAAAATCTGTATACACAGTGGAACTTATTTTCGTGAGCTACAGTATAAAGTTAGTGCGCTGCTACTTGGAAAACGTGGGGGAAACCCTGTTTACTTACAAACAACCCCATACATATACAGAACAGGGCCTATAAGTAACCAAATGTTTCAAGACCTTAGATTTTCACAGGCCGGCGAGAGGTGGACCTACGAGTCAAACCTCAGTTGTCAAACGTAATCTGTTCCGGAAGCCTGTTCAGCTTCTGAAATGTTCCAAGAACAGAGGTGCAGCTTCTGATTGGTTGCAATAGCTTCTTGCACTCAAGTGGAAGCCGCGTTGGACGTTCAGTTTCCGAAAAATGTTCGAAAACCAGAATATTTACTTCCGGGTTTTCGGTATTTGGGAGCCAAAACATTCGCAAACAGAGCCGTTTGGGAACCGAGGTTTGACTGTATTTCACCAGAGTACACACACACCAAAGAAAAACCAGAAACTGAGAAATGAGCTGGTCAGTATGTAAAACTCAAAAGAAATTTATCATACTCCTGCTTCTTGGTCTTCATTGACCCCCTAGGGCAGGGGCAGCAAACTTTTTTCACAGGGAGCCGGTCCACTGTCCCTCAGACCTTGTGGGGGGCTGGACTATATTTTTTTTGGGGGGGGGAATCCCCCCGACTCTCCCCTCCCTTCTCCACAGCACCGGACGAGCCCTGGTGGCTGCTTACCTGTGCCCTGCAAGCAGCAGAAGCTGGCAGCAGCGGAGAGACAATGAGTGGCGCGAAAGGGCTGGCTCTGGAGAGGAGCTGCTTAAAATGGCGCTCAGCCAACTGCAGCTCAACAAAGCCCAGCCCCCTTCCTCTAGGCAGGAGAAGACCAGGAGGAGGGAGGGAGAAGGTGCCACTGCAGTGTGTGTGGGAAATGGCGCAGCCCGAACAATCAGAATCCCCACGCCGATTCCCAGACCGTCCGCGAACCGGATTCAGTAGGCAATTGGGCTGGATCCGGCCCCTAGTTTGCTGACCCATGCCTTAGGGTTATAAGGTTCTGTGGGGCAGCAGTAGTAAAAGCCCCAACTGACAAAACCTTCCATGCAACTTTAAACAAACAGCTGCTGCCAGGTTCAACTTTCAAGACCCAGCAGCCCTGTGCCTCCTCAACTCCCTGATATTTCAGCCTCAAACCCTCCTACATTTCCCCACCTCATTTTTTCAACACCCATGGCTTTCTCTGGTTGCCGTTTTTTACTCCACTGTGTACATTTCCCACTTCCAATAGTGAGCCTGTTGCTTGATCAGAAAATCTCCCTTCCCCAAATAAAAAGCCTGAACCCCAGCTTACAGCCCAAAGGACAAACTACACAGATATGCATCTTTTTCCTCAACTGAAGACAGCCTCTGAGTGTGGCAGTGTCCACAGAGGGTGGGCTTATTAACATCCAGTTTGGCTCAAAAATGATAAGTCCAGGTTTCACACCTCAGTAAGTGCCAACCACTATTAAGCCAGAAAAAGCAAACATAGGTACAGTGGTACCTCGGGTCACATACGCTTCAGGTTACAGACTCCGCTAACCCAGAAATAGTGCTTCGGGTTAAGAACTTTGCTTCAGGATGAGAACAGAAATTGTGCTCTGGCAGCGCGGCGGCAGCAGGAGGCCCCATTAGCTAAAGTGGTGCTTCAGGTTAAGAACAGTTTCAGGTTAAGAACGGACCTCCAGAACGAATTAAGTACTTAACCCGAGGTACCACTGTATTACAATTAAAAATAATTCCATTTACCGTTGCAGAAAATCCAGGTGCAGTTTATTTCAGACTTGTCAGTACTACTAATGCAGGAACTACAGTTGGTATGTTTTTCACAGCCAGCTAAAAAGGAAGAATGCATTTTTAAACAGTTGATAGATCACAATTTCAAAAGGTCACTACAAATTATGAACAGTCTACGGCACCCCTGAGGTATAGAAGTGTGTTAAATGTGAATCAACAAAAGCACTATAAAGTAATTGCTTTTTATTTTCAAATGAAAAATTAACATAAGAAATTAACACCTGTAACCAAGGAGAAAGGACCCTAGACATTCATTTCTGGTTACTTCTAGTTGAGTTAGTTTTGCAGTGTGGACAACACAAAATATTCATTCAGTTTTTATGTAAACTTCCTGTCTTCCTTTACCATTTATTCATTGCTGAACAGCCCAACTACCTCCATGGCTCCTTCTTATTTGTGTAAACAAATGTTTGTTACTTGTCTTAATGTTTTTAGCAATATGCTTCCCACATTTTTTGTTAGTTTAATTTACTGTATTTTAGCATACCAAGTCTGTAATGTCCATCATTAATACAAACGGTAACTAATGTTTGTTCTTGGCTTACTGCTTATGGTTTGTCTAAGGGAGACAAACCATGAGTGATTTTGAATGTGGCAGTAAGTCAGGGTGGGTGGGACCCTCCAGACATTATCCCCCATCAGCCCCAGCTTGCGTGGCAAATGGTCAGATTGATGGGAGGTGTACACTGGCAACATCTGTAGGGCAACGTGATTCACAATTAGAGCTGCATGACATAGAAAATGATCGTTTATTGAATAATCATTTGAGGATGACCTAACTTTACAGAAAACCAGAAGGCTAGCTTTTTGGCTCCTATGTGTTGGTGGTGGTGGTCTGCAACAGTACCAATAAATGGAGGCTACTTCTGGCCTCACTACCTCTTGCTTGCAAGTGTCCTTTGCCAAAAGGAGCAGTTCCGAGATGCTATATTATAGACAATGACAGTGATGGTAAGTCCTAAATTCCAAAGATTATTATGAATGCTGTATTAGACCTATTATTTTAGCTTATCGGTGCCTAAAATACTACACTCTGCATTTGTACCAGACCTGAAATTGCTTTCCTCTTTGAGATTTTTATGGAAAGCAATTCATAAAAGAAATAATAACACAAACTGCCTTCAGGCCTTTGCACATAGCTACAAATAGGTTTCAGTCACTGTGTGTAGGCACAGGAAGGAGCCCTGGTCAATGCTGACCGCCCTGGTAGCTATGTCTTACAAATCTTCCCTCCTATTTCCTAGGAATAGGCTTGGCCAGCTTCGCTTTAATTCCATTAAGCACATATATTGAAATGAGTTTGTGTGCCATGTTCGGGAAACAATTCTAGTTTTAATTTCATACTCCAATTGAAGCCCCACCAGTGCCAAGGAATATGTAAACTACTGCAATGAGATATCTGCTTTGAGAATTAAAGTATGACCTTTCCCCTCTTCCGAAAACTATTGCTAGTGGGCAAGGAAGGAGCTCGTAGAGCCCTGCATATAATCAACTATTTGAAGTTTTCCACTCCTGTTTTATGAGGAGAGCATTAACAGTGCAAAATACACTATAATATCAGAAACGATACCTTTGAAAAGCTGTACTTTAGTAGCATACTGCATTAAATACATATTTATAAATGAGTTAATTATGTGCATTAATTATACAAAGGAACAATGATGTGTGAAATGTTCCTCAAAGAAGGGCCTCCAGAGTGAACCTGCAAGCTAACACGCCAAAGATGAAGTATCCTAAAATGTTATCTAACTCAAAATAAGCAATTGGTCATTTAAGATGAAATTCGTAGGATTAACTTCTTTGAATGCCCAAATTAAGAGTTCTAAGTAGATATTAGTAAATAAAACTATTTCATTCCTCCATTTCCACTTTATTTTCCCATTTAGTTAAATCAAAACAGGCTGAATGATACTGGCACCACCACCACCCACTTTCAACTGATAAACATTCTACAGAATTTGAAATGTGTTTGTGGGAGGGAGTTATTGGTTTGTTTTTATTATGTATTTTGTGTTCTCATTTTGTATTTTTATGTTGTGAACCCCCCTATGACCTTCTGATGAAGGGCAGTATACAAATTTAATGGATAATAATGTGGGTTTATCTGTTAGAAGTATGCACAAGATATCTAGCATCGGAACAGCCAACTCAGCTCTATGTCCTTCAGGTTAATCCTAGTCAAACCGTTTTCAATAGGTTTTAAAAGATGGGCTTGCATGCTATGTAATGTGTGAATAAGTGAGCAGAAATGAATGTCAACAATTTAGAAAACTCCAGTGAGGTAATTTATTTTGGGGGAGAAAAAATCTAGACTCATCCTGTACAGGGAGCTGACAGAGAGGATAGGGCCTCTATGAGGCAGGTCAGAATGGCTTTTCTCAGGGTGGGAGAATGTGTGAAGGTTAAGATAAAATGGTGACCAAGGGCTACATAGATTATAATTTTGTGTTTTATGAAGATTATCTTACTTTAATTTTGTCTTTAGTTTCTGTTTGATACATTCTTTCATTTTTCTCTTTACTTTACTTTGGAATTTTATGGTATTAGGTTGAAAACCTTTAATGCAATTGATTAAAAGAAATCTAGACTCATCCTAATAGCAGCTTCTACAGACATTCATAGCAAAAGCAGCTGTTAAAACACATCAGCAGGGGAATCCTTAGAGGGTGGAAATCTTTTCCCTTAAGGCCTTCTCCCAACTTACTTGCCTCCATCAGTTGTGCAGTTGCAAAGACAAACAAATGAACACAGCTTTAAAATAAGAGAACCAAAGTACTTTTTTCTGTTTATAGCTTTCATCCTGTTAATTTAGACAAAACCTCTTATATACTGCCCAGTGCCATGAAAGTTGATGGTGCCATCGTAACAACCATGATGATAGAAAGGCAAGGAGGAAAACAAATAAATACTTGTGTTATCTCCCTGAAAGTAGAGGTCAGATTGCCGATTAGACGCTTGCAACCTCTCTCAAAATAGCTCCTACGCTGTAAAGAATTAGGGCTTTTGAACAATAAATCCTTGCACTTCATCCCTTGCGTTAACTCATAGCTGATATACAGATCGTGCGTCACTGCAGGATAAATAAATGCACGAAGAGAGAGGGCAACGTTGCTGCATTGTCTCGGCTCGAATGTTCGTAAACTTTTCAGAAGGGGAGGCGGAGCGCAGCGAACACGGAGCCAACACAATCCGAAACCAGACCGAGCGGGGCAGCTGCCAGTGGCCCTCCGCCGCCTCCATCCCCACCACCACACCCCACGGTTTCGTTTCTTTTACAAGCGACGAGAAGGCAACTCTCCTGAGCCTCAGGTCTGGCGGTGGGCGGACCCTTTCCCACGACCCGAGCTTCCCAACGCCGCGAATCCTGCCTCCCCGCATTCTTCCTGCCTGCCGATGCCTCCCTCGGAGGGAAGAGAAGGGGACGCGAAGCCGCCCCTGCCCCAATAAATTAGGGCTAGAATCGCTACTGACGCGGAAGAACCGCGATGCTTGAACTGAACTGCAGCCGCGGCGGGGCCATGTTCGCCCCTCAGCAGCTGCGTGCCATGTTTAACCATTTCAACCCCTCAGCCTTTTTCGGACCGAAATCAACTGTTTGCCACGTGGGGAGCGGGGAATTCCACGTTGGCGGGGGGGGGGGTCTGCATGCCTTCAAAAGAGAAAGGGGGGTCGGTGCCGGAGGTCCGCTCTGCCCCCCCCGCCTCGCCTCCGCCCCTTGGCAACCCGTAACAAGACCACCTCCCCCCTCTCTTCATTCCCTCCGCCCTCGGGGCTCCTTTCTTCGAGGAGGGGCTGCACTACGAGCCCCGTCCAGCGCCGGTCCGTCAAGGCCAGGGCGGCTATCTCCGCGCGGAGGTGAGCCTGGCGCGCAGAGCGCGTCGCAGCCTCCGGGCCCCCTGTGTTCCCCCCGCTTCGCTTTCAAGGCTTCACGGCGCCGCGACGCCAGGAGCTCCCGAAGCCCTGCGCCGCCCACCCACCCACCCGCTCCGTCTCCTCACCTTCCTCCTCTTCGGCCGCGGCCAAGGCGGACGTGAAGCAAGAGGCGACCACCAGCAGGAGCAGCGCCCAGCCCAGGGCAGCCCAGCGAAGGCGGCTGAAGCAGCTCATGGCGTCTCTCGGTGAGGTAAGCGAGGGGGATTCGCCCCACGAGGAAAGAAGAAACAACGACGGGAAAAGCGGCTCAGCCCTCAGCTCGCGCAACCCGCTCCGCTTCCCGGCCGGTCGAAGTCTGCAGTCACGTGACGCGGTCGTTGGGCGGCCCGCGCGAGCTGTTTGACGCGTGGATTGAGGCAAGCGCCAGCGCGTGCGCGCTCTGTCTTTCTCTCTCTCTCAGCTCCCTGCGTAATAAGAGATGGTCTCGTCGACGCGTAAACCCCTTCAAGCAGCGCACACCCCCCCGCCTGCTGCAATGGAACGGCCCTCGAGGGAAAGAGCCGCTTCCTCGTCACGTGACCGACACCTCGAATGGCGTGGAAAGATCCCGACGGAGCGGGCGTGGCTGCTTCGACGTCCGCTCGCTTGTCACTCGATGTCTCAATTCGTGCGAAAATTAGATCATGGGTTGCTTTGTAGACGCGGGTGTCGTTGAAAGATCAATATTGATCTTTGGCGCAGGGATCACTTAAATAGCTTTGTGATAGGAGAAAAGCGATTAGTTCTTGACCTTGGGCAGCGTCAGAATTACGCTTTGCGTTTAGCAAGCCGCAAAAACCAGACGGGCAGTAGTGATGGCAGGGCTTAAACTCCACTCAGTAGAATGAGCAGAAGCCCCGCTGCCCACCAAATGCAGGCGAGCTGCACAATATCACCTAAAAGCAGAGACGTTGAAGACGATGCATTAAGTCCTGAGCCAAAAATTATTTTTGTATTAGGTTACTTGCCCTTCGCTGCAAGGTCCCAGGGCGCGTCACAACAATGTAAAATATCTCGTTAAAAACGGACTAACAACCAAGGGTGAGGGATAATGACTGCCAGAGGACTTGAAGTCAGTCTTTAACAGGAGAGCTGACTGGGCAGACTAAGAAACCAAGCAGCTTCTCTGGTGTTGCATATAGGTGCACGCTTTGTAATACAGTACTGCAATGCTTATATGCAGAGGATATCGAGGCACAAGGCTTGGTCTGCTCCAGGTGGCCACACATGACGGCCAGGATCCTGTGCGACATTACCAAGAAGCCCTGGTCACACCAATTGGACCATGCAGTTCATCTGCTTAGGGCAGCAAAACATCTTAAATTAACTCTGTGTGACTGAAGCAAAACTTCAGTCCAGATACAAGGCCAGGGACAACGGTGTACAGAAAGGCTGTGTATGCACTTAAAATTGTAAGAGGGTGATAGAAAGAATGTCGATTCCAGTTACAGCACCACTTTCCTGGCTGATTATTCTTTTTAGGTGGAAATTGACCTACAGAGCAGCTTGCAAATAGTGTTCCAGGAATACTGACATTCCTCAATGAGAGTATCAGTAATAGCAGAGAAGTAAACAGCTTGTGCACAGCTCACTACTACTAATCTTCTGAAAGGTGCAAGTATGAAATTTGGGGTGCTTCTACACTCACTATTTTCAGGTGGGATTCAGTCACATACTGGAAAATTCAAATTGTGAAATAACTTAATAGGTCTTGTGCAATGAACCTACTTGATTTCCTCACAGAAAGGAAGGTTCTAAATGTCCAGATAAATAAAATTGTCAGACAACATGGAGATGTGAAGTGACAAGAAGAATGCTGCACTTGTACCTCCTGTTCCTTCAAGGCTGCGTTTAATGTGGCCTTCACCCACAGGACTGTTGTGATAAAACACTGGAAAATGAGAGAGGATTCTTGTCATTCTTGTTAAATGGATCCCCATTACAAACACAGGATGCACAGCCAAAGAAAGAGAATGGCCAAGAACATTATAGCTTGCACCAGAAAAATATATGCAGTAAGCCTCTTATTAAGTATGCATCTGTTTCATTTCAGCTGACTGAAGAAAGACAATACCAATTACTGTTTAACCATTTTTCTTAGGGACAGCCATTTACTGAATAAAAGGACACACAGTCACTTCCTAGGAGAATATTTTATGAATCTATCTGATAGCTTTAGCATCAAAAATTCCCTTAAAATGTCAACTGGAGTAAAAAAAATACAGTGCCTTTTCAACCTCTTTCAAAGTCTGTAGATGAGCCAGCTAAGACACTCTGGCTCCCAAAATTATGTCAGTGAAATACAAATGAGAAACAGAGCGCAATTGATGTCTCTTTCTTACCATGTTCTGACTGTGCCTTAAAGAAACTGGATGGGGTATACATAATTGTTATAAGTCCCAAATAGAGATCATGATAGAATGAATGATCAACTGAAGTTATTAAGGTTAAACTGTAGTGTAGTTAATTACTTTCAGAAACAAAAGCTTCCAGCCTCCTCACTGCAATGCCAGAGGAGAAGAGGGATGGTGTGGGAATCTGAAGCTCAGACACATAACAGTAAACACTAGCTGGATCCCCTCAGTATAAGGAGCTGGCTGAAGAAGCCTTCCAAATCTCACGCGAAATATGTTTGTCTATATAATGCAGTCAACCAGTGGAAAAGTCATGCATTAGTATATTAGAATTGTAGAATTGTAAGGGGCCCAGAGGGTCATCTAGTCCAACCCCCTGCAATGCAGTAATCTCAACTAAAGCATCCATTATAAATTTAGCCAAACTGTGCAGGATGCAGTTTTGTCCCGGCATTTTATTTTAAAAGAAAAGCAGTCGCAGGAACCTGCAGTCATGAGTACAAAACCAGCAGGGCCATTAGGCAGGCCTGCTCCGTTCCCACTGAGCTATTTTTCCTGGCCCAGTTGCTTGCTTCCTTATGAGGGAAAAGACGCAGAGAGAAAACAGCTTGGGAGGTGAATTTTGACTGGGAAAATGTCAGTGGGAGAGAACACATTTTCCATAAAGTTTCCCGGTATGGTCCCTGGCTTGTCCTCAGTGCTTGCTGAGCTGAGAAAAAAAAGCCTGCCTCCCAGGTAGACAATACCTAGCAAAATAGACCAATGGTCTGACTCAGTGTCATATCTCATAGCTTGATAGCTATCCACCCACCAAGAGTTAAATACCTTACTGAGCAGCGATAGTGCTACCCCGCCCGCCCCCCGGATATGAAGTGCCCTTCAGATATGGGGAGTCTAAGCTGCTGTGTGCTGGCATAATTTTTCTGGGCAGCGCAGTCTGTAGAAATCACTGTTTTCAGAATCTCAATTTAATCTTTCAGTATTTTACACTCCATTATATCACACTCATTTAGTATGGTTTCTCAGTCTCTCTGTTATCTTGCCCTCTGTTTTATCAAATTGTATCATGAGACCAACCTGATCAAGTGTTTTGCCACAGAATGCATAAAACCCATACTCTTAACTGGGCTATAAATCAGGCAGTTAGCCTTCAGCAAACATGGTGAACAGTTTCTTTTGTCAGCTATAACAGATCATGGGACTAACCACTGCAGATCCTTTCTTTAATCTATGCTCACCTTTATGCATACTGGCTCCCTCATTCATTAGCCATATCACAGGTCAGATGTCACAATTCACCCAGTCTTACTATTTCAGTTGAATAATTACTATTGTCCTGTGTTTTTCCGAAGGGTTTAATTTAAACAAGGCAAAAAAAGGGGGTGGGGAATAAGAAACAAACCTTAAGAATGGCAACAGACAGCCCGAGCTACAATCACACTCTGGAAGGATCCGAGTTGCATTCAAAATTTGCAGCATTATGTTGCTCACTAGGCATGCAGCCTATAACGGAATGGAACTGTTTCAGCAGTTTTGTGTTGGTTTTGGTTACAAAAGTATTTTTTTGTTTTGTTTTAGATTGTTCTGACAAGGATGGTCAAATGTTCAGCCCAGAAAACTGAATTTTAAGGGTAAATGAAACCTATAAATTTAAGGTGGAAAAGCTAAACAGAATTTGCTGACCTTCTGATTGGCCAATAAATTGTTACTCTCCCCCCCCCCCCATACATTTAAAGTGCATGGCTTACCCCAGTGAATCCTGGGAACTGTAGTTTGTTGAGGGTACTAGGAATCGTAGCTCTAGCTTTTGAGAAGAGTTTCACAAGCAGTGTATGGTCCAGAACTGGGAGGCTGTTGCTTAAAGAAAACAAGATGGAGTCCTGATGCACATATGCAGCTCCCTGGGTGCACTTAAGAGAGCTCCCTGCATAGTGGTCACATTAATACATTACATTAGGTTCCCAAGATCCTGTAGTCTCAAGTATAAGGCTGTTTTGGCAATGAAACTATTTGCCATGGAAAAGGAGACAACATGTTTTTCTTTTCTTTTTTCAAAGTGAAAAAAAATGCTTTTATATTTAACCCCCTCAAAAAAATTAACAGAAGTAAATCCTATGTTCAGAAAACAACACTGTCATGCATTACAGTAAAACAAAATATATCTAACATCCATGGCTATGGCTGAAATACTCCACAGTTAACAATTTTACATTCTACAACTGGCCTCTCGTTGAATGTTTCCACTGCTTCCAGTTCCCGGAGAACTTCTGAGCCCTCGATCAGCTGTCTAAAGTAGAGGGGGAAAGCTAGGTAAGTACTAGGAAGCTATTCCAATTATTTTCAAGTCTAGTCACTGCTGTCATGCTGTACCAATATAGATACTGCATCTAGCCAATTAAGCAGTACTGCCTCCTCCATATTTTAACTCCAACATTGCTCTTGAGATATACTGCAGAGCTCTTAAACATACCCAAAAGCCACATATTTCTCATTCAAGTAGGGTGCTGGCTGTAGTGTGATGTAGAACTGAGATGCATTGCTGTGGCGTCCTTTGTTGGCCATTCCCAGAACACCTCTCTTGTCATGGAGAACTGCAAAACTTTCATCTAGGAAACAGTTTATAAATGGTGGCAGTGTTCTTTCTACTCATTCACATCTTCCATCTTCCTCACCCATTTGCCCCAGTGCGCACTAAGATATCAGCTGAACAACCTGAAATAGTTATGAACTTTTTAGGTGTAAAAGTTAGAGCTGCATAGTGTGCATAACCTGTCCCAACCAATATCCATGTCAGGTTTCTTCCCACATCCCCATAATACGTACCAAGCCTTATTCTATTATGTTGCAAGTTTATCTGATTCCACGCTCAGTGGCAACCAGTGTTGTAGAGTGGGGCAAGAAAAATCACAACATGCCCTCAGAGAATGCATGTGCCACTTTTAACAGCATTTCTGCATTAACCATAAAAAAAAATTATTCAGTCTTTTGCTAAACACTTTCTCCAGCATTAAGTTTCACTCTGTTCAGCAGCATATCTACAAGTTCACTTAAATTTGCAGCTATTCATTTCCTCACACTCATTCTAGTTTGGATTTTACAGGGATATGGTTGCCAAAATGATAAATTGCCAGCGATCAAAATACAACAGGCCTTTTTACACATGAGCCTTATGCTGCTTTTGAGTATCTTCTGCACACAAACATCTGATCATTGTGAGGAAGAGAAAGTGAGGACTTGTAATGCAAGCTGACATTCTTGTTAATGTAATTTTTGCATCTGCACTACACATCTGATGGAAGCAAAAACCACTTTAAACCTCATGTAGAAAATCACTCAGTCAATTTAACTAATTTCCAGCAGGTATTTGAAAAACATGCATTTTGTGCTTAATTGAATCCCATTGTCTATTATGCTTGTACATTTTGTATTCAGACAATATATTGAGCATAGATTATGCCTCCTAGTTGTTGTCACCAGGACAATTGAGGAACATGCTCCTACCTTCAAAAAAAGGTCCATAAATTGACTCGCCTCCAGTCCCTCTTCCTCCCCTTATGTCTGTATATTAGTTGAGAAAAACTAAGGTTATGAAATTACCTTTTCTGTATTAGAAAAAGAGCATGAAACTTCCAAATGTCACCTTATTAAATATAATTTCATGACACTATCTGATAGGAGTGGCAAACAGCATGATTAATGACTGCTTTCACCAGAGATCTCTACACTCATGCAAGTTTGTGTTGAATTGACACTATTTTTAGGTTTGGTTCTATCTGCCCCAAAGGCTCCCATACAATGAAATCTGCACAACACCCTCAATATGATTATGTTTCTTCCCACTTAATTCCCTATTTTCTCTTAAAATATTGTCAAATAGTTGGGTTTTTGGCTGAGAAATAGCAGCATGACAGGTAATCAATGCCTGGCCGTTGTTTTTCACACTTACCCAAATCCTCTCATGCACACTGGCTCCATTATCTTCAGTGGAAGGACCAAAACTGTGCATACAAAGGAGTGGGTTTGCAAAGCAACTGGCTCAGTCCAAGTGAATGGGGAAGCCCACACTGGTAGGAAGCCCTCCATTTATGGAACAAATTGCCAGAGTGATTTGTTTGGAAGCCTTTGAGAGAGAGGGCTGTGGCGGGGGGGGGGGAGGCTTTTATCTTGTAATGAGAATGCATAAATCAGTCTTCCTCAACTTGTTACCCTCCAGGTGTTGTGACATCTCCCATCACCCCAGTCCCCATAGCCAATAGTTAAGGATGAAGGAGAATGTAGTCCCAATGACACTGGGAGAGCCACGGGATTGGGAAGATTGGTATCAATACTTGTATCATCTCAAAGCACTCTGATGAGTGCAAATGCAATTATACATGTCAAGTAAGACAGGAAAGTTGCATTGTGTCTTTATTGTATAAACAGGATTCAATACCCACCTCCTCCTTGTATCCAGCCATTTTTTACAAGTCGGTGAAAGATAGAATCACGGTAAGTGAGTGGAAGCCCAGACATAGACTTCTTTTTCTCCCCTGAACACAAATACTGGAAGTTTTTACATGTCCTGGGACAGATATCAGAATAGAGCTGCACAATGGAGATAGAAAGCATGTGTTAAGTTTCTACAAGCTCAGTCCCAGAGAAGGCCCTTTGTCATGTCAATAGAGACCTCCCCCACAACTTTGGACAATTTTCCAAAGAGGGAATGCCTCTTATAAGATGGTACTTGTCAAGTTGCTATTGTATAAAAATAAGGAGGGGGGGGGAGGAAAGATAAAATATACAGTGGTGCCCCGCAAGACGAATGCCTCGCAAGACGGAAAACCCGCTAGACGAAAGGGTTTTCCGTTTTTGAGTTGCTTCGCAAGACGATTTTCCCTATGGGCTTGCTTCGCAAGACGAAAATAGCCGCTAATAGCCTTTTAGCCGCTAATAGCCGCTAATAGTGCTAATCCGCTAAGCCGCTAATAGGGTTGCTTCGCAAGACGAAAAAAACCGCTAGACGAAGAGACTCACGGAACGGATTAATTTCGTCTTGCGAGGCACCACTGTATTTTCAACTAATGAGGGAATATTTTCAGTATATCAAAATATTTTTAATTGATTAGTCTGTTGATTATCTACTAACCATTCCAGGCTTAAATGAATACAAACGTTCAGCAGCGCAGCATCATAAGGCTGTGCCTATTGCAACCATTTTGAGCAGCTATCCCACCCATCCAGCTCATTTTGGTTCATGCTCAGCAGCAGAAAGCATTAACTGTACAGCCATCTCCTTCTCCTCAATTGTATCTGTACCTATAGTTTGCAATAGGAATATGAATGCCTGCTAGGATGCTACTTGCCTCTGCCCCTGCTATGCATTAAGGTAAAAGGTAAAGGTACCCCTGCCCGTACGGGCCAGTCTTGACAGACTCTAGGGTTGTGCGCCCATCTCACTCAAGAGGCCGGGGGCCAGCGCTGTCCGCAGACACTTCCGGGTCACGTGGCCAGTGTGACAAGCTGCATCTGGCGAGCCAGCGCAGCACACGGAACGCCGTTTACCTTCCCGCTAGTAAGCGGTCCCTATTTATCTACTTGCACCGGGGGTGCTTTCGAACTGCTAGGTTGGCAGGCGCTGGGACCGAGCGACGGGAGCGCACCCCGCCGCGGGGATTCGAACCGCCGACCTTTCGATCGGCAAGTCCTAGGCGCTGAGGCTTTAACCCACAGCGCCACCCGCGTCCCTATGCATTACACCTCCACATTTTCTTGACTCACTCAGCTTTTAGCAATCAATTGATCGGAATACCACAAAAACACACTGGACATTCAGAAAGAATTAATACATTTGAGATGCAATCCTAAACTCTAATGGGAGAGAAGTTCCTTACACTAGGTATTGGGCTGGTGCTATGTTGTACGATAGCAGTGGAGTATAATAATATCCAGGAAATGGCACAACTGTGCTCCACTGAGGCACCCATGACTCTGCCTGGATGTGACCAATATTTTCTGGCAGCAGAGCTGCAGTGGCCAAATGTTCTACTTCATTGTTGTTGTTTAGTCGTTTAGTCGTGTCCGACTCTCCGTGACCCCCTGGACCAGAGCACGCCAGGCACTCCTGTCTTCCACTGCCTCCCACAGTTTGGTCAAACTCATGTTGGTAGCTTCGAGAACACTGTCCAACCATCTCGTCCTCTGTTGTCCAAAAGCATCAATTCTTTGGCTATCAGCCTTCTTTATGGTCCAGCTCTCAGTGTACTTCAGTGGTGGCCATTTATCCCACAATCTGCTGGTATAGCAGAGCTTCCATTGAACCCTACAGCCTCTTGGGCATTGGATCCAGAATACAGAATTGTGCCTGTAACATTTTTACATTAACTTTACATTAACTACATTAACACATGCATATATGCTTCATTTGAATGAGTTGCAGTTCCTTGGAGTTGAATGTTGAGTCTTTTTAAAATACTATGCACTAGATCCAATGCCAAGGTCTGATTTTTCTTCAGCCACTTACCTCAAATAGCAATTTTCCTTTAGGCTCTGCCTGAATAGATATTTCAAAGTACACAAACACATGCTGCCAAAAAAGATAAAGAAAAAAAAAGGCAAAACCAGTTGTCAAAATAGAACACAGTGACTAATTGGATAAAGATTCTCTTTTGAACATTAGTCATGCTTCAGAAAGTAAAAGGTTGAATCCCATAAGCAAGAAGCCTCCCAATGTGTTCTGCATCTCTCAAGCTGCCACTTTCCAATTTCCTACTTCTGAGAAATCCTGTCATCAGCTAAGCTGCCAAAGAACTCCGGGTCAATGCAGAAGTTTCTATGTGTTTTAGGGTGCACATTCTTTTCTTAGGCCACTGGCAAGTCCTTTTGGGCTTAAACTAAGGAAGCATAGTGTAAGGAGTCATTCTGCAAAGAAACAGAAAGAGATGATTGTAACTAAACTGTTTCTGTGTGCTCTAGGTGTGGTTTTCTAGGCTGATTAGGTACAGCTGGTGATGAATACAAAAGGAAGAGAAGTTGCAGTTTGAATTTGCCTGCAAAAGAGAATACCCACATGCTTTGTGTTTGTAAGGTTGTAAATAAAACTCTTGCTTGAGTATTTTACACCTCTCTCATGGTTCTGTCGTCTGCTGCCAGGAAGATACAGCTCCAATACATAGAACATACCCCAAACTCCCCTGTGGCTGTGCAACTTGTGTGAGGAGGCAGGGAGAAGTTCCATCCATGAGCAAACTGGCTTTCAAGTAACTAGTCTGCCATCCATAGGATGGGGCCTTGTGGGCCTTCTCCACAAGCTCCAACGCCATGTTGTTTTCTCCCAAAAATTGAAATGAGAATTTTGTAAGCAAAGAGCCCTCATGTTGAAGGACACAGCATTTTCTTGCCATGGCCAGTTATGACCCACGAAGCAATCGTTTTATATACTCTACCTTTCTTCCAGGGACATCAAAGTGGTAACATAGGGTGCCCAGGAAAGAGTGTTCGAAGATGCAGGGAGAGTGTGTTTTGACTACATGCTGTTTTGGCTTCATGTACTATCCCCGGAACATAACCCCTGCATAAGTTGAGAGTTGCCTGTATTGCAAGCAAGCAAAGTCATATACCATATGACCTGGTTCAGATATCACATTACAACACACCAAACCATGATTTGGAGGATGAGGAATGTGTGGCAGACTGGCACTCTCCGTTTTCTATGCCAATTCCCCCTTCTGTTTCCCGATTTCTTCTTACCAGTTTGCTGTGATGTCTGAATCAGGCAAATTATGGTTAGTACTAACCTCCAAACCATGACTTGAAGTGAGTTAGCAAACTATGATTTGGAAAATAGTGCTTAGCAAAGTCCACTTGATTTAGATATGACAGCAACTATGGTTAGTGAATTTAAAAATTTTAAAATGTTGATGAGGTGCATGCATGTGCAAGTCCACAGAACATTTCTAATCCTCCAAAGGATTGTTCAAACTGAGACTATAAGGCAAAAATAAATAAATAATGAAGTCACGCAGGATCACAGCCAATCTAAAATATGGTGACCAGCAGTGAAACGCTCTAGCTGAAGACACATTTTGAAGGTACGATATTGTTCACAGACCTATTTCCTTTGGAAAACCAATAACCTACCTGCTTGTTTCTCATGTATTTAGTGAGGAAATCCTGTGTAATTGCTTCATAAAGTGCAACGGGCTTGAAGTCCTCATAATCCCAAACATCATAGGCCCACTGTAACAGCTGTTTTTCATCTCCAACAAGCTGGCCATCAATAAAGCACATCACGTTGGAAGGATATTCCCATGTTTCCCCTTTTAACTCCTGTGGTGAAAATGGCAGTGTTTCAGAATCAGCAGGCATTTAAGAGAAAAATTAAACATGCAGATTTTACAAACAGGGAGAAAACCCACAGAACAACAGTTCTATCAGCAGTACCATGCCTAAGTTCCTGAAGTCAGGTGTCATCACTTCCAGGAAGCAGAGTGCTGGTCTATGTCTTGGAACAGATGGTGTAATTTGCACCTGGTTCAGTGCAGTGCCCTTGATTAGTGCTTAACGTCTAAGTTCTCATACTAGGGAAGTACTGTACCATATTACTCATGTACCTCTTTCAATGTTCCTCACAATGCCTGGACAATTTGGACAGAACTTGGACCACTTCAACTTTGTCCTGTGAAGCAGCAAGGCAGAGCATCAACCCTGTCAGCAAAACTCCTTGGAATAAGGATGTGCATTTCAAATATAAGGCTATGCAAGGATGGGGAGCTTGTGTCCCTCCAGATGTTGTTGGACTCCCATTAGCCCCAGCCAGCATGGCCAGAGACAATGGGAGATGTAGCACAATGACATCTGAAGGGCCACAGGTTCCCCATTATTGGGCTAGACTAGTGTCCATCAGTGGGAAAGGATACAATCATATTGCTATTAGTCTGTGGGTGCCAGACTCCCCTGTGTTATGCATTTCAGATTCCCCTGTGTTATGAGTTTCTGGGTGCCAGACACTGAACCTACTTGTTGTGTGCTCAAGCACCTACCTGTGCTTGGTATAATGCAGACTAAAGGCTCATTTCCTGAAAAGGTGTTGTGAACAGAACCTGGAGAATAAATAAATCATTCAGTCTGAAAGTTTCAGGAGAGTGTGTCTGCTGTAATACCAAAATCAAACCAATCCACTCTGTTTTGGAAATAAGAGAAGAAGAAGAAGAAGAAGAAGAAGAAGAAGAAGAAGAAGAAGAAGAAGAAGAAGAAGAAGAAATACCTTTTTCTTCTCCTGTAAATATTCATCCCATGCAAACTGCAGTAAAGGAAGCACTTTTGGCTCTGCTATCTTGTTTGGAAAACTTTTCCTCAGGCCCTGGTTATTCAAGAGAAAATGACAATATTAAAAAGGACAGTACAGATCTCTTTATAATTGCTGGTGATGGAATCAATCCAATCATAACTGTACTTTTGCCTTGTTTATCTCATTCACACTACTCTATTTCCATGGAGATGGATGAGTTGTACTTGTGATGAGTAAAAACCATGGCCAAATATAATAAGGTCAATTCCTTCTCTGTTTACTCCTGAAAGCAGTTTGAACACTAGGAATGGTAGTGGCAAAGACAACGAGCTCAAATTTAGGATGTCCTAAGTTCACATCTTTCTTCCGTCATGAACTTACTGAGTGTTCATTGCACTCTTCATAGTCACACATCCTGCAATATGGAGAACCTAACAGTCATTTGCTTTACAGGATCGATGTGAGACTTACAATCCCAATTTTCTCCCTATGAACCTGCGTAACCCCACACCCTGAAGTCCATTGGCCCTAATGCAGCAGAGCTTGTTCTGTGTCTTTGTCTGGGCAGTGTCTAGTTTTAGGCCTTGCTTTTCTCCCTTGTTTCCCTGCATCACATCTCTGCCTTCCCATTGGACTACTCCTAAGGTCCCAAACTGATCCTGCAGGGACATAGGGTTGTAGCCAGTGCTGCACATGCAGAGTTCCACTTGCCTGAGAAGGCTTCTCCTTTGTCTCCTCTCCCTGTATGCCCTTCATAATATGCTCTGGAGGGTCCCCAGACCCCTTGGAATAGATTTTGAGGCTGGGGGGGGGGCAGGCTGCAGGGAGGAGGAGAGCAGGGGGAAATCGACTGAACAAATAAAACAACAGTGTTGGATACAACCATCATACTCCTAGCAAGTCTGAGCACTCTCAGACATCTCAACCAGGTGTATAAAGATGGATATTTATAAACAGATGTCCATTCTTAATCCTTCCTTTTTCATTCCCCTCAGTGAGCTCCTCCATTGTTTCCAATCTTACCCTTCATTCTCTGTGTAATAAAACTCTCTTGTGTTTAGACAGCCAAATTTGTTTATTGAAGTGTCAAAGGCCACATAAGACAAGAGAGGGTCCTGATGTGCCTTGGAGATGCAGACATATTGAAGAAACAGCCTGTCATTGACACAGAAATGCTGCCTGCCACTTCTCAGTAGTGATATCCATGAACATGAATGTGTCATTTTCAAATGAAGCCCAGCTAGGAAGCACTGCTGCTGACTGAATTCAAAGAGGTGCAAATTGGAATGTTCCTTCTTCCATGTGGCCACACTCAGAGAGAGATGCACAAACATCTAAAGTGGTTTAGAAATTCAAGGCAAACACCTGGAAGGTGGACACAAAAGATTTTTGCTACCATACTGTATTAGTTAAATGACCATCTTTTTTTGAATCAGGGAGTTGGACATTTTGGCTCCTTGAAAGCAGAGCTTTCCAAACTGTGTGTCGCGACACATTAGTGTGTCGGCTGCAGTGTGTAGGTGTGTCGCAAAAATGCTCCCTGCACTCCTCCTGGGGCTGGAAAGGGCTTAGTTTAACCTCCGCTTTGCTAGTAAAATTGAATTACTGTGTCGCGAAATGATGCATTTCTAAAAAGTATGTCACCAACATGAAAAGCTCTGCTTTAAAGTCTTGCGGTTACCACAGACTGCAGTTTCAGTTCTGTAGATTAAATGTTAAATGTTAAAGGATAATTTTTATCAAGCAAAGGTTGATAAAATATCAATGATGTGGCACAGAAAATTTTCCAGTGCTTCATTTCTCTGCAGAAAAAAAATTCCATTTCATCTGTTCATTAGTAACGTTGAATGGATGCCAACTGCAAACACAGTATTAGGCAAGTTTGGCAGTTTCAAAATGTTTACTTTGGTTACTGAATACAATGAAAATAAATATATTCCCATTCAAACTGATAATTTTCTGATGCAAATTACCTTATGCAAATTACCCTAATTCATGTATAATTTCCAATTCAAAATTTTCTGGAAAACTTGTATCATCATAAAATATTACAAGAGGGTACTCAGATAAGCCAAATGGAAGTGGCAAGTTTCTTAATTAAGCTTTTTTCCCCATTTTCTTTTTTTTTGGTGAGGAGAGCCCATTCCACAACTGCTTTGGAAGGATGTGCTTTGTACTCTGCAACTGCAACTATACGTAATACAACAGCTGAGGAATACAGTCTACATAAAGACCACACAAGAAAAAAAAGAGGAAGAATGATGTTAGCAAGTGGCTCCAGTAGGAAGAAAAAAGGCCTGCAACTTACGTACCTCTGCTGCACATTTTGCCATGTGAAAGGAGGGTTCTGTGAGAAGCCCTACAACCTCCACCTCTTGCAGCCTCACGGGCTGCACAGCACCCTTTCTCCACATCCTTCACAAAGTTTTCTGTCTTTTCTCCTCTTCTCCTTGCTGCCTCAGTTGCCTCCTTCCCCTCAAACATCCGGGAGAAGGAATAAAAACAATCCTGGTCCCTATAGCGACTCCAATCAGATGCAAGCATTCTGTGCCACTCTGAGTTCTGCTAGCCTGTGATTGGTCCTTGGTTTCTTTAGTATTTCTACAGCACAAGATGACAGAACCAATCACCTTGTAGCTTGTGAGTGATCGTAAATCCGATGTTGGGGAATGTTATACATTGTTCAGATTTTTTTACTGCAGTTAGTGAGAGATTGTAACTTTATTATTATTTTTTAGTTGTGATGCTGATTGAGGTAAGATTGCAGAATCCAAACATTTCACCTAAATAATTCTCATGTTGTACAGGTGACAGTGCCGTGACATATTAAGCTATGCCTAGCAAAGTGAGATCTATAAAAATGGTCTAAGGTCTCATACAATTATTGTAGATATCCCTCGTTTTTATTGGGTAACTATTTATGGCAATATTTTGTATTAATTTATAAACCCTTTAAAAAAAAACCTATTGCAGATGCCAGTGATTTTAGAATAGCAGATAAGAGCTACTCCGATTAATTTTTTTTTGCCCTGCTGTACTTCAAATCACGGCCCTACTTAAATGATTACATATATATAAATGGCACATTTATTCTATGTAGGCAGCTTGGAAGAATATAAAATTGACAGAGGGTACATTTTAAGTAAGTAAAATATTTATGTACAATTTATTTTGACAGTTGCATTATTGTTGTACATTTTTGCCATACAGTCATAATTTATACATTTATAGTATACCACTTTAATCAGTAATAATTCCTAAAAATCCTGGCAACTGCAGTTCGTTAAGGGTTCTGAGAGTTGTTAGGAGACTCCTGTTCCACTCCCAGAGCTACAGTTCTCAGAGTGGTTTAGCAATCAATCCCTGTTCCCAGGGAACAATGTGACACATTAAGCACATGAAAGTATTCCAGGGTAAAGCAAAAATAATAAAAAATCATTTTAATGCTTTTACTGTTATTGGAACCAGTTTTCTGGATAACTCATAACTTTATTCATTCTTGTAGCAACTATCTAGGTCGTAGATGCGTAACATTATTTTCCATTACTGGAAATACGCAGAAGCAAGTCAAATGAATGTTACTTTTCTAACTGGATGATTTTATAAAATAACAACATTGCTTTACCTTTAATTTTATGTAAATATTTACGATCTCTAGAAAAAATGGTTTATATGCTTCTCATTCATATTGCAGGAGCATAATCAGAAAATCTGACTGGGGGAAAAGGTTGACACAAACAGGATGCAAATGAGCTCCTGGCTAGGAAGAAGTGTTAGCAGCATGCAGATAAACTACACAGAGAAAAATGCTAGAAGGATGAATTTATGCATTGTTTTTATTTTAAAGGAGAAACAGTTCCATTTCACATACAAGAGTAAATATGTATAAGCATGAAAATTTAACCCTTAACTGAGGAAACAGCATTATTTCCCCTTCACCTAGTGATTTATTTTTGCAACTGCATCAGTCACAACAGAATTATAAAGTCAGAGAAGGAACTGTTACAATTTGAAAATTTATCCCCCTGAAATTATGTCTTTCTTTTCCAACTTTCCCCCTTTGAATTTTTTTAAATAACATTCTTTTTTTAAAAAAATCCATTTAAACTTTGATATTTATGTTGTATTTTTACTGTTACCAATTAAAGAGTTATAGTTTTTAAGAAACCATTTGAGATTTGTGCCATCTTAAATCTTTAATTATGAAACCATTTTTAACCTAGAATAAAAACAGTATTGTGTTCTCAAGGCAAAATATGAAGCTGTGTTTAAAATTTAAATATGTGATTAAGGTATCCTGCAGAGATGATGAATGTTCATTTCATCTTTTTTTTTTTGCTGTAAAAGCTTTTCTGTTGTAAAAGCTAAGGCACAGAAAGTTTACGATTTGGCTATAAATATAATATCGGCAGAGTGAGTAACTGAATCAAAGATTATTAATAGCTTATTCTCATCATCACATTATATCACCTTTGTAAGAGGAGCATGTTTGAATGTTTACACAAGGAACATTCTTATGTAATACCAGCAATTTGTGGTAGGGTCCTTACTACACTCCCCAAGGCTTTTGTATTTACTTCACTAGACAGGACAGCTCGCTCTCTCTCTCTCTCTCTCTCTGTGTGTGTGTGTGTGTGTGTGTGTGTGTGTTCACAGAGAGGCGTTCTGGACACATTGCTCCACGGTAGTGAAGAGGAGGATTTGATTGTGTAGCTCCACATATGCATCACCGCATGGTCTCTGGGTAAAAGTGAGTAACATGACAAAAACAGTCAAAAGATGCACTGATTGCAAGTGACACATTTTTTGTGCCCACCGTATTGCAGAGAATAGGTACATGGGTGATTGCAGACATGATATGACATAAGATTTGTCCTTAACTTTGGCTGTGTCAAAAGCACCTCTCCTTAACACAGCTTAGCACCACATCCAACCGTTAAGCATGGATAACACAAGGGTGCCAAGATAACCTGGAAGGTTCTACTTCCCACATTGATAGTATTATTCCACTGGTGCAGACAATGCTGTTGAAGCTTCCTTATGGTCAATTGTATCAGATTTACTTCCAACCTCCCAGAAGAATGGGGTTGGATGTGCAAACTGTTGTGCAAGCTGGACCAAGAAATGAAAAAGCAGAGGCCAAATGCACATTAAAATGTTTATCAGAGAGTGGCTATCTGCCAACAGTGTATTATTGAAGTAGAATATGAATTCCTCTCCACAACAAGCAGAACTAGACTATGGTCTATTTCAGGTCCAGTAAAACAGTCGTTTAGCAGACTGAGAATGAATGCTATGTCTTCACGTTCCCTCCCCGCTGCTTAAACAACTGTGTCCGAGTTCATAATCAGAAACTGTCATTTAAGAAATCCCATATGCATTGCATCAAGATGCAAGAGAGAAAATAGGATGGAAGAGAGGGGTACACAGTCACAACACTTGTTGGTCTAATAAACCATGGCTTACTGTTGAATTTGAATTAGGCCTATATACAACTAGAGGTGAATCATGAATTGAATCGGCAAAGCCTAATGTAAAACCCAAACAAGAAAAACAATTTTCTTTAAGCCTGTAGGTGGCACTTTTCAGGATGGCCTGTCTACACGTGGTCAGAAGTCCAACTTTACACTTCCATCCTTTTGAAATTACACACATATGCTTATACGTCGAGACAAATTTTAAAACTGGATTGGAAATTGTGGTTTAACTGGCAATATTGCACATGTATTTGCACATATAAAATGGCAATATGTATGTTCCGGCTTGCCATTGTAATGCACATAAATAAGCACAACTACTTTTTCATGGGGAAGGAAGGAAGGAAGGAAGGAAGGAAGGAAGGAAGGAAAAAGAAAATAATTCCTCTGTAGATATCCAAGAGCAAAGTAGAACTCTGAACACAAGCACATAATTATACAGTGCATGATCCAGGTGAAGTTAATTTTTACATCCAATCAGCTTAAATGGGAGCAAGTGAAAAGCTCTTTTCCACTGAAACAGCTAAAATGGTTGGATCCCACCAACAGTATCTCAATAATTATTGCAGTTCAGGCAAAATAGGCATGGGTCTTGACTATGAAATCACCCTATCAATATATATTTAAGTTAAGAAAACATAAAAATAAAAAATACTCAGCTTTACAATAAAGTGAACCATCAGTATTACCAAAATGCAATCTTAAATAGATAGATGAAATATGACTTGGTTTGACGTCATTTCACTTTTGAGAAATAAATAAAGAAGCAAAACAACCCTTATTTTAAAAAGTCTGCCTCTCAATATGATGATCATCAGATGACTGGCCTACAGTCAGAGACTGCTGAGGTGATTCAGAGACATGTACAGTTTGAGTCTGTCCCTTGCTCATTTGAGGAGGTAGGACTGTAGCTTGGCTGATGCGAAACTCCTGGCTAGGTTCCTGAGGCACCTGCAGGTGCTGGCTTGGATGTGATGTTCCTGTGGTGATCTGGAGCACTTCTGCTGGATTCTGATTGGCATGTAGATGCTCCAGGGCTTCTTTAGAGAGCGTGATGACGTGCACTTGCTCAGCCTGTGGAGGCTCCATCTGGCTGCTCACAATGTTAATATTCTGAATCTGGTCTGCTGGCTCTGGCTGGGTGGAAAGGAGCAAGTTCTGTAGCTGCTGGGGTGGCTGAGTGAGAAGGGTAAGACTGCCTGCATGGTCCGTCATCACATTTTGGGTGCCATCTGCAGTGACAACACTAATACCTTCGCTATGGCTGGGCACAAAATTGATATTGTGCACAGAATCTGTGACCAGCAGCTGGATCTCCTGCGCTCCAGAAGTGGAGAGTTGATACTGCTGCAACTGAAGAATGTTCCTGACTTCGTCTGTGGTGTTGCTGCTGCTGCTGCTGTGGGGAGCACTGCTTGCTTCCTGTAGCTGCTTTTCTTTGATGTGGATCTTCAAATGTGACTTCAAATTGTCTAGGCGCGCAAACTGCACGCTGCACTCCGAGCAAGAAAAGGGCTTTTTGCCAGTGTGTAAGATACAGTGTCTCCTCTTGGCACTGGAATCAGAAAAGGATTTCCCACAAATGCTGCATGTGTAAGGTTTTTCTCCTCTGCAAGGGAAGGCAGGTTAGCTTCATCAAGTACGTGAAAGCTTGGAGGATACAGACATTTCACAAAATTTCATAATGCAGTACAAGACAGGATCACCCCAGTGTACTTATGTTGTCCGCATTGCCTTGGTATGGTTTTATCTCTAGTTTACCAAGTTGGCATGTAGACAGCAGCCTAGTAACGAGGTGGGCAGGCTACAGTGCAGGCCACAGCCAGGCCTACAGGGCCCCCTTGCTTCCATATACACATTTAAGCTGCTGTTATTTAGAAGACTGCCAGAATGTGGCTAGAAATGTCTTGGGAACAGGGAGTATTTTGAGAGTGCTGATAAAGCTGTATTACATCAGCAAAGTCCCCATCATTGTGATGAGCACACTGATAGGAGTTGGGAAGAGCTTGCAGAATGCTAAGTAGGCAAGGCCAGACTGGCTTTCATTTTCTTTTCCCTTCTACTCCAGGCTGCCACTAAGGGTGGCATGACACCATCATCGTCTTCCACACTGCCTTGCAGCAAACAGTTGCCTTTCCTGCAATTTGAGATCAGATGGGAAGCTGAACTGAAAAGACATTGCACTCCTTCCATGTTCCCATCACATTTTCTGCATCCCCATCTTCCCAACCTTTTAACGGTAGCCTTCCAAAGCCCTTCGTGAGTGACCAAATCATTATCCAACTAAGTTCTACTCAGAGTAAGCCAAATAAAATTAAGTTGGTCATGTCAATTAATTTCAGTGGATCTACTCTGAGCAGGCTGAGCATTGGCTAAAGACTCCTGTTTTTATATACTATGATTTGTAGCTGGCCTACAGAACACAAATTTTAGTATACCTTTGGGGTACAAGGTCAGCTTTTAAACTGTTCAAAAAAATCCCATATTCAACTTCTGTAGTTACAGTGGACACCCAGTCTGCAACAATTTAGACTCAAAGCATTTCCCATTAAAAAAACTAGTTCCTGACATGCAACCACACAAAACAAAAGGAGGAATAGCATACCTGTGGATTCTTATGTGAGTCTGGAGAGAGCTTTTTGCTGTGAAGGACTTGCCACAAATTTCACATGTAAATGGCTTTTCACCTACAAAAACATGTTGGTTAGTGTAACAGCAAGATACCACTGTTTAATTAAAGGCTAGCATGATTTTAATAAATACACTCAATTACAGTGTGTCGGACTTTGACATCTGAGCAATATCTTACTAACGAAACAACAGCACCACTCTAACTATCATTATACCAACACACTGTTTGTGATGGAACATACCAAGAGCTATGACTGCAGAGCATCAAATATAATAGCAGCTACCACATATAGGGAGTATTCTGGCTGTAGGGAGATAATCGTGGCAATAAATTTGGGATTAACTGGAAAGCCTGTCAGAATTTAAAAAGCACTGGCAAAGAAGGGACTCTTTTTCATCTAAGTAATATTCAACAAATCTCATGGCTAATCAACACACAAAAAAGAAGAGAGATAGAATCCATCATGCTCTTCTTCCTCATCAAAGTCGCTTTGGATGTCAGCAGCTGCATCAAGTATTCCTTCTGTACTGTTCCTAAAATGTTGCTAGACAATATGGAAGGAATTCACAGTGCATGCAGCCCCTTTTCCTGCAAGCATTGCTTCTCCTGGAAGTTGAACCTATGCTAGCCTGGGAAGGAATATAGCATTGTGGCTTCCTTCCACACAGCTTAAGTCCTTCAATGTTACTGGAAGGTCCCATACCACTGAGGTAACATGAGAAGGAAGCTTACAGAAACGTTTCACAGTATAACACTTCATTTTGTTGAAAAACAATGCTTTATTTTGTTTTGGTGGGGGGCGTTGTTTGAATGACTGAAAACTGTTAATGTTTTATATAGCCTTTCTTCTTTTTAAAATGGCACAATATATTTATGTTTTTAAATGTAAGTAGCTTGGAGACTTTCTTACAAACAAGTGACTAATAAATTCTACAAGCGCTTAGCCATATTTCTTTTTTGTCATTCTGCTCATGGTTTTCAATCACATAGCCTCCACATCCCTCTGTTCTCTAACAGAAACTCAAGGAATCTGCTTTGTATCAGTGAAGTCCTGCACATTATGGATTCGGAGCTGTTTAGGATTCACCAATCCAGATTAAAATCCATTTCAACCTCATTTATTCTCTGGGGCATATTGCTGTCTCTTCCAATTCAGCTGTGCATCAACACTCCCAATGTGAATATCAATTTGTGCCTAGCTGGTGCTAAACTCTCCCAGTAGGAGGGCAGATCTCTTATTTGACCTGACACTAACTATAGGCTTGCGTGTTCCAGCACACTGCTATGCCCAGAGCCCAAACCCAAAGGACAGCTGTCTCTTCTCTGAAAGAAATATGGAAGGGCATTACCTGTATGTGTTCTTAAATGTTTCTTTAACTGAGCTGCATCCATGAATTTGCGATGACACAGGTTACATTCCGGCAAAGAATGGCCTTATTACAAAAAGAAAAATAGGTATCCATTATCTTTTCTGAGTCTATTACTATTATTTATTAAAATGTCTGTCCTGCCCTTTGGTCCAACAGCGTTGTCAAGGTAGCACACAAACATACAAATCTGACATATCCCGAATCAAACCAATGCCACAGTTAAGAGAAGCAGCACAAGGCAGTTATAGAAAGAACATTATTTTCTGGTATTCAGAGAGATTTGAGTTGGTTAAATATTGTTTCCATCACAACATTAGTTGCTTTAAATTCTACTGACAGCAGAGTATTAGAGAGGCAGCAGAACATTAAAGTTAACATAGGTTTCTGTGGACCAAAAGGATCATGTTTGCCACTCCTAGCTTACCTCTGGAGCCCAAGACCAGAGGTGCAACACACATATAGGCACTGTAACCCAATGTGTATAGGTTAGAACATCATGAAGAATGTAGAAGCATAAAGCACAAGGAAATTCATGCTACTTTTACTGTGTTTTGGGATGGAGAGGGGATGTGCAAAGTTGTAATCATACATCTCCCCCATTGGGTAATGCATGGGAGAAGTAGTTGCACTCTTCACAAGAAAAGTTATGTTGTCCTAGAAGTGTGTCTAAAGGAAGTGTGGTTCACACTCCTGTCCATGCTTGTACACAAAGTCACCTTGAGGTGGTATCCTCAACTCTGGAATAGCCTCAAAGATGGGAATATTCAAGCTAAGCATTCAAAAGACTCACATTCCTCCTTGCCATAGAACTAATATATAAAAAACCCTCTGATAGCTTGATACAGTTATTAAAAAGAGACTCATTTGAAAAACGTAAGAAAGACAATGTGCTAAAAAATTTCCAACAAAATCCACCATGCCTCTTAAATTTGTTATACCTGTGTGAACTCTGTAATGACTCTTAAGTTGTCTCTTTTGGCTGAAGTATTTTCCACACTGATCACAAGTAAAAGCCTTCTGACCTGAAAGAAAAACAGAGGAGTTTAGAAGATATTTCAAAGAAATCACAACAGATATCACTGCATAGCTTATATTATGTTTAGTCTGGGTCTTACTCAAACATACAACTAAACACCAAGCAAAAACAATCCTATGCATGTTTATTCAGAGGCAGGTCCCCCTGTCTTCAATGGGGCTTATTCCTGGGGGAATTCAGAGAGCCTTATATGTGTAATTAACAGGAAAGTTACTCCACAACATGTGGTGATGGAGAACAGCCTAGAAAGCTTTTTAAAAGGATTCAACCAGTTCATGAAGGATAAAGTCTATACCAGCTAAACTGCACTTGTGTGTGCAGAGGCAGTATACCAGATGCTGAGGACAAAGCATTAGGAATGATACCCATTATGTTAGTCATACATGGAATAGACCCACTGAATTCAACAGATTTCAGAGAGCCCATTCTGAGTACAACTTAAGCTGGATATCAGGATTAGCCAAAACCTTCATGTACTACTTTGTAAGGGCCCAGAGGCCTCAGGCATTCTGCAGTTGGAAACAATGTTGGGCTTAATGGATCTAGGAACTGATCTAAACAAACAATTATTCGTGAATTAATTTACACCCTTAGCACAGCTAAAATGCTATTGACATTACCTGTATGAAGGCTCATGTGCTCCAGGAGTGAATGTTTTGTTGTTAAAGCCTTACTGCAAACAGTACAAGTGTATGGCCGTTCTCCAGTATGCATTCGCTCATGAACTTGGAGAGAGTGTTTCTGGGAAAAGCCTTTACCACATTCACTGCACTTAAACGGGCGCTCCCCTAAAAACAAGGTACCAGGTTTGTGAGTGGCAAATAGTTAGACAATTCAAGTTGACAGAAAGATGCTTCAAACGACATTATTTAAAAGAAAACCCCAAACATTTTTTCAAAACTGTAGGTTAAGAAAAATAAATTGAATGGTTATCATGAAATCATTATTAATAACTTGATGGTATTCAAAGTGCTTCACATACTGTATTTACGCAAATCTAATGCACCATCAAATCTAATGTGCACCTCAATTTTCAAAACCTTTAAACCAAAAAAGTGTTTGCTACCTCAGCGTTGTTTTTCAAGCTTGCAATCAAATCTAATGTACACCCTCATTTTCATGACATGATTTGGCCCAAAAAGGTGTACATTACATTTGAGTAAATATGGTATTTTCTCAGGAATCCTAACAACTGCCCTGCAAGGTTGCTCAGTATTAATATTATCACACTGCCAATGGAACGGCAAAGAATCAGGGCTATGCCAAAGGCCACTGACTTAATCTATGGACTTCCTGATTTGCAAACCACAGCTATACACACTATTGTAAGGATCTGTGTAAATTTATTAATTAATAACAACAACAATTATGCAATTGTTATCTTATAAATTCAGCAGTAACATACATGTTTTGACTTTGCAAAATTTACCAATAAGTTATACATCAGATGATGGAAACATTAGACTTTCTTTTTGCATTGGGACAGTGCCTGCTGGGTTCTTCAGCTTAGAAAGCAGACCTTCCCAGTCAAGATGCATTGGGGCAATGAATGAGAATGACAATGTGAGTCCACTGCCATCCCCATAAACCATAGCAGCTGGCCATTATTGCATTACGTTGCGGGGAGGGGGTGAATATTCAGAAAAATATTATGGAGAAACCATCTTCATCAGTTCCTCTTCTGAAAGTTAAGAGCTTGCCAAAGTTCTATGCTGAAGTTTTAATGAAATGTTTTGATGAATAGATTCGGTAAAAGATTATTCAAGAAAAATCAAGCAGTATTTAGGCAACAGTATTCTACGCTATGTGTAGGGACGCGGGTGGCGCTGTGGGCTAAACCACAGAGCCTAGGACTTGCCGATCAGAAGGTCAGTGGTTCGAATCCCCATTGCTTGGTCTCTGCTCCTGCCAACCTAGCAGTTCGAAAGCACATCAAAGTGCAAGTAGATAAATAGGTACCACTCCGGCGGGAAGGTAAATGGTGTTTCTGTGCTCTGGTTTGCCAGAAGCGGCTTAGTCATGCTGGCCACATAACCTGGAAGCTGTATGCCGGCTCCCTTGGCCAATAAAGTGACATGAGTGCCACAATCCCAGAGTCAGCCATGACTGGACCTAATGGTCAGGGGTCCCTTTACCTTTACTATTCTATGCTATGTAAATATTTTGCGCAGTATCATGCAACAAAAATATATACACAAAAAGGAACATCTGAATGCAGTCTATATAGAGTCAATAGCTGCTTTTCATATCATAAATAGGATGTTATTTGGCATATGGGTTTTGTTTTCTTGACTTTTGGAGTGTGCAAAAACATTTTTTCTGCTATATTGTTTATAAATTTAAAATGGACTTTTTGTTTAAACTATCTATCTAATGATTTTTAGTGTGTGATTTCATCCAATTTGTAACTGGATTGATTTCATTAAATTTATATACTTATATAACTGTTAAATCATTAGCCTATGGTCATGCAATAAAAATTACATTACACCTTAAGAGCTAGCTAAAACATTTCAATAAAAAACACAGTTTAAGAAGCATTGTGGCTATGGTATGCTACAATTATATTATTGAATGAAATAAACTGATCATTAGTACCTACCCGTATGACTTCTTCGGTGAATAGCTAAAAAATGGTTATATTTAAATACCTTCCCACAGTCTTTGCACTCAACTTCAGAACCTGTACGTTTTCTTCTCCTATCATGTCTCTTTTTCAGCCCATTGTCCTCTTCATCACCAGTAAGTTTATAATCTCTTAGCTTGATAGACCGCTGTATCCTTCGTTTGCTGTAACGACTCTGACTGGCCTGTATACTTTGGCATTTAGGATCATAGTTCTCATCTTTTTCAGTGGAGACACTCACCGCAGCATCTGAACTACAAGCATGATCAGTATCTCTTGCTTCTCGGTTTACAGGAACCTCCTCATTGGAATCTCTGTCTTCCACCACAGCATCTTTATCCATAAAGTTTTGCTTATTATGAACAGAGTTGTTCTCTCTTAACTGAGCATCTTCAACAGATATCCCAAGCTTTTCCTCTTGGATATTCTTCACTTTTCTTGGTCTTCCACGTTTTCGCTTTGGTGGATCTTCACTTTTCTTGTCATTTGTCAAGGCAGCTACTGTGCCCCCATTAGTAGGCGTGGCAGATAATGTGCTGCTAAAATTCTTCTCCTGTTCTGTGTAAGCCCTTACTAAATCGTTCACTTTGAGGAGATGAGCTGTGGCTAAAATCTGCTCTGTACTTTTTTCACTAGCTTGCAGAGAACCAGTGTAGATAAACTCCAAGAGCGCACCAAAAGCATCTGACACCATTCCTTCCAGCATATAGATCGACTGGCCTATCTCTCCCTCATCAACAAACATCATGGAGAAATATTCACTGCTGGCAGCAAGTAAAGCTTTGTGTGCTCTAAAGTGAACATTTTCTACAATTAAAGTGATATCACACAAAAAATCTTTTCTCCTCTGTTCTTCAAAACTGGCCAGAATAGTATCTCTGTGAACTTGTGAGTGGATGATTATACGCTTCTCAGAAGCATCAGGAACTGCTACATCCATTGTTGCTGTAAACAGAAGAAAGGTTGAGAAACACTGCTGTGATTCAAGGAGCTTCTTCATGATTGGAAAAGTTCTTGTGTATGCACATGGGGCGATTACAGAACACCACACAGAGCATTAACTGCTGTTCTGGAGGATTCCCCAATCTCCTAAAGTGGCTTAGAAGTTAGCTTTTTTATCTCTCCCTGTTGGTTTGGATGCATGGAGTACTCCTCCATGAAGATAGGAAGTTGCATTGTACTCAGTTAGATTATCAGTCCATCTGTTTAGGGAAGTTTTTAATGTCTGATGTTTTATTGTGTGTTTTAATATTCTGTTGGGAGCCACTCAGAGTGGCTGGGGAAACCCAGCCAGATGGGTGGGGTATAAATAAATTATCATCAACATCATCATCATCTAGTTCAGTATTATCTACACCAACTTTCTGCTACTCAAAGTATGCAGAGCAGCTTGCAATAAAACCAAATAGCATAGCAAAGCCTAACTGAGCCTCAAACTTATGTGTATTATTTCCCTGGAATAAGGAATTGTGTAGTAACCACCTTTGCTCAATAAGATTAGTCTTAAGAAAGTCTTTTATAATTAGATCACTATTTGGCTCATCATATCAGCAGAAATCATCTGCTTTTCTTTTCCAATGCTTTTGCAAGTTTAGAGTAAAGGAAAACAACCACTGGCTCTTTCATGTCCTGTTCCGACGTAGCCTTTATCTGCAGTCATCTGCATGTGCCATCTACTCACAATACCATCACTAAGAACATCAAAGATATCAAGTTGTACGTATTCCCAAAAAAACCACAACATTTTAATATCACAGTTCCATAAAGACAACAAGAGTATGCTAAAGTTCCTTCCAATGAACTTGTTCCAGGAGGGAAATATCTCACTAATGAAAGAATAGGCAAAACTAATTTTCTCCCTTATTATTCTCTAAACTCCTCCCACCTAACGACTCCCATTGACAACCAATGAGAAAAACAAAAACAGAAGAAAAGGGAGTTATGATGATGATGATGATGATGATGATGATAAAGAACCGGAAAAGGGAGTAAAATTGCCCATTCTTTTCTCTCCTCTCTCCAGGGGGAGGTGTCTCTATGGGAAGAAATCAAAATTCTATCCTCTGTCCCTTTTTACTTTTCTTGACAATAAGTTCAACAGGTGATGCTTCTTCCATCACGGCGTGGAGATGCCAAATACTAGAAAGGCTTCACTTGCCGAATTCCTGCTTCTTGGGCGATTATTAATTTAAAAGGCGCAAGAGCCTTGCCAGGAAAGACAGCGCTGGCAGCCCAGCCCCACACCAGAAATTGCTGTCAACTAGGAGCAGGACAAGGGACCACCCTGACTGGGAAAGAGTGGCAGGCGCAGGAGCATGGAGGGAAAGGGGAGGGGGGAGGCAGAGCCCTCCTCGGTGGAGACCGTTATCAGCGCTTCAAAGGGAAGGCAGACTCACCACGCGCGAAGGAGGCTCCGGACCCCGAGCCCCGTGACAGGCAGTTGAGCAAGAAGCCGAACGCGCAGGCCAAAAGCGGCAGCCGCGCACCCCGGAAGTGACGCTAGCGCGGAGCAGGAAGTGGATCAGAAATCCCTCGCGCGGCAGTGGGCGGAGCAAGAGGGGAAGTTCGCTGCACTGGACGGGAGCGGCGGGGGAGACTCCGGAGGGCGTAGGCGGCTCGGATGGTTCGTTTGCTGCTCTCAGGCAGTCTAGCGGGAGCTGGCCGCGGAAAGGAGGCACGTCTGGCGTATTGCTGGTGCAGGGATGAGTCAAGGGCGGGCGTCCCGTGCTCTGCCGCTTCCTTCCCCGAAGTTGGACGGCACAAGGCAGCTGACAGTCACTTGCTCGCCTGCAAAAACAGACGTGGAGGCGGCAAGGAGCAGCAAGCCTTGCCTCCACGTTTGTTCGTCTCTCGGGTACGGATCGGACTTGATTTACGGATCGGACTTGATTTGTTGTTGTTGTTGTTTAGTCGTTTAGTCGTGTCCGACTCTTCGTGACCCCATGGACCAGAGCACGCCAGGCACCTCTGTCCTCCACTACCTCCCGCAGTTTGGTCAAACTCATGCTGGTAACCTCGAAAACACTATCCAACCGTCTCGTCCTCTGTCGCCCCCTTCTCCTTGTGCCCTCCATCTTTCCCAGCATCAGTGTCTTCTCCAGGGAGTCTTCTCTTCTCATGAGGTGGCCAAAGTACTGGAGCCTCAGCTTCACGATCTGTCCTTCCAGTGAGCACTCAGGTCTGATTTCCTTAAGAATGGATGCATTTGATCTTCTTGCCGTCCATGGGACTCTCAAGAGTCTTCTCCAGCACCATAATTCAAAAGCATCAATTCTTCGGCGATCAGCCTTCTTTATGGTCCAGCTCTCACTTCCATACATCACTACTGGGAAGACCATGGCTTTAACTATACGGACCTTTGTTGGCAAGGTGACATCTCTACTTCTCAAGATGCTGTCTAGGCCTGTCATTGCCCTTCTCCCAAGAAGCAGGCGTCTTTTAATTTCATGGCTGCTGTCACCATCTGCAGTGATCATGGAGCCCAAGAAAGTAAAATCTCTCACTGCCTCCATTTCTTCCCCTTCTATTTGCCAGGAGGTGATGGGACCAGTGGCCATGATCTTCGTTTTTTTGATATTGAGCTTCAGACCATATTTTGCGCTCTCTTCTTTCACCCTCATTAAAAGGTTCTTTAATTCCTCCTCACTTTCTGCCATCAAGGTTGTGTCATCTGCATATCTGAGGTTGTTGATATTTCTTCCGGCAATCTTAATTCCAGCTTGGGATTCATCCAGCCCAGCCTTTCGCATGATGTATTCTGCATATAAATTAAATAAGCAGGGAGACAAAATACAGCCTTGTCGTACTCCTTTCCCAATTTTGAACCAATCAGTTGTTCCATATCCAGTTCTAACTGTAGCTTCTTGTCCCACATAGAGATTTCTCAGGAGACAGATGAGGTGATCAGGCACTCCCATTTCTTTAAGAACTTGCCATAGTTTGCTGTGGTCGACACAGTCAAAGGCTTTTGCATAGTCAATGAAGCAGAAGTAGATGTCTTTCTGGAACTCTCTAGCTTTCTCCATAATCCAGCGCATGTTTGCAATTTGGTCTCTGGTTCCTCTGCCTCTTCTAAATCCAGCTTGCACTTCTGGGAGTTCTCGATCCACATACTGCTTGAGCCTTCCTTGTAGAATTTTAAGCATAACCTTGCTAGCGTGTGAAATGAGTGCAATTGTGCGGTAGTTGGAGCATTCTTTGGCACTGCCCTTCTTTGGGATTGGGATGTAGACTGATCTTCTCCAATCTTCTGGCCACTGCTGAGTTTTCCAAATTTGCTGGCATATTGAGTGTAGCACCTTAACAGCATCATCTTTTTAAATTTTAAATAGTTCAGCTGGAATACCATCACTTCCACTGGCCTTGTTATTTGCAGTGCTTTCTAAGGCCCATTTGACTTCACTTTCCAGGATGTCTGGCTCAAGGTCAGCAACCATACTACCTGGGGTGTACGAGGCATCCATTTCTTTCTGGTATAGTTCCTCTGTGTATTCTTGCCACCTCTTCTTGATGTCTTCTGCTTCTGTTAGGTCCTTACCACTTTTGTCTTTTATTATGGTAATCTTTGTACGAAATGTTCCTTTCATATCTCCAATTTTCTTGAACAGATCTCTGGTTCTTCCCATTCTGTTGTTTTCCTCTATTTGTTTGCATTGCTCATTTAAGAAGGCCTTCTTGTCTCTCCTTGCTGTTCTTTGGAAATCTGCATTCAATTTCCTGTATCTTTCACTATCTCCCTCACATTTTGCTTGCCTTCTCTCCTCCGCTATTTGTAAGGCCTCGTTGGACAGCCACTTTGCTTTCTTGCATTTCCTTTTCATTGGGATGGTTTTCGTTGCTGCCTCCTGTACAATGTTACGAGCCTCCATCCATAGTTCTTCAGGCACTCTGTCCACCAAATCTAAATCCTTAAACCTGTTCGTCACTTCCACTGTGTATTCATAAGGGATTTGACTTAGATTGTATCTTACCGGCCCAGTGGTTTTTCCTACTTTCTTCAGTTTAAGCTTGAATTTTGCTATAAGAAGCTGATGATCTGAGCCACAGTCAGCTCCAGGTCTTGTTTTTGCTGACTGTATAGAGCTTCTCCATCTTTGGCTGCAGAGAATATAATCAATCTGATTTCGATGCTGCCCATCTGGTGATGTCCATGTGTAGAGTCGTCTCTTGTGTTGTTGGAAAAGCGTGTTTGTGATGACCAGCTTGTTCTCTTGACAGAACTCTATTAGCCTTTGCCCTGCTTCGTTTTGATCTCCAAGGCCAAACTTGCCAGTTGTTCCTTTTATCTCTTGATTCCCTACTTTAGCATTCCAGTCCCCTATAATGAGAAGAACATCCTTCTTTGGTGTCACTTCTATAAGGTGTTGTAAGTCTTCATAGAACTGGTCAATTTCAGTTTCTTTAGCACCAGTAGTTGGGGCATAAACTTGGATTACTGTGATGTTAAAAGGTCTGCCTTGGATTCGTATCGAGATCATTCTATCATTTTTGAGATTGCATCCCAGTACAGCTTTCGCCACTCTTTTGTTGACTATGAGGGCCACTCCATTTCTTTTACGGGTTTCTTGCCCACAGTAGTAGATGTGATGGTCATCCGAACTGAATTCGCCCATTCCCGTCCATTTTAGTTCACTGATGCCCAGGATGTCAATATTTATTCTTGCCATCTCATTTTTGACCACCTCCAACTTACCCAGGTTCATGGTTCTTACATTCCAGGTTCCTATGCAATATTTTTCTTTACAGCATTGGACTTTCCTTTCGCTTCCAGGCATATCCGCAACTGAGCGTCCTTTCGGCTTTGGCCCAGCCGCTTCATCAGCTCTGGATCTACTTGTACTTGCCCTCCGCTCTTCCCCAGTAGCATGTTGGACGCCTTCCGACCTGAGGGGCTCATCTTCCAGCGTCATAACTTTTATATGCCTGTTGTCTTTGTCCGTGGAGTTTTCTTGGCAAGGATACTGGAGTGGCTTGCCGGTTCCTCCTCCAGGTGGATCACGTTTGGTCAAAACTCTCCACTATGACCTGTTCATCTTGTGTGCCCTGCTCGGCATAGTTCATAGCTTCTCTGAGTTCTTCAAGCCCCTTCGCCACGGCAAGGCAGTGATCCATGAAGGGGGGACTTGATTTACGTATAAGCTAAACAAGCTGTAGCTTAGGGCCCCACTCTCTTGCCCCCCCCCAACGAAAATAACCTGGATGTACATTTCCAAAATATCAGATAAAAACAAAACAAAAAAAACCCAAATAAAATAAAACTTACATAAAGCAACAGTGTTTTTTGTTGTGTAGACTCCTATGATGTAAGTACAGTGGTACCTCGCGTTACAGACACTTCAGGTTACAGATTCTGCTAACCCAAAAATAGTACTTTGGGTTAAGAACTTTGCTTCAGGATAAATACAGAAATCGCGTGGCAGCAGCAGCAGAAGGCCCCATTAGCTAAAGTGGTACCTCAGGTTAAGAACAGTTTCAGGTTAACAACGGACCTCCAGAACGAATTAAGTTCTTAACCCGAGGTACCACTGTAATGGGCCCCGCCTGCTAGCCTGCTCCCTAAAATATCACTAGTTTGCTCATTTCTGTATATAGGGTGTCTACATTCTGCATGGACTGGTTGCATGGCAACATGTGCAAATAGCTTTAGATACCTGTTAGGTCCATAAATTACCATATAGCATATATTCAACACAAAAAACAGTGACAATTTGTTGTTGACAAAGGACAGCTGGACATATAAAGGGCCCCATTACCTTCAGTAGCTTAGGGCCTCATCAAACCTAAATCTGGCCCTGGACTTGCCACACCACCCAGAGGGACAGTGCTGGTGAGTAAGCGAGAGATGGGATAAGCTACCTCTGCTCAGGGCTGGAAGGATTGGGACCCACTCGCTCTTGTTGCAGGCCAACAGGGAGGATTGGAAGCGCTGGACTCGTTCGTTGCTGCTGCCACCATCCAATATGCAGGCAAAGGGAGCGAAGGAGCAGGAGTCAGAGCTATATAGCAGGTTAACCAAATAAGTGACTATCCAGACAACGTTGCTTACACATCAAGCTCAAGCAAGACATCTTGATGCTAGAAAGTATACAGGAAAAACCACTTGTTTAAATCCTAGTCTTGGCTGATGTTAATTCTTTGGTCACAGGAGAATCTTGTAGTTGCTGAGCTGGGAGGCTAAGCATAAAGACATTACTTGGAAACAAGCCCAACTGAAATCCCTTTATATAAGACCAGAAAAAGTGATAACCCACCACCAAACCACTGTTTAATGGGGAAGTCCCTGAACGGGAGATTGATGGGAAATGGTTCAGCTCAGACACTAATTTGCTACTTCATCGAAAACAGGTTTATCAAGTACAGCAGAAGATGCCACATCTTCTAAGAAACATCTGATTTCCCACTTCTATAAAGAAGGAATTGCGTGAAGGGAGATGCAAGCAGGTGCAGTCTCTTTCATCTGAGAACCTATTCAAAGTATTTCAGTGTGTCTGTTCCACCATATATG